GAGCACCGAGCCATTAACCTTAATAACCCCGATATCTGTGCCATTAAACGAGTTTCATAAAAAAGAGGGCCGCCCAATAAGCAGTGACAATTTTTCAATTTCCCTCTAAAAATTGAACATTAACCCCATTATCCGGTGGCATTAAAACGAGGTTCGCAACATCCCTCCCGGCGTCCATAAAGCCGAGGGAAAACCTCAACTTCCGGGACGTTTATCCCATACGGCGATAATATACCGGCCAATGATATCATTTTTACGATCCATCTCGAGGATCGTTAATGTCGAAATTGTTTAATTAAATTCCCGCTTAAGGGCGACACACGTGTCTGCATAGAGAGGGGAATGCAAGAATGAAAACTCGGAGATGCAAGTCGATCCTTACGACACCGTAAAATAAACCGAAGAAGAGTAACGACTCCCCGGCAGGAAATGAGCACCCCGAGGAGATAAACGTCGATCATTGCCGATTAACCCATTTCCGGGCGCCATCTTGTCCCATTTCTTCCGACACGGTCGCAATCATCGGCCGACCAATCGGCACCGACGAAGTCAACAAATTGTCCAGAACAATAGAAAGTATAGGAGGATTGTCTCTTTACTCGGTCTCTATACTTCATTTATCTTCCTTAACGGGGATAACGATACGAAACTCTTCCAATTCTCCGATCGACTCGACCGTCCTCGAGATCTTCGGGAAGGAAAAAGGGAAACCGTGGAATTGTTTAAAAAAAAAATTAAAAGGTGGCCTTTCGTCACGATAGTTCAGAGTTAAAGTGTTAGGAAAGCGTTGATCCGTTCTATCGTTGAAAATAAATTAAATAAAATCTTCAAAAGGATTTCTATTTCCAAATCAAAGAATGAAATCTCTCTCGCGAGAGGAACGATCGAGTCGTTCGGAAATCAGATTCTCTCGTTGGTTTTGACATTCCGCCCATAAATTTACGAGGAACGATCGTATTACTTTTCTTACCAGACACCGTGGCGTCCTGAGGGAGCAGTCGTAAATTCTAGTACCTATGATCATTGCAGGGAAAACACCGTCATAAAACGCTCCCATTTAAGATGCCGTGAAAGGGCAATTCTATATATATAAAAGGTTAAAATATATATAAAATCCTTCTCCAAACTGGGTGTACCGAATCATTCGAAGCTTCGGCACGTGATTATGTATGTCCTGGTCTCGAAACCGGCACAATTACATTTTTCGAAAAAAAATCTCTTTTTCTGCTTCTTATCCCGGATAAATGCATTTTTTTTATCCGCTCGAAAATTGACATTTCCCGAGTTTCAAGATTTTCGTTAGGGCTGCCATAATCATGTGTTAATGTTTCATTTCGAGCGATACAAAATGGCGCACCTTGATGGTTATGGTTTTCCGAAAGTTCTCGGTAAAAATGACCGTTGTCCCGGGCGTTCCCGGAAGCTGCTCGAGGCGGTCGATCGATCGGCGATATCGATTGCCGATGACCCATCGATGGCACTTTGGAGATGCTCGTTAAAAGTTACGAGGCTCTTCGGGTTCGCGCTTCGTCGGCCGGGGATTAATATTTTAGTTTTTAATTCGCTCAGGCGTTAAATCGCGCCCTACAAGAAGCACTTATCGCACTTGCGTTTGCGTTGATTAGCGGTTTAACGCGAATTGTTATCGCAGAAAATGGCGCCGCCGATTCGTTATTCCCTCCATTCTATGAAATTCACATTGTACCATTTTGGTATGTTAAATTAAATTTCAGTCTTACGTGGTAACGCTTCCGCGGTACGAGTTAACCGATTACAGCTTTCCAAGGATCGGTAAGTCAAGGAACGGCGCGTTGAAAAAAGGAATATAAAGAAAAAAGAAATTCCGCGATGGCGAGGTCGGAAGGACAAGTCGCTAAATGGAAACTCGCAGCGCGCCATTTTTGGCATCCACTCTTGGTACGCGACGATCCACTAATTGGCCCATTACGTGAAAGCACTGGTTAATGGCGTACTTGCGAGGAAATTAAAACGTAAACGACTAGATTCGAGTCCGGAATGAGTAATTAAGTGACTTATTAATTTCGGAGCTGCGCCTGGGTGGACCGTTTGGAGACTCTCGAAAGACGTTTCTTGTGCAGCCGTTGAAGTCTCCGCCAGTCGCGGCCTCAGAAATCCTTCGACGCGTTTCCGGGGCCTTTTTCCTTCATCCACAGGATGATTAAAACAAGCCGGTAAACGCGATCCAGTCGCCATTTCTGTTGCTTCCTTCGTAAAACTCGGAACAATTCGCTAATTGGCGCGTTACGCGGAAGGAGTATGTCATTAAGAATGGCGGCCTTATAACGACAGCGTCTCCTCCTCAATTCCTCGGACGTCACTTTCATATCCCCTTAGCCCCGTGATATCTGTCATTAATCGTCATTATTCGAACGGAACAATCACGTTTAGCTGCACCCAGGAGAATTAATCCTTTAAGTCGACGTGCGACCGATCGGCGCGTAGTCGATCGCGATTGATTCGATTAGCGGCGCCGAAATCCTGTCGAAGTTTGCCTCCGAATCCCGGTTAAGCCTCCGGAACTTGGAAATCCCCCGGGACCCGCGTTTATCCCGACTTGATCCTGCGTCCCAAGAAGGCGAAATTAAATCGGCGAAAAAAGTCGCCATTTAAGACGGTATATATATATATATCGAAGCGTCCAAACATTTATAAAACTTATCTCCAAACGGGAGAAAATTTTTTATAAACGTCACTTTCATATCACCTTAAGGGGTGGTTTCCGAGCAGCCCTTAAACGGGGAATATTAACTCTCCGCTCTGGCCGAAGCTTTCCGCGTAATTGTATAATTTCAGTAATGCACGAGAGAGGGTGGAGGTTGCGATTAAAAAGGGGCAAAAAAGCCCGAGGACGGCCATATTGTCGTCGAGATGACGCGACGCATAAGTTTATTTACTGCCTCGTGAAGCATCCGTTGTGACGACACCGGAGGGCAGACACTCGTATCCAGAAATGGCGGCGATAATACGCACAATAAACGTCGGAGATGCATCGGCGCCATCTTTTACGAGGCGCCTCGAGACGAGGGACGCGGAGTGCATTTTACGGGACACCTAAAACTGCTTCATTTGCTCGGATCTCGTGTCTCGTAAAGGGGAAACGTAAATCTTAAGGGTCGCCATTTTTCCCGGGCGCTGGCGCCCCGGCCATTCATCAAACGGGTGTTTTCTCCCCAGTGCTGCTAACTCCCCATCAACTCGGACGAAATTTCACCCACGTGTCTCTGGCCCAGGGAAAGATCCTTTCTTTCCATTCGAGTGTCGGGGAAATGTGGAACCCGGGAATTTGAGGGTACCAAGGGTTCCTCATTAGTCAGCTGATCAGCTGATCAGCTTGGACCGCATTTTGGCATCTCTTTGACAAGCCGTGACTATCGACAAATCCGTTCCCGGAGTAAGAATTCCCAATTTGACACGTCCCGAAGCAAGTTGGTCGCAGTTGGGAACCCGACCCCCGAATGGCCCAATCAACGAGGGACAATGGATTTATTGTCAGACGACAGTCGATTGGCTTCGAATCTAATTTGCGGGCCACAGCCAGGTGCTGCAGATCAATAGACACATTCTGTGCCACCTAGGCCATCGGCTGTCAAATCCTCCAAATTCTAGAGATTCAGGAAATTCCCGACAATCGGCGAACTCGGTAATTGGCTAGACCAGCAATAACTCGACAAAAGATCAATAGACCTATTCTGCGCCACCTCTGCTATTACTACCAAAAATTCTCAAAATTCACGACACTCGCGAGTCGGAGTCGATCGATGCCTCCTTCGACCCAAGATGATCGATTTCTCACGGAGAAAGCGGGCGAGGAAAATCGAGAGAAAAAAAAAGGAAGACTATTCCGCCCCAGGCGATGCCTCGAAATTGCGTCTCGCCAATTCCCCCTTTTTTTTTTTTTTCGCGGAGGAGGGTTCCCTAGGGAATCATCCGGCAAACTCTGCAAATCGATGGATGCCTCTCGGGGTTCTGCGTCAATCCCCAGGTCTATGGGAACCCCTTGGTCTATGGGAACCCCCGGGTAGGGTTACCCTATGATCGACTTCGACTGCAAACAGAGTTCCCTCCGGGAATCAAAGCGTCGGGTTTCACACGAGGACCGAACTGTCATCCTGGAAATTGCGCGTCCTAGGAACTTCGTCGTGGGTTCCAAAGAGAAGTTTAGATTAATTAATTCCCGTCTCGAAGAAAACCAGCCGATAAACAATTTAACACCGCTAAGTCGTTAAATCGATCGACACGTGACATGGATCGATCCTATCGGATGCTGTGCAACGAGTCGTCGATTCCATACGGTTGATAACAAATGGTCGAGGGGCGACTCTTGTAAGAAATATTTCATACCGGTCAATTTAATGCCTGTCAGTAGTGCGGCGAGTGAAATAGGGAATTCGATCCATGCAAATCGCCGGCTATTTGTCTAAATCCACGGGCCCAATCCGGGACGGGCGTTACACGTGCGCGGGTGTACATATGTACGCGAGGTACACCCGACACATGGACACCCGGTGAGGTAATTGAACGTCAAAGTTATGCGCATAATTCCGAATTAGTACGCGCCATAATTGGAGGTTTCTGTTAGGCTAATGTCAATCCACCCTTCCGGTTCAAGGATGTCCTCCTCCACCCTCGGAGCAACCTACTGAATATCTTAAACAGTTAGTGCAAGGCGGAATTGCGGATTTGCATTCACGGTGGACGTCGGAAAGCGCGGCGGAAATTTATGCGGTGTCCCCAAAAAGTTCTGTCCTCGTATCGTTAATGTTACCGTTCCAAGTGTTGATCGCAACTTTTGAGCGCAGCGCCATGGATACCTATTGGCGAGGTTAGGTTTATCATCCCACGTGGTCACTTTCAAGATCCACGTGGTTCCACTTGATGCGGTGTTTTAACCATGTCGATATAGTCAATGTTAACAGATTCTTATTTTCCGTCTGGCGTGTGATTACATCGCGACCTCTCGTTTTGCCGATATTTTCCAGTTGCATCCCCGCCAGATAGAAGGGTCACGAGGGACGACATCGGGGTCTCCTCGTCTCCTGCGACGCCGGCGGGGGCGAGTGCTGCCCGTCCCTACGATCCCTCGTCCCCCGGCCGAAACGGCCAGCTGTCCAGTAAGTCTCCGATCCCGGCCCCGGCCGGAACTGCAGCTCCCTGTCTAAGGACCCCTCGAGGCCCACTTTATGCCCCAAAAGCTCGGTACGAGACCCTACACCGAGAGAAAAAAAAAAATTCGTTCATAAATGAAGGTGAAAAAAAAAAAGAGTAGATTCGCCTCCAAAAATGTACGCAAAAAAAAAAAGAGTAGATTCACCTCCAAAAATGTACTCAAAAAAAAGTCAATTCAACTTAAAATGTAATTTAGCTCCAAATTTAAGTAGAATAGTAAAATGATTCGGTGCACCCAATTTTGAGAAAAATTTTTTGGAAATATTTTCACGTTTCGAGGTGTATAGAGTAATCCTTTCATAACACTTTAAGCGGCTCGGCGCTCGTCGAAATTTCGATGCAGCTGCAACTGCAGCTCGTAATTACTGCCCGCCTGGTAAATCGGCACAGTTGTTCGTAAAGCCGAGGAAATGCTGGGAAGATTAATTATGTTACCCGGAAGTTAAATCGAGTGGCAAGTCGATTGTAACGAGGGACTCCTCGTTGCGACCGAATATCGCACTCTAAGAGGGTAATAAATGCGTTTCGGAGAGCTGGGGCATAAAGTGGATTGAAGTTCGAGTGGTCCCCTGTATGTGCATCTTGCATCTCACCCTGACACCCTCTCTCTCTCTCTTTCTCACTCTTGCACCCTCGCACTCGCTGTCTTTCTCGGTGTTTTCCGATGCAAAGCCATGCTCTCCTATAAATCGATACAATTCCGAGATTGTTTTTAATTTCTCGAATTCCTACAATTATGTATGTCAAATATTTTTTCATACTCTCGGTGTGAATGTTTTCCTGCTCGTTTGTTAACTATAATCAACACTCGTACATTAGGCATTGCGGCGATAAAACGTCCCGCGGTTGCGGAACCGCAGACGGTACTTGCGTTTTTCCCGGTGGAAAGTAAACCGACATCGCCAGATTGGATGAGATACCTTCCGGGGTAGAGACATGCATACAGACATACGTACAAAGTGTACCGAGTTATTTTACACAAATTTAAAGTACACACCTGCAGCACCTCTGGGATTTTTTTACGGGTGCGGAAGAAGTACGCCGCAATGCAGGGTGTATGTCAATTTTGGTACCCTGCATTGCAGGGTATGTAGCAGAATATACTTGCGTACAATGTCAAGAGGGAATTCTATGACAAGGTAAGGATTGTTTGCACCGGAAGTAACGGCGTCATTTGTTCAGAAAATCCTCTTTAATTAACGATGATAAAGTTAGCCATTCGTTGTCACTCCCGACATCGGATATCGAAGATTATATTTTTTTTACGTCAAACACCATCGAGATAAACACCGGAAACGACACCCCAGGAACCGTGATAACTTAATCAGGGAGACTTCATTACGGCGTAAGAAGTCGGGAAGTCTTTTTCTCCGCCGAGAAATATTCCCCTCTCCTTTGAGAAGAAAGGAAATCAGGAGATTTCCTCCTTTATTCCCTGGAAGCCTCGAGGGGCTCGGATAATTAAGTTTCATCTTTGTCTGCCGTATCCTAATTGTACAAGTCGCTCCAAAAAGGGTTGCCCATCGGTAAATTCTATGTACATCTCCCCGTAATAAGGGAAATGCCTGACTGAATTTCATTTATATCCCGCAATGTCTCGATTGTGTCACCAATACTGCGTCGGAGCCGAAATGTCAGCCCGAGGTACACTTCCTAAAAGCACACACCTTGTCGCACTTACGCCCCAGTTCCCCTGCAATTGCAGGCCCCAAGTTTGGGAAAGCAAACTCGAACTTGCATCCGCCCTTGTACCGACAAACTATAAGTACTTGTCGCCGATTTCCAAAGAAGATTCGACATCTTCGAGAGCTGCCACCTTCTGGCTGTACATCCTCTTATCGAGGATTACTTCGCCCCCCAATTTGAATTTCTAGGAGTAATTGAGGTGAAAGAGTCATTCTATATATATATATATATATCAAAACGTGAGAATATTTATATTTCTCCAAATTCGGTGCATAGAATAATTTCAAACTTTTTCCTTCATTACTTTTTTATGTACATGACTCTTTCATTGCGCTTTAGAACCGATGCAATTCCTATATTTGTTCAGTCCATCATTTTTACAAGACATTTAAGGCTGGCCTTTTCCGCGCTCGCTTCGAGCAGCTGAATAATAAATCCAATCGAATCGAACAATTCAAGTAGAAGGGGTGGGAAACTTTTTCAATGGCGTTCCGCCGTTCTACGAGCCTCTCGAATTATTCGTCCTTCTGCTTTGTCACCCTTTCGACCCGTTTTTCAAGACTCTCGCGAGGTCCTGAAAACCCCGACAATTCAAGGACTTGGCATTGCGACAATTCCCGATCTTGTCCCCGAGTGGAAAGATCAGAAAATTCAGAGCCGCGATATCTCAAATCTGATTATGAGATGTAGGAAAAAAAAATGTGCAACGATAATAAAATCGGGAAATGTCGTTTTTTCACCGCAATCTTCGATTCCAGTCGCGTCGGTTCTGCGAGAAATTGACGGCTTCGTTTTTGCCGTGGAATTGCCGTGGAAAAAGGAAAGGCGAAGAAACGTCGAAAGGGGGTTCGACCCCGGCGAACCTTCGACATTTCGGATCGCGGGTCCCACGATAATTCAAAGGGGCGAGGGGTTGGGCGAGGCAATGATATGGAAATAAAACGTCACCCTGGCAGGGGGCCAGCCTCGACGACAGACATTTTTCCCGGCTTACCCTACTTCGCGAAGTGTATAACTTCCCGGCCGACAAAAACGGATGGGCAACCCGGACGAATTTAAATGCCGTCGCCGGAGACGAGGAAACACTTTGCGAACTGGCTTTAAGAAGTTCCCGAATCTGCCACCTGAAGGGGTCCCATGGAAAGAAGCCTTTAAGATGATATGAAAGGGTTGTAAATATATATGAATATCTTTTTTTACATCCCTGAGGGAAAGATATGAGACTTTTCTGCACACGGTAAGGAATTCCACGGAGGCACCTCTCGCTTCATTTTGTCTTGGCTTGCACCGAATCCGAGCTCTCCTCCTTTTCATTACTTTCCCTCCCCTGACACCGGAGCCGGACTAACCCGAGATACTTTTTTAATTTCCAGAGCAAGGCTCGCTGACGATAGTCCGCCGAAGTTCCGGCAAAGCCAGGAGCCACGGGGCCGGAAATTTCGAAAGCCCCGCCACCCTCGAAAGCCCCGACGCCTTCCTACGAGGTCAGTCCGTCGACCTCGAGGAGATCCTCGACAACCTCGATCTCACGACGGACTCTTTGCCCGCCATCGACACCCCGGATGCCTGCGACAAAGCCGCCCTCAGGTTCGCCGTCTCTATTACCAAAAATTCTAAACTTTCCTTATTTAATTAACACTTATTTTCTTTGCGCGATTTTCTCCCTCGGTGAATCGATTTTCGAATTTTCACATTTTCGATTTTCGCATTTTCGAATTTTCACATTTTCGATTTTCGCATTTTCGAATTTTCACATTTTCGATTTTCGCATTTTCACATTTTCGATTTTCGCATTTTCGAATTTTCACATTTTCGATTTTCGCATTTTCGAATTTTCGAATTTTCACATTTTCGATTTTCGCATTTTCGAATTTTCGCAATTCGAATTTAATTATCGATTCTCCTTCCGTAGATTGAGGTGTCTGTTGCGGCGGCTTCAACATGGCGAGATCTCTGCGGATCTTCTGCAACGAAATTTGCAGTATGCCGCCAGAGTCCTCGAGGCGGTTTTCATTGACGAGACCAAGTAAGTGTTGTTCCAAAAAGACGGAGATAAGAGGAGGCACTGATTAACGATTTAATGAAAGAGTGTTGTTCAAGAGATGGGCGCATTTCATGATCGATCGCGAGACTCGGAGTGTCAATCCTTGTACTTCATATTTATCTTTTATGAAATTTCATTTGATATTAATTCGAAAACTTTTGATGCATCCGATATGATCAGAACTCCTCGATTTCCTCTCGGGCAAAATCACGGAAACGGATGAGACATGATATGAAATATGATTTTTCTCCTGCACGCGGAATAATTTCCTAGATGTCTTTCATTCCCTGTGATTTATGCAATGCTTTGGATTTCAGTATCTGCCAATTTTAGGTAATCGAGGTGGTCCAAGGGTGGCTGTTCGACATTTCCATGAAAAGTGACAGTTTTGGAACCACGTGCGCAAAACCTCTCCCTTCTAAAATTATTAATTTATCCTTGAAAAATATTCCAGCGTTAGATTTTCCTTCTCCGAATGTTGGATATTTCATTTATCCCCTTGGCAAACCATTTTTCCCGAATTTTCGAATTTTCGAATTTTCGATCGTAGTCCGAATTTCCGCCCTCCAGTAAATCCGTATGTTTTCCTCCAAGCATCGCCATGTTCTTTTGATCAAGGAATCTCGCTCGTTTTCCGGTAAAATTGGCAATATCCGACATTCGGTCGTCCTTTGAAGCTTTTCCCTCGTATTGGGGGAAAAATCGAGGGGGATACCATCGGCGAATTATGGCCGGTGGGGTCGTAAAATGACGAGAGGATTCGAACATGAGTAGAGCACGCAAAGGCGCGAATTACAGCATCCTGGTCCAGCAAGATTTACGCCGAGGAAAAGAACTCACGACCCCCCGTAGGGGATGAACGGCGTTATCGAACATCCCTAAAGAACGATACCGTAAACTGGGGATACTTGAACGCTCATTTGGAACGATTCCGAAACTAATAAAAACGCTGATCCTCGTGAAAACTGAACCTAAGTTGATCCACCCCCTAAAAGGGGAAAGAAGAGATCGTTTCAATTAACCCTCCCAGATATAAGGGATGAAAGGGCCTTTCTGGAGAAGAAAAAAAAAATTACGGGAGGCTGGAAGGGGCACTTCGGAATTCTTTTTAACCGCCTCTCGTCGAGTTACGACGCCCCCCGTTGCGCCAGTGGTTCACCCCTTTAACGACACCGTCGTTCGGGGATGGACACCGAGGGTGGTGCCTCTTTAGCTCAGTGGTAGAGCACTGGTCTCGTAAACCAGGGGTCGTGAGTTCAAAACTCACAGGAGGCCGTCATTTTTATCGACGTCATTTTCCGCACTTTCCGTTCCCTTAGTCGATTTTTCCCGCAGTGTCTTTTTTCCCGACTTTTTCTAAATTTTCCGCTAGGCTAGCCCCTTAATGAGCGACTAATTAGGAGCCCCTCTTGCGCCCAACTCCGCAAAAAGCGAAAAGTCAGATAAATCGCACATTTCCTGGTCGAGTGGAAGGCCGCTTTTCCGCGAGATTTCCCAACCCGAAATCTCTGTTGGCTCAACTTCAGCCCCGATTAGCAATGATAATCGGGAGGGTGTTATTTCTGCGGGATTTTCCCAAGGCAAGGGTAGAAATAAAAAGCCGAACCCGAGTAAGCTGATTTCCGTTTCCGAGCTCTTTTTTAGTGCCGCTCGAGCCCCCTTTCTAACGCGTTTTCGAGGTCTATTAAATCTTATTTCCTCTACCTGTACTTCCCCTCATTAAAAATAATTCCCGTAATATTTCTTTGAATTTCCCTCCCATGAAATTCCCGCCACGTTTCATCCAGAACGGATTATTAAACTCTTGTTTACAGGGAGGGGACGCAAAAGAGCGCAGCCGGGATTTGAGGCCAATCAGCTGATCGTGCCGAGGAAAGGATTGATCGTTTAGTTACTTTCAGGAACGGAGGAGAGGAGCATAAATTAAGATCGAGAATCTCCTGTAATGTTGTGCTCTGTTCTGTTGCATCTCACGAATGACGATTCTATGACACTAACGAGCGCTATCACAGGGTGAGTTCAGGTGGGGTTGAGTGCTCTCGGTCGTCGCGTAGGGGGGCTGGCCTTGCACCTGCACCCCTGGGGGGCAACTTGGACTCGGATGGACCACAGGGCCACGTGGTCGCAACCCAGAAACGGAAGCTTCGCACCCCCGTATGGGCAAGGTTGCGAAACATTCACATTTCCACCGAAATCCACCATAAGACCCCCGAAAACGGCATTTCAACCCCTGACGGTGTCCCCTCCGTTTACACCGACCGATTAATCCGCACCCCCGAATGCAGTCGGAATTGCAACCCCTTCTTTTTTCTTCCTTCTTCAAAGGGATTTTCATTCTTTTACTTACGTGCACATGTAAATTGATTACGGGAGAGAAAAGAATTTTGGGAAAATGGTGAAAAATTGGTACCGTCCTGACTATTGACTAATCGAATGCCCCTCGTTTTGTTTTTCATATATATCTTAACAATAGCTAATTTAATTATTATAAAGGGGTTGAATTTTTCCAAATTTCTCGCAGTTCGTTGTTACGTCAAGTCCTCCCTCCAGCACATTCTCAGTCGTAGTTGCAGGATCTGGTAGATAATGGAACTAGATTTAAATCAGTCAGTACTCGTAGTAACAATTAGAAACTCCTTTCGGATGACAATTAATCGCCCAATTCCACGGATGTACTATTTAGAGTAGCTACTCCCACTTATTCCAGGCGAAACTACAAATCTAGCGAATCCCCGTCTTTAGAGTAGCTTCCTAAAAAGTGACATACATTCACTTAGCTTAGAGTCAAGTTTCAAATCTAACTCGCAAGCCTCCCGCCGAGGCTTGAAATTTTTTTTTGCTGCGTCCAGGGAGGAAAGAAAAAGGATATTTCTCCGAATAGTCCCAAGGAAATATTGAAATAATCATTTTAATGTAATCAATTGCCTCCGACGATTCTCCGGGATTTCGGCAATTTATCTAAATTCATTTAAGCCAGATTCTTTAATTTCACAAAATATTTCTACGGTACCACTTCGGAGAAGTATTTCCTTGGTCCACTGGAATTGTTCTTCTCGGTGTAGCTGGAAAGAGCGATAGAGAGCGGAAGGTTTCTTTTCGCAGACGGCACGTCCGAGATGAGGAGGAAATTGCGGGTAGAATGTTAAAAGACAAAACGTAAAAGTAGATACGGATAAAGGATTAAGCTAATCTCTCCTCGCTCCGTCACTTTCCATCCCTCTCTTTCTCTCCTGTCGTGGCATGGTCGCCTGTCTGTCTGTCTGCCTGTCTGTCTGTCCTCTCTGTCTGTTCACATTACTCTAGATTCTTTATAGGTCTAGCATACTCCATTCGATCTTGGATGTGCGCCTGTTGCAACTTGGCCCGTTATCGAAAGTGCATACATCTCCTCATCGGTGCATGCATAGAACTTAACTCGAAAAAGAATTCTCTACCTTCGCCTTGACACGGAAATTATGCACCGAGGGTTCTCTCTGGTCTTGGGTGGAGGGAAAGGGTCGATGGTTTCTCTTTCCCGAAACTGGAGTGATTGCTCCGACCTTAATCTCTCGGCTCCGGAAAGTGCAGAAAATAAATATAATCGGGGGAGAAAAAAAGAGAAAATGAAAACGCCGCAACTCGTTAAAAAGAGTAATCTGGAATTTCTACTGCGTCGAGTTAAATAATTTTCTATTCAGATTTTTTCCCGAATTTCCCGACTTTCCAAGATCAGACCCAGACCCCCGCAGGTGCATTCGTGACACCTGATGCACTTGTCCGTTAACATAAGTTTCTGGAAGGTCTCGTCACTCCATCCTTGAGGATGCTTATCAAGGCCACTGTGATACCGTTTTGCGTGATGTCTCCTTTGATGTTCTACTTGTAGAGAGGCTGAGCGAATGGAGAGAGCTGCAGCTTGTCGTCAGGGTGTACCTCGTAGGTTCGTTCAACAATCGATTTCAAGAATTCTCTCTTATTTTGTTTCTCAGTTTCTTTTTTCTTTCTTTCTCATTTTTTTTACCGCCACCCTCTCGAGCGGCAATTTTCATTAGTGCACTTTCCGTTGAGTGACTCGCCCTTGGTTTGCACGAATTACTCTAGATTCCATCGAGGACTTTCCCGTGGAAAATGAACATCTTAAACCAACAAAACGCGAATTTTATCTTTTTCAAGAATTTAGAGAGAAGAATGAAATCATGTAAGATTATTTCTGAAAATCATAAATACTCATTAATTTAATGGGAATTCTCGCCAGTTTTAAGGGAAAGCATTTCGATATAGAAAAGGGTGAATTTCTTATGACGTATAATTTTATAGAATAGTTCAGGGAGAAGTCTTAAAAAATATCCGTATAAATTAACTTCAGCGGAGGTAAATTAATTACCATCAGGGCAAACATTAAATTGAGTGCTATTCGAGTATTACGGGAGAATTCGGATAAACTCATCGGAGGCCTTTTAAATGCAAATGTTTGTCATTTCGGGGTCGAAAGCGCGATGGTAGTCGAAAAACGAGAGAAATCGCAACACACGAGGCCAACCCGTCGAATTTCGAGAGCACTGATGGGAAATGGTTGTCACTCGAGGTAATCACATCAGCTGTTGATAGCCGGACATTTCGAAAATTCGACCAACAGTCGGAATAAATGAAATACCGCGATGGGCGTTTGTAGTTTCGTCCCTCTTGACCCCCTTAATAAATCGACAGGTCGAAGTCGAAAGAAGGTTCCCTTTTTTATTTCGTCGACATTCCCGCTTCCCTCTTTTTGCACCGAGGAATTGCAATTGAAGATATTTCTCAATATACACTGTTTATCGACTAGCCTCGTGACATTAAAAGTGCAGCAGAAGAGAATGGAAAAGTGCAGAAAGGTAGACGATCATTTTGGTGTTACTTCCTGGATTCCCGAGTTATGTCAATTTTTTTTTTAATTTTTTTTTCTAATGAACAAATATCGGAATTTGTTTACCAAGAGTGTTGCACTATTCCCTTGAATCTTCACTCGATGGGATGCACCTATCTGTCTCAACTTTCATCGCAGTTTTCAACCCTCGATGTTTCTCACGTTTTTGGTGTCCGCTTGAACGCGATAAATGTTAATAAAAATCCCAGCCAGAACCGAGACGTGGTTGGAAAAAGGATTCCAGTTAATTTTGACAAAGCATTCAAACTTCGCATTCACGTCTGGGCTTTATTGAGAGTTCGTGGGCCCTTAAGGTGATATGAAAGTGGCGTTAAAGAAGTCTCGTTTATGAAACTTTCCTCCGAACTGGGTGTACCGAATCGTATTAAACTTAACAACGTGAATATGAAGGCTATAAGGAAGGTCCGGACACCCATAAAATTTCATATTAATAAACATTTTAAAAACGCTTATAAATTAATTTTTTTTAAATTGTAATTTCACGAGGGTCGGGACCTTCCTTACAGCCTCCACATTTACATTGTAAAGTTTGAAACGATTCGGTACACCCAATTAGGAAAAAAAGTTTCATAAATGAGACCTATTCGACATCACCTTAAATGTCGACTTTTCCCGACTTTTCTCGGTAACGCATCCCCAGCTTTCGCCGTTAAAAGTGCATCTTACGTCGCTGTTTCGATGTGGGATTGCCAGCATGAACACCCGACATATGTTCATACACTAAAAAAAATGTGTTTAGTGTAAATATCAAATAAAGCGCCTCCATATTTCTAAAAAAAAGAAGAAAAAGACCTGTAGGCTGCGAATTGAATTCCGACTCACCTTAACGCGCCCTAGTAAGTACATAGTACCTACAGTACCTTCAGAACCTAGAGTACCTCCAACCCCGAGAATTAGTTAAACCTCAAAGCCCCATCATCCCCCTCGGAAGCTGCATAACACGTTAAGGGGTAAGTCAAGTCCCGAAGAAACGCAAGTAAGAGGAGAGCTATCCTAAAAGAGAAATTGCAGAAAAATTCAGAAAAATCGCGGAACCGTTTTAGGGTGAAGGAAGGTAGAAAATACGAGGTACCCCCGATCATAATTGTCACACTCGTCCATAGATGTGTCGTCTAAAAAAATAAAAAAAAAAGTACCGGGTCACAGGTCGGGAAAAAGTCGGAGGACCTAACATCTCCGTTCCGTTTCCGGTCCAGGCGACTCGCGGACGAAGACGACGAGCTCTCGGAGGTCCAGCCGGATGCTGTGCCACCGGAAGTCAGAGAATGGCTGGCCTCGACCTTCACCAGGCAATTGGCCACGACGAGGCGCAAGGCGGACGAGAAACCGAAATTCAGATCCGTGGCCCATGCCATCAGGGCCGGGATCTTCGTCGACCGGATCTACAGGAGGGTCACCAACACGGCGCTCATGCAGTTCCCCCAGGAGGTCGTCAAGGTGCTCAAGGTACGAGTCATTTTCAAACCGTATATCTATTTTACACCCGACAAAGTTCTTTCCGGTGGGATTTCTCTGGTTCCGGTTCCTTCTACTCGACCCGCCCCTTATCACCCCAAAGGGGATCCCGATGATCGGGGGAGGCAGGCCTTGGAAGACCCTCGCAAGTCAATCAAACTTCCCCAGAATTGCTTATTAAGGCGGGACGAAAGTAGCGTCGAAAGAGTCTTGCTTATGACACTTTTTTCCGATCTGAGCGTACCGAATCGATTCAAACTTTACAACGTGAATAGGGAAGCTGTAAAGAAGGTCCCGAATGAAATTTCAATTTTTAAGAAATTCATCTGTGGACATTAATAATATTTTTATAAAATATGAAATCTCACGGGTACGCATTTGGTTACCGAGGAGCCTGGTCCGCGCAAAGGGATGGAAAGAGGATAACGATATCGAATGGTATCGACAGGGACAAAGTGGACCGGGGAAGTCTTAATCAAGCCGAGTTTTCCGGAGAAAAACGGCAATTTTCTCGTTTCCCGGGCTCCACATCTACGCGGGGCTGGAAAGGGCTTCTCTCGGTCTTCTTTGTTCTCCGGAGACGTCGATCCCCTTTGTTCGACACTCATTGACTATTATTCGGCCCTGCATTACGAAGACTTCTCCCTTGGCTCGACTCATTGTCCGAAAGCAGTCTGCAGTTAACCAAGGAGTCTGATGCGTTTCTCCTGGCAGGATTAACCCAGGATATCCGAGTGGCCAGGATTCCTCCCAGCAGGAAGAGCGGCCGACGCTCTTATCAGGATCGTCGTTTAACCCCTTCAGAGAGTTCAATTTATAAGGTTCCTTGACTCCTGACTGGGGGTGTTCTTATCAGGCCCGAGAGTCGACCCCTTCAGACGGTTTATGGAATTGATAAGGGTACAAAATATAAACCATGGATTGCAGATAATAACCGCGGATCTTCCCGGATTTTCCATACCGGTCCTTTACGAGGAAGTTGTTCGATCAATAAAAATTCACCAGGGTGTTAATGCAAATTATGAAATATCCTCCTAGGAGTCTAGGTGATATCGTTTAGAAAGTGGATGTATAAAATCAATGATGGATCGCAGATAATAAACGTGGATTTTTCCGGATTTTCCAGACCCTGGATGACTGGTCCTTCGACGTGTTCTCCTTGAGCGAAGCCGCGATGGGTGCTCCGGTGAAGTACTTGGGCTACGACCTGCTGAATCGCTACGGGATGATTCATAAATTCAAGGTGCCACCGGCAGTCCTGGAAACCTTCCTGGGAAGGGTTGAAGAGGGTTACTGCAGACATAGAAACCCATACCACAACAACCTACACGCCGCCGACGTGGCTCAGACCATGCACTACGTCTTGTGTCAGACGGGCTTAATGGTGAGTTCGGTTTCCCAGATGGACAGAGTCCATCTCTTTCCCGGGAGAAAGGTTAAAAATGGATCAAAATGCGAGTCCATCTCGTAAAAGATATTTTAGGCGTATCTGCCTGGGTTCTAGATTCTCGGCAATATTCTCGGCCATATTCCCAGGGTAACAATTGCGCGCTAAAAGCTCTACCGATGTCTAGTAAATTTCCCGACGGGATTTCCCTAGAACTGGCTGACGGATCTGGAGATATTCGCGACCCTGGTGGCTGCTATCATCCACGATTACGAGCACACCGGCACTACGAACAACTTCCATGTCATGTCCGGAAGTGACACCGCCCTGTTGTACAACGACCGAGCTGTCCTGGAGAACCACCACATCTCTGCCAGCTTCCGGTACGGGCTCTCAAACCTGCCTAAAGTGATAAGAAACCTTTTTCCACGAGAATTTCATTGGCGATAACAAACATTATTTTCGCCTGTACGAGGTCCCTCCACTTTCGGAAATTAATTATTAATTTCTCCACTTCAACGAAACGTTGATGCTCCTTGCAGGATCCTGCGGGAGGACGAGTGCAACATCCTGCAGAACCTATCCAGGGAGGAATTCCGAGAGTTTAGGACCCTGGTAATCGACATGGTGCTGGCGACCGACATGAGCTTCCACTTCCAGCAATTAAAGAACATGAAGAATCTTTTAAGCTTGGCCGAGCCCAGCGTCGACAAGAGCAAGGCCGTCAGTTTGGTCCTCCATTGTTGCGATATTTCCCATCCCGCGAAGAGATGGGACCTTCATCACAGGTGCCACCTTGTCCTCTCATAAGAAAAGGACATTTCATTTTTAATTATCTCAAGAACATACCCCGAACAGGAAATGCATTTAATGTACTGATTAATATTTTAATTAATGCCCTCCCAGATGGACGATGCAGCTCCTCGAAGAATTCTTCCGCCAAGGCGACAAGGAGAGAGCACTCGGTCTACCTTTTTCCCCACTTTGCGACAGAAACAACACCTTGGTGGCCGAATCGCAAATCGGGTTCATCGAGTTCATCGTCGAGCCCAGCATGCAAGTGTGCAGCGACATGTTGGAAGCGGTTCTTGCACCGCTCAATCCCAAAGAGAGTGTCGACGATCCGAATAATGGTACGAAAAATTTCAAATCGCAGGATTGTCACTCCACTCGTACTTTGATACCCTGTCGCGACATTTGTTACAAATGATTGAATTTAAAGGGAGCGGAACGGACGACGGGAGGTTCAAAATCACGAAGCCTTGGAGCCAGTGTCTCGTGGAGAACAAGAAGATCTGGAAGGAGCAAGCGATCAAAGGTAAGATAAATATTAAGAAATAATTTAATAAAAGAAGAACCGAATTTCCAGGATCTCATTTCACTCGTAACGATATTTCAAGTGACTCGGTGCTCCGAATTTCGAAAGCTTATCATTTAAACTGGACGTCGCCGTTCAATTAGACAATTAAAATAATTCTCGTTTGCATCTGATCAGATGCCGAAGCCCGAGCCCAGAGAGAGCAAGAGCAGCGGGAAAACGAAGAAAGACAGGAAGAAGCCGAAGTACAAAGTACCGAAGAGGAACAAGAACCGACCGACAGGGCTGAAGACGCGTCTTAAGATTTAGAGATTGTTTTCAACTAGGAAGGTTAATTGCAAACAGAGACTGAGAGTGGAAAGTGAAGAGGGAGTCGAATACGAAGAAACCAGGAAACGAAGCCCGAGTCCAGAAATTGTAAGGAAGGTCCAGGAGGGGCCTCGAAGAAAATAATCGAAAAGCAATCCGACTTCGAGAGGTCTCAAGTCTATTCGCAAATGGCAGCACTAGCGAGCTCGTTTTCCCTCCGAGGAAGTCGCAATCGAAACCGCCCGTTTTCGTCACACAGAATTCCTCCTTGTCGGACGAGGCAGGAGGACCCGGTCGTTTTATAAGTGGACTTGTTTCCCCTTCAAGTTTTTCTAACTCGAGTGTTTTACGATTAAACCTCTCTGACTGTTCCTCTAGAGTCGCGCGATAGGGCAGAAGGTGTCGCGGTGCGTTTTCTCCGAAAATCCAGGAATATTCCAGGAATATTCCAAAAAAGGAAAAAAAAAAGGTAAGAAAGTGGGAGCGTCTTAAATAGTTAAAAAAAAAAAAAGTAGCACCAGATATCTACGGCTCATCGTCTCGCGCGTAACGAAGAAGAGAAAGAAGGAGAGTAGAAAAAAAAAAAGAAGAATTAAGAAACTAAGTCCAGCTGGTCTGGCGAATGCGAGGATTTTGAGCTCAAAATGGCGGCCCTCCTTCGAGAGGGCATCGTTTGTAAATAATTAAGTGTATATGTCTACTCGTACAGCGAGGTACTCGCGTCGCAGCTTTAAGTAATGTACAGGAATTAACGATATACCCCTAGTGTTATTTATTCGACGTGTGCTGAATTTCGTGTAAATATGACGAGGGAGGAGGAAAACCGAGACAGCGATTCCGCACTCCAAATTAAACGGTGTAAACGCGATTCGCCATTGGCGAGCCGCAAGAAAATGAAATTATTCCGTCGTTAGAGAATCGGGGTTGCAAAGTGGCCGTTTAAAAATTTCATCCCGGACTTTCCAGAAGCCGTGAATTATTCCGCAGGCGTCTCGAGAAGCGGATTTCGGGGCGGCTCGCGTTCGCGTGGCACTCGCGTAATTATTTAGTAATTATTCATTTATCGTAGGTATATCATAGCAAAGAGGGGAGAGCAAGCTCTGAGGTGAAGCGCGAAAGGTTCGGTTTTGTTTCGGAAATAGCCCTAAAGTATCTGCTTTTAACAAAGCACTGTTAATTATTTAATTAATTGGCATGCACTCGTCGACGTTAAGTACCTACCCCAAGGTGTTTCGACTTTCATCTATACCTTGTCAATTAGCCGAGCTTTTAACGCCGCTTTTAAGGAATTAGGGGAGAAAATTCTACAAGCGCGACACGTTATCAAACATTTATCAAAAAGGACGCCCGGCCATTTTGGCGCGACGTCTTTTCCATGACTCACGTTTCCCCTCAGAGCCGGCAATTTTTAGAGACCAAGGATAATCGAATACTCGTCCGAATACAGGAGCATCTTCTCTTTCGTTGTTGCATCCTTCCGCACACGCGTAATTGTTAAATGTGCCGCTTTTGTATGTTCTAAGCCTGTATATTTCCGATTAACCGCGGGGGAGTCATCGATCATGAAGAAAGTCCGTCTAATTGGCTTCAATCGATACCACGACTGTTAAATACTCCATTCGACAACCTAAATAGCACTTAATCCCAGGCGAGTAAAAATGGAACCCGTCTTAGGTGTTACGACGCTCACAGCGCTCCGGAAGTTCCTCAAACTCGGCGCTGAATTTCCTAAAATCGAGTCTAAATTACTGAAATTTCACGAGGGGAAGGAGTATATATACGTGTAATGGTAAAAAGTCGTGTCAAGTAGGGTCCAAATTGAGATCGGACTTTAGTGTGAGCGAGGGTAAAATAAATCTGCAAAAGGCGCGCGTCCTGAAAGAACCAAGATGGCGGCGGTCGCGGAAGAAGACGCCGCGGCGTGTACCTATAATATTAAGGGACCTCGGGTCAGATCGGGCCGACCTTTTCCGATATTCGACACGACTCGACAGTTTACGATCTACCCATGGTGATTCCCCACAAACGGGGGTCCCATGACACCGGGATGATAGCTTTATTATCACTTAAGCATCGCCGAGGGTCCCGCACCTCTGCAAGGCGCAATGGCCTTCGGGCAAGTTTTCGTTCGACCTCCGAGCGAGAAGGCGCCGAATATACTTCTTAGGGAGCTTCTCAAGGAACTTTTTTAGGTATCCTTCCGTTTTTATCTTTCCGTTCGCTCGAATAAAGCGTAGCTCAGAATTATGGCAGGCACAGGTACGAACGAGAGGTGCGATCGGGATGATTCGTGGACGGGGTGAGAATTTTCGCCCCTGGCTGCGAAATCGGGCGGCACGAATGTCAATTGTTATTAACATATCATTAATTAAGAATCCCACGGTCTAAGTTCGCGGGTAAAACAAAGTTTTCGCTCTTCGTTCTCTTTTTTGGTGCGTTACTCTGTCACTCAATCGGTGACGTTCAAAGTTACATTCAAATGAAAAGAATTAATAAATGATTAATTACTATTTTATACATTTTCGAGGAAAGGCTTTTTATATGCCCTTTCGACATTCCTGCCGCTCCATTTCGGATGACAATTTACTTTCGATGGGGTTCAGCATCAACGGGGAAAGGATCTCTCGGACATTACTTCCTGCAGCGGGCAAGGGGCCAAATCGCGCATTTAGAAGTAAAGGCAACTTCTCAACGCGGTTTATTTCTGTAAATATTTCCGAACCGCGGGAAAACATACTCTGTACCCCCTTTGGATTAAGATCGGCCTTAGGGTATCGTATCGTTAAAAATCGCGACCATTTCTCCAATCAATGCGAAGAGGGATAATTGTAAGATAACTTAACCGACCACTCGATCCACGATAGGGAGAAGAAAATAAGCTTTTCCTACGATTTCAAGAATAGATCTGTCGAATCGCGACCAACGGGCGGCGGGAATTACAATTTAAGATTAAATCGATCTCGTCCGGAAGCGGACATCGAGTCGGAAATACTCGACCAATACTAATAACAATTAAGGCAATTGAATGACAAAAGCACTAGAAGAGAAAATACAGTCATAGGTACCCTGAGAAAAGAAATATCATCGAGCCGAAGAAATATTTTCTTACTCAAAAGAACAATCATTTGACCGGAATAAACTCGAGCAAATCGGTGACTAATTATTTGCGTCAAATAATTGTTCATTGAATTAACCAAATATTTCTTCGGTTAAATGTATTCTTTTTATTTTCTTCTCGGCGTAGTCGCCGAAATTTAAGGGCTGACGAATCCACTCTCGGGTGTATGTATGTGTGTGCGCAACAATTACAGCACGTGACAATTGCATTTCACTTGAGATCGGATTTTTTATAAGACTCGTAAGTGTCCGGAGTGGATCGGGTGCGAGACGCGTTCGGCGCTTTTAAATGTATATTGCAAATGAGACAAATTGTACATTTTCTATATTATTTTTCAGCACAATTTCATAGAAAGGTGTGTACATAATTAACGATTACAGCACCGTGTCCGTAAACTGTAACGTACTTAACGATTACGCAGAAAGGATTAATATATTATATATATATATTACTCGGATCTAAAATATATATATAATTACTGTATTGTGCGTAACTCTATCATTATAAATAAAAGTAATCGATTACTTACACCTGCAAGCTCGTTTCTCACACCCCGACGGATATTTCGACGATTGTTAATGAAAAAAAAAAAAAAAAGTCACCATTGACATCGTCGACCGAGTTTTTTTTTTTTAATTTCAAGCAAGCTTACCGAGATCATTAGCTTTCTTCGTGTGGAAACTTGAGTGTCAGGAATAACCACGGAAACCACAAAAATCAAGGCGAATTTATTAATAGCACGTGACATGTTTTTCTTTTACTATAAATGTATATGAAAACTAAGAGTCAACAAACTTCACTAAAAATTAACAACGACGGATTTGGGCACAAGTGCGATTCTTAAGGTGATGTGAAAGTGGACGGGTCTCGTTTACATGAAGCTTTCCTCCGAACTGTGTTCGTGATGATTTAAAAAATTTCTTTTTAAATATGTTGAAAATGGTTTACGAAAAATTGAAACTGTAAAGTTTAAAAGAATTCTGTCCAGCCAGTTTGAAGAAAATTTACATAAAGGAGACCTCCGCGCCGCCATTTTGGTACCCCCTTAAGAAAAGGCAAAACAGAGAGAGAGACAGATCCGACCTCCTGCTTCCTTGCGAATAAATATATTTGACTTTCTTTATTGTACTCTGCTAATTTACACGTTTATAAACTATCAAGCAAAATGATCGTGTCACATTGAGAGTTGCACACACCGTGCCGAAACAGGCCGATCGCCACCAGCGTCGGATTTTCTCCACTAATTACCTATTGTTCGTCGTAGAAGAAACGTCGGGTCGACAAACAAGGAGGGAGAGAAAGAGAGGGAAACGAAAATGAATAAGTCAACATTCGCGAAACCCGCGAAAACGGCGTAGAAGCGTCGCCAAACATTAAGCCCGTTTCGTTCCTGGGAACGGTCTAACTTGTACAAACCCTAATTCCTCATGTACATCGTCAAAGCCGAGTTTCCGCATACCGTGCGTGCTCAATGTAATTACATTATAATTATAAACCCGATGCGAAGTGGAAAAGTACACGCAGTGACCTCTTGCAGTGACTGTGTCCGAAACAGTCCTCGACTCGCATCCGGATATACAGGGTGGTCCATTTTAAGATTCCACGTTCCTAACCATTTCTGTGCATCTTATGAACAACGCATTGACGTCATAAGGTTTTCCCGAAAGAAAAAAAAAAAAAAGATTCACCATTCGGAAATTATGTTGAAAATCACAGTACTTTTTTTTTTTTTTCCATGACATACGAAATCTGTACACGGTCTTCCCGTCCCTCTCTCGCCTGAAACAATGGTTTTGCAGAAAAACGCCGACTCGAAATTTGCATATCGAAAACCTATCTCCTCTCCATATCACGAAATACATCTCCGTCAGCGGTCCATTAAATTCTCGCGTCTCCTCTCTTAACATCTAGTTTCAACGTCCAAAGAAATCGGCGATCGTAAATCATGATTTACAATTTCCATCCCATCGATACAATCGAGCCAACCTTTCCGCACGACAACCTACGCCTAATTCCCTCTCTCACCTTGACAAACGCGTAACAATTACATCGAGACAGTCCCTCAAAGGTGGTTTGCAAATCTCTAGCAGAGCGCGCGAGCGGTTCGGCATCCGAGCGAGCCTAATAATTAAAGGAAAGAGATCGCAAAATGAATAACAAACATGTAAACGTTATACATGCGATAGTACGTCGTCTCGGTAAGCCTAGTACAGTGAAATAACACACTGCAGACCGCAAATCAATCTAATATTGTCTGGGCAACGAGTACGGATCCAGTCGCGAGTTGCCGCCGCCATCTTGACCGCCTCCTGGCAACAATTGCCTCGATCGATCGAATAAATACAACAAACGCAGAGTCAGCCTTGCTATGTTAAGAGGAACCTTCCTATCACCGGCTTAATGACGGTTTACGAGTTCAGGGAAAAAAAGGGGGCATTTCGTCGCCGAAATGAAAAATGCTTTTCCAGCCTGGTATACAACGGATCAGTGGAACGATAATCCAAATCATACTGACATCGAGGGAAAAAAATGAAACTTAACAGATTCCGTTACCTCCCAACATCTTCGAGTTTCAATATAAAATAGGCAGACATAAGTAACCGACTGCAGTACTTCGCATTGCCTGTAGAGTGTGCGTAGGTTTCCTATTTATTTATTTTTTTTTTCACGGAACGCCGTGACAATCGGTAATGTTACTGCCTGTTTGTTCATTGCTCAAATGGCGCTCGGATCGATCCGATCGTTCCAATCGACTTCGGCACCCTCTTAACAGTTCATTCCAACACGACAAATGACATTCTGAGATCCAGTAAGATAGTTTCCAATTTATTCCGCCATTTATTCTAGCCGAAGCGCAGAGACGCGAGTTACATGTACCTAGTGAATAATTTCTCGCTCGTTTTTCCTCCTGGCCGCTCGAACGAGAGAGAGAGAGAAAAAGAGAGATATCCCGATGTCTTGAGTATCACTTTTTTTTCCAGACTTGACGAGTATATACGCATGTCCCCACCACGAAGTAGTACACGAAGACACAACGCCGATGATCGGTCTCCCACGGAAAGTTACCCCATAATCTCAGATCACCGCTGATCTAACGACGCGAGCGCTACTTGCGGACAACGAGGGAACTCCAATCTACGTCACGTGAATGACCTAAAATGCTTTTAATTTTACAATCAAGGTACGCAAAGCGAAACTATAATCCGCGGATGATATACAGAATGTGATGTATTTAACGCGATAAAGACCCGCTAGAAGACGATAATTTTTAATAGCACAATTTAATTGAGGAGGAGCTCTCGGCCCTAGAGCGGGAAAAATTTGAAGATCTCGGACCCCTAAAGTGGGGATGATTTCAATCCATGACGTCACATCTCCTTATACTACTCGGTGGTCCTAAAGGACAATTACGGAGGGTAACCGTGCGCAGGGAGGAGGAGGCTCGAAGTTGTGACACGGGAGGTAAAGATTACGGCTAGACCATGGGAGAGAAACAACGAAGGTAGCTCCTCCCTTAACTTCAAATGTCGTTAGCAGACTCGGCGCTAGAACTATTTCCCGCTGACGACGACGAGGTGAAAGACGTCCTGCTACTGCTGGACTCGTTGGCCGCTCTGTTTCGTTAAAACACATTACCTCTGCATTGTAATGCAATTACACGTGATTTTCATTGGTTATGAAGGTCGGCCGGATTAACTGGATCACGGGGATGAAATCGCATAAGGAGCTCCTCTGGGACTTTCTGGAAAATTTCGCGGCCCATGCACAAAACATTCGAGGCTCCCACAGAAGTCTAGGAGACGAACATTTGAGGCTCGGTAATTGCACTGAGAGGAAAAAAAGTGAACTAGAGAAATACTTTTATACCCTTTTAAAATTTGCAACACAGCCTTCATGGCCAACTGGGCAATTAAATATAGGATTACTTGTACAGAGAGGTCGGAGCTTCTTATGCTACTTCACGATTGTGAGTTAACCGCGGAAGGTTTAATAAGTTTCGCGCATTTTTGGGCAGAACACGCCAAACGCACAATATAAGTGATGACACATACCTGAATAGAGCAGCTAAGCTAGGTCCTACGGTGTCTTGATTAGCTTCTGCTGAATTCTGATCTCCTAAGCTCTGTCTACATATGGGACAGGTTCCATGCTAGAATGGGACATTGAATCTCTTTAATTCCCCTCGTTTAAAAAGACTATAAGACGTCGATTAAATTTCTAAACGTGCTCTTCACTTTACTTTAAGATAACAACTTACCAGTTCAAGCCAGGGGACGATGCATGGGGCATGGTAAAAGTGTTGGCAAGGAAGTTGCCTCACAGGCTCGGAGAGCTGAAAATCCTCCCAACAGACCGAGCACTGCAGTTTCATATCTGGAAATATAAGAACGTAATTCGGCACGAAATGGAGGTACATCATTAATGACGATAAGTGAAGGATTCTCACGATGACGTGTACTGACCAACTTGCAGCTGAGAAACTGCCGTCGTAGGTATTTCGTCGATTTGTCTTTGGGGTAAAGGGGGCGGTCCAGTACCGTCCATTTGATTGAGCAATTGCGTAACAATGGCATCCAATCCATCTCGTCCCCATACATAATCACCCGGATTGCCCAAGAACAGTCTAATATTCGATCTACATTATTATATTTCATTTTAGTAAATCTGTGAGCAAGGAACATGCAGAGGAGTGCTCGGGTGACAAAAGTGCTGCAGCTCGGTTGCAATCATAATGCGCCGATACGTACAGGTCTTACAAAAGTGACTCGACGTATCGGAGCACTATGTTCAATTGACCATATATTTTAACAATGTCTCTTCTAAGCTGCAAGATTTCTGTCACCGAGATAATTCAACGTACGTACACAGGTGGTTGCACTCCCTGTGCCAACGGGCCCAACCCAAACCTGGAGAGGTTGAAAATAAAGTTTTGTATAAGGCTGTCTATTGGCATCAACGATTGTCTGTCACGGTCGCTGAAAGCAAAAATCAAACTTTATTACCTCGCCCTCCTCCATTTCGCTAAGGTAACACCCAAAACCAGTGATATCATTTAAAAAAGTGACATGGATGTTGCATGAAACATGAAAGTAAGCATCGTCAACTTTCTCATGACAGGGTTAAAGAAATTCCAAGTCTCGTAACTTTTTATTTTTCATTTAAAAAGCAAAAGCATTTTAATGTCCCGGTTTGCCAGTAAAACGGAGCGCCAATAAGAACTGCATTTTTCAAGAAGCGCACAGTGTTAGTCAAGATGGTGTTAAGGTGATACGAAAGGGTCATTCTACATACATCGAAACGTCAATATATTTATAAAACTTTTCCCAAAACTGGGTGCACCGAATCATTTGAAACTTCATCACTTCAGCTGATAAATGATTCGGTTAACCCAATTCAGAGAAAAGTTACATAAATATTATGAAACTTCGATATACACAGAATAACCCTTTCGTAACACCTTAAACTGACAAAAATGAGAGGTGCGTATGAAAACCATAGCGATTCTATTTACTTTTTCACGCATCATCGATTCGACTGAGTTCCATATCGAATGGAAACTCAATAATTCACATAATAGACAACAGCCATTGAGTAAAGTAGTTTGAGAAAACTATTTTACGGGTTCACGTTGATCTGATCGAAAGTTAAGCGCGGAGGGGTCGACATAAATCATAAAAAAATCTGTATCAACGTGAATACACTGCCAGGTTACCGCCAACATTGATTCCGAGACAACAGCATGTACATTGAAACGCAACGTCGGTAGAGTAAACAATTATAAGTACTTAAAAAAATAATTAAAAGGAACACGGAAGTCTCATTAAGTTTCGATGATTAAATTGGCTGACTCGAGGGGGGTTTCACTTCCCTCCCAGGCTGTTCGTGAACGTGTTTAAAATTACTTTAAAATAGCCAGTATCTTAATGTCGACTTCAGTTTCGTTATAAAGTAAACAATTAAAAGTAGGAACGTCAGAAATTCGGCGGTAAACCAGTGGCATCGTGTCAGTAAATAGAATACCGCTGGGGATGACGCCTGGTGCGGTAGGAAGCAGGGTACCTGCCGGAGCGACGTGCATCTGTATAATCATGAAGTGATATTGATCCCCTCCTAGTTACAAGCCTATTGTCATCTGGTTCGAAGGTATACCGTGGCAGCTAAACAGAAAATACATACCTCACCATTAACGTTTAACAAAGAACCACGCATTACTGGCTCGTGAATTGTCAAGTAATGTTTATACTTACAAATGATATCGTATCGTTACGCATGATTGCGTCAGCTTCCATATCCATACTAGAGCCACTATCATTCCCACTATTCTCGAGTTCCTCTATAAAACCGCTGTAGCAGTTTGGGCATGTGTAATCCTGGTAACAAGTAGAAGAAAAATTAATTAATGCCTTCGTTAATTGCCATAGTAATAAACTGACACAATATCAGAATCAAATCTAGTTAACAAAGTAGACCTTTTGCCTATTAGACTTGTCCAAAGGGAAGTAAAGTGGCCCGAACGACACGCATCACCGATATAACCTCTAAGATCGTATAAATCAATTTTCCTTAAATCACAAAAATCCATTCACCTTCCACCTCGAGCATGACATTTGCTTAATCAGTAGCAAAGTCCACAGTGGTGTCGGGGTGTTTCAAAAATAGAAATCCCTAAAGACAGAAACGTACAAAGAGAAAACCAAGACGTGTTTCTTTCAAGGCACAAGGGAGAACCAGACGCACGTCCCTAAGAAGAGATGAAAGAACTCTACGAAAAAACGAACGAAAGATCCAATATCTTCAAAACCAGATGACTAAACCCTACGAAGCAATACGATCCCATGAATAACGACGTTGCGAGGGGACGAAGGAATTTGCCAGACATGAGAAATCAGCGAAGCCTCCAAACTCTGTGTTGTGACATTCGGTTAGAGAGTCGTCCCACACTGGGGTGTCAGTTCCTCGAAAAGCAGAAAGCCCGAAGCTGAAAAATTGCAAAAAGAGAAAGAAACGCGTCGAATCCGCTCGCCGATCCTCATACGGGGCGAGAGAGAGAACTTGACGCAGTATTCCCGTTCACACATGGTCGGAATTGACAAACACGCGGAATGGCCGGAAATCCGCGTCGAAATAAGTGTCGCGCCTAGCTGGGTTATTCGGTTTGCGCGTCATGGCGGGCGTAAACGGAATTACTTACGGGTAACAAGTGTTCGATTTCTGCGCTGCACTGGTGGCAGAAAAACCGCGACATCGGGGCCCCGTCCACAACGGCCTCCGCCATTTTGGACCGTCCGACGTCTCGTGTGATCTCCGTTCGATCTCCCTCTGGTCCTCCCGCCGCGAGACTGCAGGACGACCGCTGTCGCCAGTAGTCACCACTTCGACACGTTCGGACACGCTCGAACCAGACACACAGCTCGTGACTCCCTGGTCTCAATGGCGACAGTCGGCGACGATCGGTGACGCCTGGCGACGTCCTGGCGGCCCCCGCGCTCACCTCCGTCCACCTCCGTCGGCCCCTCACCAAGATGTCATCGCATTGATATGAAGTAAACTGGGTACCAAATTGTATACGCATACAGGGAACGGGGTCGATTCTGTAACTCGAGTTTCATGAAAATGCTAAAAGTGAGCACCTCCTGCGATTCTGTACTTTTCACTATGATGGAAATGTGAGATACTTCGCGTGAGACTACTCGATGAGGAGGTCTGTTACGTAATACTTGCACCATATACACGAGGAAGCCATTCCTGATCGCCAGTGTATACGTGCACTAGCTGTCCGCATTCTCCACTGGGCCAGCACGAAACGCGATCGAGTGGTCCTGCCCGTGAGCAATCTCCTAACTCATCTCTACTACTCCATGTCTATGGTCTCGAGATTCTGTTGAGTGACGTCACTAATGTCAGTGACATCCGGCAGCGAAAACTCGAACTACGGCGTTAATTTTGGAATCCTTGTGGTCCTGAACAGAAATAAACTTCGCTTCTATTCAAGCCCAAATTCACCGCTGATATTTCGCACGAATCGCACGAAGAAAAAAAATGAACGTAACGACGCCGGAAGCTGTTCCCTGGCGTGTGGTTATGAATGTTCAAGCAATGTGATATTATTTATAATAATGAGTATTGTCACTCCCAGCTTACTAGTACGGTTCGAACTATCGTAAACTTGAAGCGTTTAAGATATAGTTGACGATTTTGACTAATTTCAGTCATGAAGTTGGTGAAACCAAACTGGGTGACGCATGATGGTTTGTAAAAGTTTTTAATTTTTTTTCCCTTATTTATTCACAATTTAATGCCATGTATACTGAAATGTTGTTTCTACGATCAGATAATCCGATATTTTCTGTGGACATCCACCCCGATGGAAAGAGATTTGCAACGGGTGGGCAAGGTACATAAGAATGTTTTGAAGTTGATATATTAGTATGAATCTTTGTTCGTCATTTAATGCATTTGGTTGTAATCGTAGGTGGAGATTCAGGGAGGGTAGTGATATGGAACATGGAACCCGTTTGCAATGAGTGTGCCGAGTTGGATCAAAATGTCCCCAAGATGCTTTGTCAATTGGATAATCATTTAGGTGAGAAATCATGGATGACTTTGATTATTATGTATAGAGAGAAGAAATAATTTTTTCTACTTGAATGGAAAAGTTTTAAGTAATCCTAGGTATTGTCTAAGTGTATTAAAGTGTATGAGGTTATTAATAATGACCGGCAATATTAACAAATGTGCTTCAGCTTGTGTCAACTGTGTTCGATGGAGCAGCAATGGATTATTAGCTTCAGGAGGTGACGACAAGTTAATCATGATATGGAGGCTGTCGGGAGCCGGAGGTAGTACGGTCTTTGGTGGAAAAGCTAGCGTCGAAACGTGGCGTTGCATAGCTACGTTGAGGTCACACGAAGGGGATGTTCTAGACCTCGCATGGGCTCCTCACAATCCCTGGCTAGCCTCTGCCTCTGTAGATAATAGCGTGATTGTATGGGATGCTTCTAAATTTCCTACGATAGTTGCAGTAATTAAAGGCCACACAGGATTAGTGAAAGGTATTACGTGGGACCCGGTGGGAAAATACTTAGCTTCTCAATCCGACGACAAAACATTAAGAGTTTGGCGTACAACGGACTGGGCAGAAGAAGCACTAATAACGGAGCCATTTGACGAATGCGGTGGGACTACTCATGTTTTGAGGTTATCATGGAGTCCTGATGGCCAGTATCTTGTGTCCGCCCATGCTATGAATGGTGGAGGACCAACGGCTCAAATAATTGAAAGAGATGGGTGGACTCAAGATAAAGATTTTGTCGGACATAGAAAAGCCGTGACGTGCGTAGTACGTATTTTATGACCTATGTCTTTAATGTATTCATTTTCCAGATTTAACCAATTTAAGGGCATTAATTAAATCTCAAACATTACAGAGATTCAATGGCAATATTCTGCAGAAAAAGGTACCAGGTGCATCGAAGCCGCAACAGCATTGTTGCGTAGCAATAGGATCGCGCGATCGCTCCCTCTCGGTGTGGCTGACATCCCTTAAACGACCACTGGTGGTAATTCATGAGTTGTTCACTCACTCGGTGTTAGATGCTAGTTGGTCTTCGTGCGGTCTGAGACTGGCAGCATGTTCTTGGGATGGCTCCGTCGTATTCATCGAGTTCACTCAACAGGAATTGGGCCAGCCTTTGGATGCAGCAGAATTGGTGAGTCTAAGTAGCATTTTAAGGATCATTGTTATCACTGCTATTTCAAGAACTTAAGATTATAACAAAAACGGTGACAACTTGTAGAGCACGGTACACGAGCGTTTATATGGAAAACCATTGGCCCAGGGGGGATCGTTAGTGATGGAAGCCCCGGAGCTTCTGAACTTAAAACCACCGGTCCCACCGTCTCAACCACCGGTGATCCAGCCAGTAATTAATTCCGCGCCTCCACCATCCACGTCCATTGCTCTAGCAAAGGGACCCATTAACAAACAAATAGAAACCAGAACTTCGGATGGCAAAAGGAGAATCACCCCGATGTTCATCCCACCTCCACCCGACACGATGTAAGTTACCCGATGGTGATTAAGAACCGTCCCAGAGGTAAAATTAAGGCTCACAAAAATTATACGACTTTCAGGGATACTGCTATAGGCGGAGGATTAGGTACACCCACGTTTACCAGTACGTCACAGTCGAAGAGTACAATCGTCATCGAGAAGCGAGACGACGTTGTCACGCCGAACGTGAGTACAGCGGTGAACTCGGCTTCTGCAACCGTACCGTCGACGATACACACGTTGAAACGTCGGGAACAATCTACGCCGAAGCCTCACCACTCCACCCAGAGTAAACGACCTAAAGTAGTGTCAGAGAGGAGCGGAAGTCACGTCGTACTTCCCTCGTTGAAGCCGTCCAGTTCCTTGTCTCAACAGGCAGGACATTACGCCGTGACTGTAACGAACAGCCAAGGACTCGCCCATTTGCAAGTGTTCCGAGGAACGGACACGGAAGCGACGTGGGATATGTATCTGGGATACAACGCCGTGGCTCTAGCCGCTTCACCGGCTGTTGTGGCGTTAGGATTGGAAGACGGCAGTGTTCACATATTTCACCCTGCCAAGGGCTCGCGGCCTTCTCCTCCTCTAGCTCCTCCAGCTCCTCTGGCCAAGGTTCACGCGGTTGGAAACACGGTTATGGTAGTTTCATGTTGCGGTGCGATACGTGTCTGGGAAATTGGGAGTTCTTGTCGTCTCATCGTGTCCACTTCGGCTAGTCACTTGGCAGCTCATGGAGCGTCGTTGCTGTCGTGCACCCTTCACAACGGAATGCCACATCTGGCATTCTCGAACGGACGAGCGTACATCTACCACAAGGAAATGGGTAAGGTTAAGTCTTTTAAGGCTATTCAATGTTATCGGTGGAATTCTGTACGCTGACTTTGCAGCGACTTGGTTACTGATCGGTGACAGCCACGATCCTGTCTGGCGGTGGTCCTCGCAAATCGCTTTCAGCACCACTGGATCGAGGACACCTCGGGGTCCCCTCTCTTCGTTGCAGGAGGGCCTGCGAAGGACGTCTGGAAGCTCTCTACCGAATCCGAGGCTACCTCATAGCGGTCCTAGCGTAGTTTCTTATTTGGAGCAACAGCTTCTTGCCTCGAAAGCTCTTGGTAGCTCACAGGAATACGTGCATTGGCTCATGGCATTGGTGTCCTTTCTGCTCACCCAAGGTATGTCATCGATACGTGGTTGATGTGTCTTCTGCCTAATGTGCATAGTTTAATGTGATTGATTTAGAAGGAATCATTTAATATTTTTTTATACAGATGGATTAGAGAAACGCTTGAGGTTAATACTCGATGACTTAATGGGTCCGAGTCATGGATGTGCTTCGAAAAGCACATGGGAGTCTGCAATCCTGGTACGTGTGAATCTTGTGTCGTCCTTTTTTTAAATAAACATTTTTTAGGGCCTTAAATTAGGCGAACGTTTGCTCTTCTTTTAGGGGATCAAAAAGCACAAACTACTGGGAGATGTTTTAGGGGTGATCGGTGGCCATCTCAGGTGGCAGAGACTGTACTTGGAGTACTCCGAACAACTAATGACAATTAAGGAGTTGTGAAACGAAAATTGGTACATTAATGCAAGTATAGACGGCAAGCGATTACGAACGATAACGTGCATACGCATTTCTACGTGAATTGTACATTTAGTTCTAATTTTTCATGAAGATTGTACAAATTTTTCTATCTCGTCGCGAAGTGAGCAAAATAAATTATTAATTTACGAAGTTTAGGTAAAGAGGCGAGCTGAATATTAGCACGTTACCTGTATCATAAAGCATACAACGTAAAAGGCTCCATTGCGAAGACCCGATTTAATTGGGTGATTAAAAATAGCGGATCAACTTAATCGCGTTCATAGCAATATATTATTATCGATAGATATACACCACCTCATAAGCTCTCTCTTTATAAAAATACGTAATGAAGCTCGGTGTGCGATAAGCAGAAAACTTGTAACATAGAAAAGCGTAACTGGTATAGGCATTACGCCTGTAAATTGGATTCGTATTCGTCACCGATCAATGTACCATTGATCGTCATGTGACGAAGTTAATCGTACACGTTCGTTCAAAAGAACCATTCCATTTAATTCTTGTCGCAAGTTCGGCGTTCGGTATTCATATTATTTAAGAAATCGCGGGTAACGCAACGGCGTTCGATCGCAAAATTAATAGTCGTTCGTAATCTCCTCCGAGCCTGCAATCGATATACAATTTAGCACCATATTGAACTTCCTCGAATCTCTCGATATCACGTTTAGGCCATATTTAAATGTTCCAGGATTTAATTCTGGCCTTAACGTGATACCTTCGTTACAAACTTAATGTATAAAAAAATAACACTAGGCGATGTTCCATGCTCTCCTTCAAGTATAAGGACCGCACACGGAATTAGTATTACTCGTAATCGTTACTTCACGTGTACACTTAACGCGTTCTAGGAATCCTTCCTTGTCAAGTGTAACAACTGAATGTCGTTATCGGACGAAATGATGCACTTTGTCAAGAAGTGAGCTCTCCTCAAAGGACCAAGGAGAATCGGCATTACGAGCACATCGCTGATAACGTATCTCGCCTCGGATAACATTTCCATTAATTGTGCACAAATCAGAGGTCTGAATTATTCTCTTCAACGATTCCCCTTGTACTTTCCGACGCGGGGCTTTCCGGGTTTCATAACATTGCACGGTAACGATAAATATTCACAAACTTGAGAAAATGATTAGCGAGTTATAGGAGTCATCGATAATGTCATCGGTAACACTACCTCTTCTCGTCGATCCATTTTGGTCCGTTATTACATTACTAATGTATAAATATCTTTTGTGTAAAACTAGCGAGTCTATCTAATGCCACTTTTAGAGCGCAAGCGAGACGCTCGAGGAATCGGAATAGGAGCGTTCTTTTCGAGATACATTTATAGCGCGAGATTAATTAGGTGATTTGAGGAAAACGTTGCAGCACTTCTCCCTTAGGTAGACTTAAATTATATTCCCGTTTTTGATTCTCGATCCGCAGTCGCTAGGAAGCAATGCGTCTAGGACTCTGACCTCTCAGAGATGTGACGTAATTGAAAAAAAGTGCCACGAGAACGTGGAACCTTTAGAAACGTCACTACACTTATCAACAAGTTCCAATGTTGCGTGGAGTATTGTTAACGTGTAAAAGGCCACCTTTCAAGAGGTTCATGTCTGGAAGATTCTCAGTACCGGTGTAGAGTACGACTCTAACGGCCGACTAGTTACAAAGTACAACGCTTGAGGTCGCGCGCAGCGCTCAGGGGGCAACACGAGGTTCCTGCATTTTCCCTTGTTAAGATATTTTTTGCCAATGTCTCGCCGTCGGGAATGATCGAAGAAAGCTGTAGGATTATCGTTACAACGGCGGAGGCCCGTTAGGATATTCGACGACGGGAGTGAAACTTCTAGCGAGGTTATTAGAGAGCATACAGCTGTAATCTTCTTTCGCCGATGGCACCAACGAAGCTACGCCAAGTAGTAACAGCATTAGCGCCTGGATAGGAAGAGAAACTCGCAGGACTCTTCCCAGGAACCGATATCCTCGCGCCAACACCGTTCCATCCCTTTCGTCACCACTGTAACGATAAGAAAAATGTCCGGTTAATCTCAATTCATCCAAGGTAAAGACACATAATGGAACTGCGAGCGAAATTTAATATGGAATACAACGGGATAACTGGACCACGATGAACGTTTCCAGATCCGTTTCAACTTTCTTTTCGTAGGCCGTGGGATATTCAATCTAATGTTATAAATCTACCGAATGTTCAATATAGGGAATCCTTTGTGAGGAGAAAAAGGAAAGACGTACTCAGTGGATGCGGCGTCGTGAGGTAGAGAGTTCCCGGAGGCGGCTTCGTCGAGTAGCTACAATTCAACAAAAGAGAAGACACAAACAATAAGCATACCGTGCAAGTGTGGTTTAGCGGTACGATGGTAGAACAGTTTTTAAGAACATACCAACAAGAACGAGAGTGAGTTCTACGTGCGTACTAAGATTTCTGATTCACGTGGAGCCGATTGTACATTAGTTATTTTTTTTTTTCACTTTTCAGAGAAATAAGTATTGGTATGAATTTTAATCCATATCTGGTACTACGGTGCGACTTGCCTACGTTGATTGCATACAAAAATTAGAGGTAGGTCACTGCGAGACCATCTCCATTAACGTGTGGTGCATCGATCGTCATCCGCGGCAGTATCATAATCGACGATGGATTCTACGTTTCCCAGGAAGCTTCGCAATTTTTAAACTAACAAGAAAGAGCCGAAACTTACGTCACGAGAAAGCGAGGCTAAAGTGGAAGACGTAACGGCGAGACCGACGTCCCGTGGATCCACCCCGAGAGCTGCACCCAACTTGAGTGCATAAATACCCGTGAGTCTCCTCAACGACTGCAGCCTCAACCTGAGTTCTTGAAGACGAGCACGAGTCTCTCCACCCTCCTCCAGCAACTGATTCGCCGTTTCTTGAAGGGACAGGACCCGAGGCTCGCACCTCTCCAGATCATTCCGCAGTTCCCTGGAAATGGAACCCATTAACGTGAACCACTTTAGTTCTCATCATTTATTATTAACAACCTGTAATTTCTCGCGTACGATACCAACCTGAACTTATCATATTTCGAGCGAATAACGTTATTGTCCTCCGTCAAGTCAATCGGCTCGCTGTCTCTGATCGACACCTCCGTTCTGTCCAGCCAAGCTAGGAGCTCCTCGATGATTCGGTGGAACTGCTGGTTCTCCGTCAGGGCGACTCGCAGAACCGCCTGCCACTTTCCTGCGGTTTGGCAGACCGCTTCCCACTTCTCGTTGGCAACTGTCAATCTTTCGCGAAGCTCGAGGGCTCTCTCGGTGTCTTCGGTGTGGTCCAGCAAATGGGCACCGACTATGTTCAAGCTGACCACTATGCTCCTGTGGCTGTCCAGGTCAAGAAGGAACTCTCGATGGTCTTGAATGACGTCCTCCAGCTCTTCGATGTTCGTGGGAGGCTCGCTTTGCTCGCTTTGGATGCCTTCGGCCAGTTGGAGCCATTTTTCCAGACGCCAAAGGTCGTTGTCCAGCTGGGACCAGTTGCGACGAGAGCAGAGTGGACAGGTCAACCTACCTCCGTCACTGATGGAACCAAATCGAAATTAAATATTTATTAATACGAAGAAAGGGACTTTCATTCGATTTGCTTTCAAGGAACCAATGGTTGTTACGGGATGCTCATATGCGATATCGATGTTGTTAGTAACACTCACTGTTCACAGGGAAAGGAGTAAGCGTCCGCAAGGGGTGACCTGTCCGTAACAGTAACGATGGTTAATTAGGAAAAGACTGTTAATATTTCTGACGCGATTCAATGGCCATACGAAGAACGATCATGCACTTCTCACCTGAGTTCCCTGATTCGTTGTTCCCGTGCCCTGGCCTGCGCCAAGAGGGCGTCGTACCTCGAGACGAGGTCAGCCACTTCGGAACTTTTTGCCTCCTCGGGACTCAGTTTGCCGTCCCCGGTTAGAAGCCCGTGGAGATGTTGCACCAGCTCCACCGAGGATTGGCAGCTTCCGATCATCTTGGCCTGCAATGGAGCGTTCGTGAAAATTCAAGTAAATATTTCAGGTAAATTATCTGTAAGCTCCTAACAATTTCCAAGATTTTTATTAATAATACTAACGAGGGTCTTCGCGGCGGTAGCCAGTCCAGGACCCGTCGACGGATCTGCCGCAACGGTGGCTTCGAGGGTGTCCATGGCATCTCGACATTCCCTCAGGGCAGCCTCCAGCTCCATCAGGTACGCATCGCAAGAAGTCATCCTCAGCAACCTGGGCAAGGTGTCGACCTGCACCGCCGTGTCCCGTTCAAACCTGAGGGTCTCGACCTGAACGGCCTCGTCGATTTCGATCCTCCTCTGGGCCTCCACGTCGGCCCTTAAAGCGGCGACTCGAGCCTTGATGTCCTTCCATAGGTTCTGATACTCATCGACGAGTTCCTGGATGGGCGCGACCTCGTCGGCGCGGCTCTCTCGCATGAGTCGAAGAGCCAGCTCGTCGGCTCGGCCAAGGGTCGCATTCTGAGTGGTGAGTTCCCTTTCTATCTCCGCCAGTTGTTGCAACCTCTTTCTAGGAGAGGCTTTCTGTTCAGGGGTGGCCAAGTGTTGGAGCTGGGTGAGTCTCACGTCCACCTGGGTGAGACCGACCACGGCGGCTCCGTGCGCTGCGACGAAGTCCCGGTAGGCCTTCTGGTCCCGCTGGAGAACCGACAGGACGACGTTGACCCTAGGGTCCAGGGCGTGCCACCGGTCGATGAGGATTCGCACATCACCGGTCAGGGATTTCAGGTTCTCCGGTTCCAGGCCACCTTTTGCAAGGCGACCGTAGGTTTGCTCGAGAATCCTCAGGGCAGGTTCGCGAGTCTCGAGGTCCCCGGTGATCTTCTTCACCCTCTGCAGCGTCTTCTCGTACTCGTCCTTGGGAAGGTCCTCCAGCTCGTGCTCCAGGTCCTCCAGAGTCTCCTCCATCTCGCTGACCCAGTGCTCGTGCTCGGCCACAACCTTCTCCATTTCCTGAAGGAGTTTCCAAGCGACGGTGATCTTCCTCTTGCGTTCGGCCGATCGGACGCAAGTCGTCTTCCACCTGCGCTCCAGGCCATCCATCCCCTTCTTGATGGCGTCGGTGTCGAAGGAGGCCTTCCAGGCGTCGCAGTCGCCCAGAAGGATCTCGCAGAGGTTCAGCACCTCCCCCACGTTCCCGCTCTGGGATTCTATGGTCGACTGGAGCTGGTGGTGGTCCCTCAGCTTTTTGTCCACGCAGCTCTGGGTCCTCGCCTCGATGACGAGGGGCTCGGTCAGCTGCGCCTCGACGTCGCTCAGCCATTCCCGGATCTCCGCTATCCTCTCCTCCAGGGTGCTCATCGTTTGCATCAGGTCCACCAATTTGTTGGCCCTGGACTTGCCACCGTTCATCAGGCCGTTCCACCTCTCGACGGTTTGCTCCAGAGCGTCGCGAATCGCGTCTCTGTCGGCACCCTCGGTGGCGTCCATTAGCTCCTGCCCCGTGCCCTGGAGCCAATCGATCTCCCCCTGCTTCAGGGCCATCTCGGCCTGAAGTTCGCACTCCAGCCTCTTCAGGGCTTCCTCGGGCTCGTCCAAGTCCGTGGCATTGCCGTTGCAAGTCCTCGCCTCGGCGTCTTCTATCCAAACGAGGAGTCTGCTTCGCCTGGCCTCCCATCGACTTCGAAGACCACAGCGTTCCCCGAGCTTGTAGGCCAGAAGAGCAAGCTGGTGCTCCAGCTCCCCGTGCTGCTGCCACAGCAGCGCACTGTGCTGGTTCAGCGACTTCATGTCCGACGGACTCAGGCATTCCCTCAGCTGTTCGGTCACGACGCCCAGGGACTCCAGGTCGGCCACCGTCCCCGTCAGCTTGGTCTTCAGGTCCTGCAGCGATCCCAGCTGCTGACGCGAATTCTCCAAGCTAGCCGGGTGCGCGTGGAAGCCGTCGATCAAGGATCTGCTCACCTCCTGGAAGGTGCTCGTCACCTTGGAGGTTTCCTCCGTGTGTCTTCGGTGCAGATCCTGTATCTTCTTGACGAAGTCTCTCCAGGTCTCCAGGCTGGCACGGAGGTTGGCGAGTCTCTGGGAGTTGGCGGCGTGTTCCATGCGGACGGAGACGGCCAGCGCCTCTTCGCACCCTATCAGGAGCGACTCCTGCTGCGCGAGGAGGGCTTCCAGTCGTGCCTCGCCTGCCGGCACCTTCTCCAGAAGCCCTCCTATCCTGGACAGGATTTTCTCCAGCCTCCTTAGGTGGATGAACCTCAGCTGGAGCCTCCCTCTGTCCCTTTCGACGTCCTTCAGCCAGGATAGGAGGTCCTTCTGATCCTGCCGGTACTTCTCCCAAGCCGAAAGCCTGTTCCTGACCGCGGCATGCCTCTCCATGATCCTGGCCAGGGTCTCGTTGTGGAGGTTCGTCAGGATATTAAACTGCTCCACGACGGAGAGGTGGTCCCGACCGTCCTCCGACCTCACTGAGAGGATCAGGTTCTGCTGGTCGGTCAGCAGGTTCCTGTGCACCTCGCACAGGTTCCTGTGCTCCGACAGGCCGACGTAGTCCCCGGGGACGTCGTTTGACAGGAACTCCTCCACGTGGGACAGGTACTCCTGCCAGAGCCTTAAGGCGGCTGCTACGTCCTGAGACTTCACGAGGCGCGTCGACAGCCGGTGGTACTGCTGGAAGGTCTCTCGGAACACCCTCTGCCATATCTGCAGGACCTCGACAACCGTGGGCTCCGGTCCGTCCAGGACGTCCAGAGCGCGCTCCTTGATGGACCGCAGCTGGGGCTCCGTCCGCGTCAGGTCCAGCAGATGATCTCGCAGCAGCTTAAGCTGCTGCTTGGACTCGATCCCGTCCACCGTCGTCGACTCTTCCGCCGCCGTGGTGAGGCTCTAAAATCATTATTTCAACGTTAAGGTGACACGAAAGTGGAACGAGAGGTCAATCGTTCATAAAACATTTCTACAAACCGGAGGTACCGAATCCTTTCGAAATTAAAAATAAATTATAAAAAAAAAAATTTGAAATTTTAAGGGTGTCAGGACCTTCCTTAGGTTCTCCATATTCGCGTTGCAACGATTGGACATCCTCACCCTGGAGGCCCTCGACGGAAGGCTCGCTATAGCTTGGCCGGCCATTCCAGTCGGATCGCGCCGGATTTCGTGACCGATGCAATCGGCTGGCCCTTCGACCTTGACACGACGGATTGTTTCGGAACTACAATTAAAATATAAGCGCGTGCCGGGACGATCGAGTCGTGCCAAGCACCGTTCTCGGCTCCGAGAACCGTCCGACGCCACGCGCCTTCGCGCTTCCCCGGAACCGCCTACCTACACCCTTAATGACCGGGGTCTCTCCCGCGACCGAGAGGCACCTCGCGTGCCTCCGTGACCCGGGAAAAGGAAAACACCCCGCGTGCTTCGAGAAAATTGTAGCGACGCCTCCTAGGTGCAATTCCCTACGTCCTCGTGCCTCGACGGCCGCCCCTCTCGCGGCCGTTTCGTCAACTAACGGGCAGCGAAATCGGCCTTGCACCTTCCCCCGACACCGTGAGACCAGGAACCCGATCCTCCAGTTCATAGGATCAACTTTCGCAATGCGAAATTCACATTTTCATACGAGACTTTCAAATGTCTACCAATTACGGGATTTCTTAACGATGCAATATTTTTTTCGTGGGAATCCGTATGCGGAAGAAAAAAAAATCCAACTCGAGAATCGGGTCCCAGGACCGATTTCGGGGGTTCGCACCCTCGGCAGGGAATTCATTGCCTTTATGAAACTTATTTTTTTTCAGGGCTTTCCGACCCACCTGCTGCACGGTGTCCAGGAACTCCCTGGTCTGGGAGATGTCGTTCCTGGCGATCTCCTGGTCGACGGCTCTGGCGTCGGCGGTATCGGCCAAAGTCGATAAGGTCTCTCTGACGTCTTCGAGGCGTCTTCCCAGAGCTTCGACCTCGGAGTGAAGAGGACCACCAGCTTCCAGGCCGACGTCGGAGGCGATCTGCGCCACCAGGCCCCTCAGCTCGGCGAGCCTCTCCTTGTGCTGCGCCAGGGTCTCCTCGCAGACCTGGGGAAGGGAGCTACCATGAGCATCGGAGTCGAGGACACCCGGGTGAATTCCTCGGAACGTCCGAAATTCGAGGTCCACCCTCGGCCTTGACGTGGACCGACTGGTCGTTTCGAACGCCACGTGTTCTACTCGACCCAGTTACCTCGAGCATTTTGTATTTTTAGCGGGCTCGGCATTGAGACTCTTTCTTTTTTTTTTTTTTTTTTTTCGTAACGTTAAGATAACACGAAAGGATCATTCCATACATATAAAACGTCAAAACATTGCGAAACATCAGATGTATAAAATATCTTATCCAAACAGGGTGCTCCGAATGATCAGAATCCTCAACACTTGATTACGGGGAAATCCTAACAAAGGTCCCTGAAACTCGCGAAAATGCATTTCCCGAAAGAAGAAGAAAAAAAAATATTCTACTTATCCCGAAGAACCAGAATTTTTTTTTTCTATCGAAAAATGAAATTTCAGGACCTTCGGTAGGAGATCCGTAATCGCGCGTTAGGGCTTTCGGATTATTCGGTGTGCCCGAATTATGGAGTGTCCCTTCGTGTCCCCTTAAAACGTAGGATTTCGTGAATGACCTGGGTCGATTCGGACATGTCGGATGTGGGTCAAAAAGCCGTGCAAATAGTTCGAGTAATTGGGTTCTTTGTGCGCCGGTTGGGAGCGGCGCGTTGCGTCGGTTAGACCAGGGGAACGTCCTTTCAGTCTCCCCCCGACAGTCGTACGGCACGCATATCGGGTACCTTCAGTTCCTCCGGGGTGCACATGTCTGCGACGAACCCCTGCGTCAACATCGGTTCCGGAGCGTCCCCGAGGCTCCCGAATCCTTTTAAGGGCGAAGAGTCGCGCGATGGGGTCGAAAAAAATCTCCCTCCCGACTTTCCACTTTTCGTCCCCTCACGCTCGCACGTGGGTCTCCTCCATCGGGTGCGCGTTTAAATCGTTAAGAAACTCGGGGGGTATTTTCCGCCAAATATACGAATACGAGGAATTAATGTGCCTAGGGTTAGGATTTTATCTCCTAAGTCGTGGATCTATGTAGAGACACCCGAGATGCAGGGAAACGCGACTAGGAAGGGTCGTCACGTGGTCGGAGGGACGCGAAGGGGAAGAGCGAAGTGGACGCCGCGACGCTCCGGTCCAGACTGGCGGCTGCGGGGATCGATGCGGGCACTGGACCCCCCTCCCCGGTTCGAGAGTGGGGGGTGTCCCCTGGACCCACCCTAAGAGATAAGGAGAGCGAGGGGTTCCGATCTGGCTTTGACAACGAGGGTGAAAAGAAGGTTCATCCCCCCCCGATAACCTCGGATAACCGGGAGAAAAAAAATTCAAGCGAACGTCATTTCCAGAAATCGGTCGGGGGCATATTGAGCATTTTCGAATAGAATCGAGATTTCACCCTCCCTTTGGGACGAGGGTGGAGGGACTTATCACAAAGTCGACAGGGAGAGTTGGAATCGACGCCGCGTCGAGTCGATCGATTCCAGGTCGTTCCGGGAATTTAGCGGCATCTTCGAGTCGAGAGGCACTAGAGGAACTTCGAGAGGAAATCTCAAGAGACGAAGTATTGCGCAAGCGCCGACCGATAAGCCGAGATTTAGTCACCGTCTTATATATTCGGCCGCGGTCGGCGGCTTCTCTCCTCGTTTTTCGGCGATAAGTCCCTCCGGTTTCCTCGCCGCATTCGTGCGCTAATAATAACGAATAAATATACACCGCCATCCGGGATCGCCCGCTCGTCTCTCTCTCTCCTCTGTGTTCGCGTAACCTCGGTATGACGCGTTAGGGGCAACGCACGAAACTGGGAAATCGGAACTACCGATCATTGTAAAACGGCATCGACTAAGGGGAAAGCGGACCTTATCGGACTCTGTCAACGAGTGCGTCAACTCGTCCCGTTATCGAGTGACTCCTGCCACTCGTAAATCTCGAGGGAGAAGAACTTTCCGTTTGCAAGACTATGTGAGTCACGTCTCGCACCCCGTAGATAATCTTCACGGGCCAAAGGTTCGAGAGATCGAAGTTCGACCGATCGGTGGAAACGTCCCACGGTTTTCGAACCCCCTTAATTTTTTCCCGCAATTTCAGTGCATTTTTTCTAGGCGTCGATCGCGTTTATACGTTCATTTTAAATGAATTATTAATTGATATTAAATTCATTTTCATTGATTTTAAATTAATTTTCAGAAAAGAGAAGGATGGAGACTGACCTTGACCTGGTCGAGGGCCTCTTCGGGGGGCAGGTTGGCGACGGTCCCCATCTGGGTGTCGACCCAGGCCTTGACGGCGGCGCTGGAGTCCCGGTACCGCTCCCAGAGCTGGACGGCTCGTTGGTACTTATTGCAAAGTGCATCCAACTCCGCCCTGGTGTCCTCCCAGGCCTGCACGGCTTCGCCGACGGCCGCGTCGACCCTTTCGCGGACCTCCGCGGCGCAACTCTCCCGCAGCGGTTCCGCAGCGGCTCGCAGCTCCTCGATCAGCACCTCCCGGGCCCCCAAGTCTCCATTAAGACCCTGCGACGAAAGAAAAAAAAAAACAATCCTCAATGATAATTACCATTAGTCGCGGTCATGTAACCCTTAAGGGGATGTGAAAGTTCCGCCAAACAAACCCCGCTTATGAAAATTTTCTCTAAACCGAGAATATCGAATCGCCTCAAACAAGGTGAATATGGAGACCATAAGGAAGGTCCTGACACCCGTGAAATTTCAATTTTTTAAATAATTCGTTTCTAAGGGTCTGAAAAATTTTTTATGTGGATTTCATGGGTGTCGGTACTTTCCTTAGGGCCTTCATACTTGCGGCAATACTTTGCAATGTAGAGTCGTCTGTAGTTTTAATTGAACGTGAAGCTATTGGATTTCTTTTTTAAGTCTCTGGGAATATTTTTGGAATTTTTCGTTGTGCCGAAGACCGCTCGGACATTTCGCTCCCCCGCGAGGCGCGGGGTCGACTGGCGTTCCTGGCGGTGTTCCTGGTTCGCTCTTGCTTTACGCGGGATGTGCGGAACGTTCCTCTTCCCTCGTCCGACGAGCTCGAGGGAGCGAAACGCGCTCGAATTAACGCACTTCGCCGTTATAAATACCCGGGACGCGTGGCCGCACGAGACACGCACGTTTCGGACTCCATGCTCGCCGATCGGTTCGCCGAATCGCCCTTCGATTCGCTCATTAAGGCGATCTAAAAGTGATGTCGAAGCCTCGTTCGCGACATTTCCCTCCGAACCGAGTGTACCGAATCGTTTCAAAATTTACCCCGAAAATGCAAAGACCACAAGGAAGGTCCCATCGCCCATGAAATCTCAAATTTTTTCCAAATTTATTTTCAGACATTCGAAAAATGTGCAACAAATGAAATTTTCACGAGGGTCGGAACCTTCCTCCACGTCCAGGTCGTAAAGTTTGAAATAACTCGGTGCGCTCCCCGTTAGTATTCCTTCCCAAGAAACATGCGCGAAATCCGCCACCCCTCAATTTTCCGCAACACTTCCGCAAATCCGTCCAAGTGCCGGCGATGTTCGACTCGAGGGCGCTTGTAGGTCTGCGCGACATCCTCGTCGCTCGTATTTACGGTTTTTCCTTCTCTCGGCGATCGAAAGAGACGTAAACTCGCATTGTCGAAACTAGCCGTAAATATGAATGAATCGAAGCCTTGAATGGCTCTCGAGGACTCGATCGATGACGTATCGACAAACGATCGCCGATTTGGCGTGCGTATCCCGTTTGCGGGTCTCCCATAAAACACAATGGTCGCCGGGCGCGACCCGGCCGGTCGCGGTCGCATCCGGTGCGGACGTTCCTATAAATAGTTGACTAAAAGAGGAGTTTTTTTTTATTTTTTTTTTTTACGTTACCCTTTCCCTCGCCCTATTCGCGAGAGCCGAATTTCAGGGCACCGGGTCTCTCGTTCTTGGCGTGCTTCCTCGAGTTTCGCCCTCTCGAGAGATCCGGCACGAAGCGAACTTTCCCGGTTTCCGCGATAAGACCGCACATAGTTTCGCCAGACCGAACTTGCATACGGCCGATCTCCGTTATCGCCGAGCTTTATCTCCGAGTGGGTAATGCCGTCACTAATTAGCCCCTGGAGATTAATATTCCACGCTCTGCCGTGTAATTTGAGATTACCCAATAGAACCCTTCGAGGGGGCTATTAATTGAAAAATTGGTGAAAACTATTTCCTTCTTTGATAACCGAGTGTCTCTCATATCATATGATAGTCGGCAATGCGATTCGCACCGAGTGACGTTCTGCCTTAAAAAATTGCGGAAATGTTTCGGTGACTTCCCACTTAGATATTTCTACTTTTCAATTTCTACAATTATTTTTTTTAAATATACCAGACTGTAGTATTTCAATTCGATTAAACTAGAGTAGACGGGAATGAAGTCGGCAACCCTGGGACGGATTTTCCGGGAGTCGATGTCGACTTCCTTCCTATCAGGACGCGATAGCGTTCGAATCCAGAACACGAGGACTGCGTAAAAGGTCCGCCCAAGGCTTATCTCTAGAATGCGAATTATTTACAAGGAGTGTACGTACACGTGGGCGTGAATTACCGTCGAGAAAAGTCTCGTTTGAAATTGGCAGTGTTCAATTGCGAGGTATTCGAGGTACGCATCGGCGAATCGGATGACACCACGTGGCCAAGGCGAAGGCGATTCGCGTACCGCGCGAATTTTGGGGTTACGAACTCCGGACTTTTCGGAAATAAGAATATCCACGTGGGCGACATGCGCGAGATTCACTTGACACGTAATAAATTAAGGCACGGGTGTTACGGACGCGGATGACAAGACTTCTTATCTGGCTTGACGTTTGTACGTTTACGTTAGATTTCACGAAGGACGAGAACACGATCGCGACACGCACAGATAAGGAGAGTCCGCGCGACGCGCGTTCGCCACGACGGCTCGCGGGCGACTGATACGCCGCCGATAGACCGCTCGCTCGAGACCCCTACTCCTGACCGTACTGCGCAAGCGCGAGCGCGATTGCGCGAACCGCTATTTTCGATTTTACTACAACAGGAAATATATCGCAATTCTTTCTTTTCGTCGCGTTCGTGATTTTCGATCTCTCTTGCCACACAATTCTCGGGAACGAAATTTTTTTTCGCCATTTTGGAGTAATTTCCGATAACGCCATGTTGGAATTTTTGCCGTTTTTAAAAATGCTACCGAAAACGAGCTCCTTGAATTTTAGAGTGAAATGAGTAACTTCCGATAACGCGCGACCCGATGACACTCTTTTCGATAATAAGGCTCTCATCGATGTCTGGCCTCGAGGTCGATAACAATGAATTCGTTGTTCGCAGATAAGGATGTTCTCACGGTCGTTGCGCGTAGCGATGCCACGATTTCTCGTAATTAAAGTACCAGCGCGTGAAGGTGAAGGAACTTCGTAAACCTTGTCGGTTCTCGTTCGATTCCTCCTCGAGCTTTCAGAAACTCCTCGCGTAGAGACGAATCGCTCGTCGCGAAAGACCGACGATAACGAAACGTCGGTTCGGTCCTGACAAACGAGGAACGAACGAGGCGCCTTGGAGTAAACTCGAGAAACGAACGTCCCAGTTCTCGGCAATTCCTGTAAAACTTTCCCCTCGAGGCCATAACCTGGGAATTCCCGATCGATGGGCTGCGGAAAATTCCCTCGGAAAGCTTTCCGCTGCGGCGGCCTCCATGCTACACGGGTTGCAGCGTGGAGGCATTCGGAAATCAGTGAAAAGAATTATTTTCAACGATTTCCCCGCGTTTCCGAGTACCAACCCTAAAACTAGCAAGCTCGGGAAAAATGTCGATTTTAGATGGCCCACCGCATTAAAAAAAATTCACCCTTCGGGTGGCAGTCAAGTCTCACCTCTAGTCGTTCCGTAGCTTTGAGCAGTCTCTCGTAGTCGACGGATCCCTGAACAGTGAGGAGCTCCATCATGTAGTCGGCCTCCTGGACGGACTGCTGAACGGCCTCCAGCTGCCGCTCGAACCGCCTCCAGAGGCCCAGCCTGCTTCCGAGCAGGGACAGGAGCCTGACGCACCTGGCCTCCAAATCGGCATGGGCGTCCTGGAGACTGGAGATGTCCCTCTCTACCCCGACAGGAGACACCGATACCCTGGTGCCCATGGGCAGAGTGTGGAGGACCTGGCGCAGCGCCATGAGGTCCTGCCAGAGGACCGCCAGCTCCTCTGCCACGGATTGGCACCTGTCAACTGCAGCGGCCACCACGTCGCTGCCCTGTCGCTCGCTCCCTTCGCATCCGTCCAGGACCAGGGAGAGCCTCTGGTGGGCCTTGCGAACCCTGCAGAGGCCCCTGCGAAGGGCCTTCAACCTCTCCCTCAGGAGGCGCGCGGCATCCAGCTCCTCCGCGACCACGTTCTCTATTCTGCGAGCCGAGGACAGGAGGATCCCGACCCTCTCGCTCTCTGCCGCAGGAAGCAGGCCCAATCTGCCCAGCTCGTCCTGGACCACGCAAACTCTGTCCAGGATCACGGAGAGCCTCTCCACGTAGAGCTCGAGTTCTTCCTCCGTCCGGAGGACACCGTGGAGGGCCTCCGTTGCTGCGCGCAGCTCGCTGAGCTCTCGCTCCAGGTGCCGCAGCCTCTCGTTCGCCGAGACTCCCTCCGCGGACGCGGATTCCGCCACCGCATCCTGGATCTCTCGCATTTTCTCCGTCACGTCTGTCCATCGGTCCTGCAACTCGCCGTGGAATTGTCTCTGCAGCATCTCGTCCGATAAGGGAATTGCTCGCAGGGACTGCTCGAAGTGCTCGTCCGCCTCCTCTAGGATGTTCCTGTGCACCTCGTATTGTGCTCTCAGCTCCTGCGAACGGGTTGTATCGTTAAGGGATGTAGGCTCGGGAATGGAACGCGGACTCGGAAAAATAGGACCTTCCATGGCCGCCTGGCGAACGGCCAGGGCTAATTTTAAAGTCGACCCGAATTCGCTGGGGAAGGCTCGGTTCCGGAGTATCGAGTATCGAGCGTCGAGTATCGCCCCGGTATCGCTGCCAGTCTCGAGTTTTCTAAAGTTTTCAGGTGGACTCTCTTATCCTACACTGAGAGAGAAAGAACTGATAAACCGAACAATTTCACCCTGTTAAGGGATTAAATTTCTCTCTCAGTGTAGGGAAGAAAATTGGAGTATGTACCCAAAACTGACGCATGTTGCCGACACCAGGATCGCGAGCTGCGGCCAGTTCTCGTTCTGCGGAGATCATCCAGTCCTCTAATCTGCTCGTAAGAGACTCCTGGACGATCCAGCTCTCCCTGAAGGCGAGCAGCCTCCTCAGGGACGAGTCCACGTTGTCCTGCAGTTTCAGGATCACGTCCAGAGCCTCGCCGTACCGATCGTCCGGGTCTTCGATGTTGATCAGCTCCTTCAGGCTTCGAGCAACGTCCAACAGTTGCACGATCCTGGCACGATGCGCCGCCACGTCTGAAGAGAGAGTCTGAAAATGCATAATCCGCCGCTTTAATATTACATTTTACCTGATTAAAAAATCTGGAAGTGATACAATCGAAGATTTCATCCGAACACTCTGAGCGAAAAAATTTGTTTCTAGACAAGAAGACATTTTTGGGCCGAATGGCTATTGTTATAGGTGAAAATTCCAAATTCGACCACGACATGTGATCGTTCACCTGGTATAAGGAGATGTACTGATCGTAGTCCGACGAAGTGACGGTCTGCAGGTCCGGAACTCTTTGATGAGCGACCTGAAGCCAGCCTCGCTCTTCCTTGATGCCCTGCTCCAGGATGATCCACCTGGAGGCAGCCAAAGCCATCTGCTGGGCTCTGCAGGCCGCCTGGTCCAGAAGAGCAGTGGCTACCCCATGAAGTTCAACGTGAAGTCCCGAATGCTTAGCCCTGGTCTCCGGGTCCAGGTTCCCTTCCAACGACTCCAGGATCGCGAGACAGTGGTTCAGGTTAACGAAGAACTTCCTGTGCTTCTGCATCTCCTCCTGCAGGTGCTCCAGACTCATCACCGAGATGGGACTCTCGAGGAGATTTTCAGCGATCTCCGTGATCTGCGCGAATTCCTGAAGAGTTTGCTCGTATTCTTCAGCGAGAGCCAGAAGTTGAAGAAGTCGTTCCCGCTCTATACCTAGAGTTCGGAAATTCTCGGTACCATTAGGTAATTCCAAAAATTTGTCAAACAATATAAATTTGTAATGTAGAAACTTCCTACGGAGGTTTTATAAAATTTCAATATTTATTTTTTTTTAACAGGGTGATTTACCGCTTTCAGAAATTTATCCTTACCTATATTGCGCTCCATGGTCATGGTCAATTCATGGATGGAGTAGGTCTCTTCAGGGATGGTTTTGGAAGGATAATCCCTGAGCAACCCTCGAGCAGCAGCGACGAGTCTTCCGGTTTTCCACATATGACAGCGATTGGTGTTCTCGATGCGGTCCAGCTCCTGCAGCTTCCAACGAGTGGAGGATTCGCTCTCCACCACGTTGTCCAGTTGTCTGTGTTGCTCCTCGACCAGTCGAGAGACGTTGTTCACGCCGTTCAGGAACTCGTCCCACCTGGAGAGTTCACCAGTGGCGAATGCTTCGGTCTCATCGGCAGCATCCTCGACAGCCTTGACCTGCCTCGCAAGGGCCTCCACGCATTCCCAGATCTTTTCTCGTTCCTCTTCAGGGTATCTCGATTCGACGCTCGACCAAATCTTCTCCAGTTCCCTGATGCCCTCCTCCGCGTGGCCCATCTCGTTCTTCAACTCCAGGAAGGGCCTGGAGTCCTCGTGAGAAGGTCCCGTTGGAGTCTCCTTGTTCAGGAAGATCTTGTACTCGATGGTCTCCAGCCAGGTGGAGATGGTTTCCACCACGCTGATCAGGGTCTCCTCCACGACGACCACGTTGTCTCCTTCGACGGCTCGACGCAGATTCGTCAGTTCCTCTTCCAGGTTGGAACTTCGGTCTTCCGCTAGCTCGTCGGCAATGTCTAGAGACGCGGTGCGCAGGACGTTTGTCAAAAGAGAGTTCTCCTTGGAACACTGGGCGCTCCTGATCCTGTCGGAGATCATCCTGGCGATGCGAGTCCTCTCGACCACGTGGCTCTGCTGAGTCGCGAAATCGTCAGCTACTCCCAAAGCCGAAGACGACGCCGCAGACTTTCGAGCACCTAGAAGCAGGTCTTCCCTGGACAGGACTGCTCCTCCAGCCTCTGCCGATCCTTTCCTCTCCGACTCGGAAATCACCTGGGCGTACGTCCTGACGTGGACGTCCTTTTTGCGCATTTTTTCTTCCTCTTCAGGTAAGATGGACTCCACGGGGGAGAGAAGTTCCTCCGTCGTGTCCATGGGCTCCGGGGAAGTCACGATGGTGATGGCTCCTTCGAAGGACTGCCGATCCTCTCCTGCCGGAGAGAATCCACACTCCAGGAACCTGGCTTGTTCTGAAGTGCCGAATTTCCCAGGGTCACTGGACTCCGGGGATGATCCTAACTCCTCCACTATCCCAACTGGTGACCTCTGGTCCCGCCTCTCTTTAGGATACTCGACTTCGTCGAGGGTGACTTCGATGCTCTCTATCCTCGCGTCGAAGCTGTCCTCTTCGGACTTCTCTTCGGGTGTAGTTTGGGCGATGAACGGCCAGCCAGTGGATTTCTTCGCCACGTCCGAGTAGGACATTTTCAGCAACAGCTCCTGGGACTCCCTGGGCTCGCCGAAGATGGAGTCCAGCTCGGACCTCTCCCTTCTAGGTGGAGATAGCTCCCTGGCTTCCGTTTTGTGCTTTCTCTTCCTTTTTTGTCTCTTCAGGGCTCGCACGGCTTCCTCTTCAGAGGTTACCAGACTCTCGATGGACTCCTCCGTGATGGTCGTGTCCTGGGAGGCGTCGACCGTGGACTCGCTGCCGCTCATCCTCAAGGAGTCCTGGCTGAAACTGTCGGGCAATTCTATGGTCGCCCTGACGTAGATCTCGAAGGAACTGTCCGATGTGGACTCCCTCTCTGACACCGACGTAGTTTGGGACTCTTTGCTGTCCACCACCAACGGGGACGGGTCTTTTGTACTCTCGACGAGTTCCTCTGGTACTTCTTCATCAGGTGCCACTGGAACTTGTACTTCCTCGATGCTTAATTCTGGAGGCGCCTCCATCGAGACGACGGGCTCTTCCGATTCCTCCAAAATCTGCAGATCTTCGGAAATCGGCTCCTCCTCGACGGAGGCTTCCGGCACTTCCTCGATGGCCGGAAGCATTTCTTCTATAACCACGTTTCCGACTTGGATTTCCGACCGTTCGTCAGAAGACTCCTCCAGACTGATCACCGGCTCGGGTGTGAGTCTTTCTGACGGTTCTTCCACCGAATCGTTACTTTCAGACACGGGCAAAATGTCTGTCTGCACTTCGGTGCTTGATTTGTCCGGAAGTCGGGCTTCTTCCTCTACTGTCTGCTGCCACGTAGACGTTACCGAAGTCTGCAAGGTCTGAGCGCTGGTTTCTGACATATCGAGGATGTTCTGCACGCTCTCCTCGCAGACTGAGGTCAGATCCTCCTTTTCCAGTTGAATGGAAACGTCGGAAATTGTCACTTTTTCTGGAGTGCTGGTTTGCGATGTCCCGATTGCTGTGGCTTTGACTTCTTCTAGACTCGTCTGAGCCGATAGCTCGGTGACGGATATCGGTTCCGGGCTGGTCTGAACGATTTCTTCGGCAGTCGGTTCAGGAGATTTTGTCTGAAACTCGGTGCTTTCTACTTGGACCCTCTTCGGACTTTCTTTCGGGCTCGTTTGGGTCTGCACGACGCCGACAGGAGTTGGTTCGATGGCGTCCGTCTGAACGTCGGAGTCTGCAGCAAGAGGCAGTTCTGGACTGGCTGGCTTGCTCGTCTGAATGTCCATCTCAATGGTGACCACCGGTTCCGGGGGCGTTGTCTGCATGCCGTATGCTCGCACCTCCACTTTGCAGACTTCTGGAGGAGGCGTTGTCTGCTGTTCGACGTCAGCTCCAAGAACTGCTGTCTGAGTCTGGGTTTCAAAAGTTGGCGTCGACTCCACGGGAGTGGTTTGAGCCTCTGCAGAAGTCTGATCAACGGCGGTTTGCGCCTCTGTTTCTTCGGTTTCCGGTTTGATCTCTTCAACAGGGGATGTTTGGGCTTCGGCAGAAGACAACTCGGCGGTTACTTGAACCTCCGTTTCTTCGGTTTTTGGAGCCTCTGGCTGTGGCTCTTCTGTAGGAGTTGTCTGAACGACTCTTTCTGCCGTGGGGGTCGGAAGAGGGGAAACGGTCTGCATCGACGAATGCTCCGTTTCGGTGGGCTTGGGTTCCACGGTCTGAACAGCAGATTCCAAGATGGACGCAGAAGTGGTTTGCGTTTCTGCACTGGCCCCTTCAGTTGGGACGGTCTGCATGGACGAGTGCTCTGTCTGAATAGATTGCGGTTCCAAGGTCTGAATAGATGACTCTGTCATAGGTGGGGGGGATGTCTGCATCTTTGTGTCGACCTCCTCGGACCTTGTCGTCTGCACTGACGAATCTTCTACCTTCGTTTGTTCGATTTCAGATGTCTGAATGCACGACTCCAGCATCGGCGTCGGAGATATCTGCACTTCGGAGTGCGTTACTTCGAGGCACGGTGTTTGGGTCTGAAAGTGACCAACCTCGATCGGCTTCGGCTCCATTGTCTGAATGGACGAGTCCAGGGCTGATCGGGGAGAAGTCTGCAACTCGACGTCGATCTCTTCGACTTGGACTGTCTGCATGGATGAGTGCTCCACCTCGGGTAGTTTCGGCTCTGAAGTCTGAATGGATGTTTCTGACACCAACCGAGGAGATGTCTGCATCTCGGAGTGAACTTCTTCGGCCAAGAATGTTTGTATCGACGAGTGTTCCATCCTCGTTGGTTCTGGTTCCATGGTCTGAACAGATGTTTCTGACACGAGCCGAGGAGACGTCTGCATCTCTGAGTGGACTTCTTCGGCCAGGAACGTTTGCATCGATGAGTGTTCCATTTTTGCTGGTTCTGGTTCCATGGTCTGAATAGACGACTCGATTACCACGCGAGGAGATGTCTGCATTTCTGCATGCATCTCTTCGGTCTGCAACGTCTGCATCGATGAATGTTCTATTTCGGTTGGTTTTGGTTCCACGGTCTGAATAGACGATTCCAGAACTTCACGAGGAGACGTCTGCATTTCGGCGTGAATTTCTTCTGCTGACAATGTCTGCATCGATGAGTGTTCAATTTCGGTTGGTTTTGGTTCCACGGTCTGAATAGACGATTCCAGGAGTTCACGAGGAGATGTCTGCATTTCGACGTGAATTTCTTCTGCTGACGATGTCTGCATTGACGAGTGTTCAACTTCGACTGGTTTCGGTTCCAAGGTCTGAATGGACGATTCCGACACCACGCGAGGAGATGTCTGCATCTCGGCGTGAACTTCCTCGGTTATGAACGTTTGTATCGAAGAATGTTCGGTCTTCTTTGGTTCCGGTTCCACGGTCTGAATGGACGATTCAAGCACCTCTCGAGGAGACGTCTGCATCTCTGCATGTATTTCCGCAGCCATCAGTGTCTGCATCGACGAGTGTTCAACTTCAACAGGTTTCAGTTCCGATGTCTGAACGGACAAGTCCGAAGCCGGTTGAGGAGACGTTTGCATCTCCATATGAACCTCCTCCGGTGCAATCGTCGAATGCTCCACCTCCAACGGTTTGGCTTCTTCAGTCTGAATGCAGGTGTCAGACACAACTCGAGGAGAAGTCTGCATCCCCGAATGAGCCTCATCGGTTCTTACCGTTTCCATCCCGGTGTGTTCCACCGCGGTTGGCGTCTCGTCCAAAGTCTGAACGGACGATTCGAGTATTTCTGACACGCAAGTCTGCATCCCTGTATCAGCTTCCTCCACCTGATTCGTCTGCATGTGACGTTCGGAGGTTTGAATCTCGGGTTCGGGCGAAGTCTGCACCAAGCTGGAACCAACGGCATCGGGGGTCGTCTTGCCGACCGCGACGTCCTTTGTCTGAACGACGGTCTGAACGTCCGTCTCCGTCAGGATAGGTTTGAGAGACGTTGCGGGAGATTCCTCGACGTCTTCACTCGCCTCCTTGGAAACGATGTCCGTTTCGGACACTGTCCTATCTGAAAATTCCACAGAATCGGTGCTGGTCCTCGGAACTTCCGTAGTATCCTCCTCTCCCTTGCTCTTAGGCTCGACTCTTCGTCTCCTCTTCTTCTTCTTCAGCTTGCTCTTCGTAGGAACTCGTTCCTCGATGACGGAAGCTTCGTCGAAGGTCTTGTCAGCCTCGTACCCGTGGTCCCTCTCGAGGGTTTCTTCGGTGTAGGTCGACAGAGACGGCGAGGTCTGCAGCATGTCCGCCACGTCAGGTTGTGGATCCTCGGTGAGGTGCCTCGAGGAGTCTGAAAGTTCCACGCCGATGTCCACGGAGTCTGCAAGGGTCGTCGCGATGGAGGCGCTGGATTCTTCTGGGGTCTCTTCCCCGCCTTTGCGTCTTTTCTTTTTCCTACTTCTTCGACTCGTGCTGCTGCCTGTCTCGCTCCTTTCAGACAACTCGTACTCCACTTCGGGTTCTTTCTCGACAGGTGACTCGCGAATGGTTTCCGTCTCCTTCTCCGAGGTCGACAAGGCACCGGTCTGCACGGTTTTGTTGTGGATCAGACGAATGGTCTCCTCCTCGGCAGGAAGGACGATGTCGAAGTCCTCTCTCACGATGCGATAGGGTTCGGTTTCAGACTCGCCGAAAGGTCTCTCGGCCTGAGCTTTCACGGAAGCGAAGGGTCCTTCCTCGCCTTCTTTCTCGATGGACAGATCAATGTCCACTCTCTGAAGGATCCTGTGTACCGACTCCTGGCCCTGCTTCTCGCTTTCTGCGCGCTCTATCGAGAGGAACTCCTCGATTCTTCCTTTAGTTCCTAGATTTTGGGCTCCAGGAGGTCCTACGAAAACGTCGTCCAGGGGGGTGTACCGAACGGTGATCTCCACGTCCTTTGGACCCGGAGAACCGAGGTTCTCCACGTTTTGGGCGAGGTACTTTATCGTCTCCACTGGCTCTCTGGGATGCTCGGTCGCCAGGTCCTTCACGAGGATGGAAGTGGCCGTCTCTGGTTTTCCGAGTTTCCTGTCGATGTTTTTTCCCGATTCCGGTGAAGGATCCATCTTCTTGGTCGTTTTTTCGGACTCGCTCTTCGGGAAGGGCTCCGCGACTTCGTCCGCTGCGCCCTCAGTCGTCCCCGAGAACATCCTCTGCCCTCCCTCGATGAGTTCCCGGGTTTCTAATACAGCGATACTCGATTTACCGTGATCGTCATCAGCTTCTACGGTGCGAATACCATCTGCGTGCTGTTCTACTTCTACCGTGCCTAGGTCGACAGATTCTAGCATGATACCAGGTGGTTGGCTCTCTACATCGTCAGACTTACAAGTCGCCTTAGGGATGAGGTCGTCGACCGGGGTGGACGCCGTCGAAGACGCAGCTTTCGCGTCGGCGACGGACGCGTCCTCGATGGAAGTCTGCAAAACATCGGTCTCTACGACATACGTTCCCGGTACCTGATCATCCTTGACCGATCCTGCGGTGTCCTTTACCTCGGCTGGGAAATACTCGATTTCGTATTTGTCCTCGCGAAGGACTTTCCGTCCAGGAGCCGAATCAAAGACATCGTCACCGTCGAGAGGACTCTGCCTTCCTTCCGGAAAGATTCCCCCCTGTTTCCCGCGTTCCTGGAAGAGTCCTTGGGAAGAGGACGACCCTTCTTCCGACCCCGATCCTGTAAGGACGCCTCGTGACCGCCGATCCTCGGGGATGGCCGTCGACTTGGTGGCCCGCTGCGGAGTCTGAACACTCTTCGGGGTCATGTCCTTAGCAAACGGCCCAAAGAAAGGTCCTTGCATGGGACTATCGGGCGTAGATACCTTATCAGCCGGCATCCCCTTCGAGGTGTCGCTCCCGCCGAAGAAGCTCGAGTCCTCGTCCTTGACCACGTTGATGCTGATGTGTGGAATGTCCGTCTCATCAATCTCCACCTCTTCGGGTTCCTCGATGATCTCCTCGGACGTGGTCTCCTTCCCGTCGATGACCGTCACCTTCCTCACGATGCGTCGGGTCCTCCTGATGACTCTTCTGGTGACCTGCTGGACCACGGCGTGCACACTCGACGTCTTCGTCCGGAAATCCCGACCCTGCTCGGCGACGCCCTGCGAATCCTCGCCGATCTCGGGAGCAGGAGGAACCTGAAGAGTCCCTTGAAGGACGTGGTGAGTGTACCGAGCAGGGGACTGGTACTCCTCCACCGTCACCAGGTCTCCAGGAGTACCAGCGGCGACGCGACCTCCGTAGGACCTCCTCGTCGACATCTCCACGGTCCCATCGGGCCTCGTCCTCGTCACCGTCAACCTCTGGTCCCTTACGGTAGCTTCGGAGAAGGCTTGCACGGTTGGGGTACCCTCTCCTACCGAAGACGACAGGGAGGAAAGTCGCTGCTGGGTGGTCTGGCTGCTGGTCACCAGGGTCTGCCGCAGCTTCCTGACAATGATCCTCTTGGTCCCATCCGCGTCCACCACCACCTCTGTCGTGACGTCGTCAGGCTCCACCAGGACCGTCTCGAAGGGCGTGGAGTGCAGGATGTTCAGCTCGGATTTCGCGTTCTCCTTTTGCTTGGCGTCCTGGTACTTCATGTCGACGACCACGTCGTCAGGGAGCACGCCGACGTGTTCCCGTCGCGACGACTCTAGGTTTGGACTTGCCGGGATGTTTTTCGTCGCGATTTCGATTACGTCGTGGTTCCCTTGCCTGGTCTTCAGCACCTTGATGGCCTCCTGGGTCTCGATGCCTGTTGGTGGACTCGAGGTCGGCGTTCCCAGGGTTTGGGAGAACGTGGACACCGGCATCGGGGTTGTCGAGGTTTGCTTGGATTGTCTTGATGGAGGTTTCTGTTCGATCGTTGTCACGTCTCCCATCAGACTTTGGCCTGTTTGTAGAGATACGTCTGCTAAAGATGGAGGACCTTCTCCCAGGGAGGAATTTATAGACGGTGCCTGGTCCAGGGTAGCGTCGTCGCGGTCCAGGGTGGTCTCGTCGTCGGGTTGGGTCGATGAGTCTTCTCCGAGCAGGTCCTATCGCGGAAAAAGAAAGATATTTGCAGTTTTAGCGAAGAACAGCGTTGCTGATAAGGTTTTGCTCTTACTGCAGGAATAATCCCACCGACGCATAGTGGTCTAAAGTGCATTCCCTAATAGCACAGAATAATTTCTAAATATTTCTTTGTAATCTTTGCTAAATATATCTAGCGACAGATTTTTAATAATTTATGAACATATATCAAAATTGTATTTTTTAATTTACAGACATATAATAAAAATATATTTTTCACTTTACGATTGAATCGAATCGGATGTGACGTTTCTTCGAAATTGTGACAATTTTTTTTTTCTCAATGTAGCATGTACACCTTTAAATGTCTTAATATTTACAAGATTTTATTCCAACAAGTATTGTAAATTGAACAAACCGATCAAAAAATTGAAGAATAATTCCGAAACAGAGGAACGACGTTTCTGTCGTTTTTCGGTAAGGCAAAAATATATTGTTGTAAAATTGTAAAACTCGCGTTCTCCTTGAAATGGTAATTTTTTTATAGTGCATCGAAGAAAACGTAAAGATTTCCGCAGCGGTATCTTCTCTGAGAGCGAATACGTTCCATAAAACAACGGAGATATAAATGACAGTGGGGTAATCAATGATAAAAGTTTAATTTATACCAAATTACAGTAACATGTATATCAACATTCCATAAGTACATGCAGTGCTTAAATTATATCCACCACCTTAGTCTAACACGTATAAACAATAAATAAATACTATTTAAACGATATGCGCATAGTGACGAACAAGTAAAGCGTATAAGTAACGAAATAATGAGTCGATTACGATGATCAGTGGCATAAGACGTTATCTTTTAGATACCCGAATTACCACCAACTCCGTAAGAAATAAAAAGGTAACGACCAAGCAAGAATAAAACTGTACACCTGAGAGCAGTAAATTCCAGCCCTGGATCCTCGCAAAAGCTATAACGATTAAATAAAAAAAGAACAAAGCACCCATGATAAGCAATCTACTATCTAAGCACCCTGTATACCACGTCTGGTCTTGCAGCGATCATCGATTTGTTCCTGAACGATTTACAACAAATTTCCAAATACGATTGAAAATAAAAATCAAAGTAAAATTAAAAATTGCTCTAGATTACTCAATCGTGCCGAGAGATATCAACGCGAGTGCTCTTATCATACTTCTACCAAGAAGCAACATTCTTTCAATGAAACATTGTCACTAGCTCTATCCAAATTTGATCTCGCAATTTCTTCATTACTTAAGGTGAAGTGAAACACGTCGAGAAATTCGATCGTCAAAATTTCGGACAGTTCGGTCCTTAAAAAAGTGTCTTTCATTTCACCTTAATAACTTGAAAAATGTCGTATCAGTACGTAGCCCAGTTTCGGACGTGCAGCTAAGAGGTGCGATTACGTGATCGATGATGAGCGATCGATGGGTGATCGAATGGAAGATCTATGGAAGGGACCAAAGAGGATTCGAAGGTCCCAAAGCCTAGCTCGGGAGAGCTTCAAGGGGGATTTTAAGCGAGCCCCATCACCGTGGCATCGACAATTGCGAAAGCCCCCGATTTCTGGAAAGCGACGAGTACCTGCTGCTTCTGCCGAAGACGCGTCGACATTTCCATCAAGGCCCTCTTCAGGTTCTTCGCCAGAGCGCAGACTTCCGGCAGGGTCTCCAGCTGGGAGACGCGGTGCGTCCTGACGATCAGCTCGTCCTGCAATATCTGCGCATACAACAATAAATACCTAGGATCTGCATATCCTCTCTTAGACTTATGAAAAAAATCTCGTTCATTTAAGAAAATCGTTTGATCAACTGCATTTGGTTAAAATAATTATAGTCATTCGTAACGATTACTCCACTGATGGACTCCTGATCTAGATCATCAGGACCCTGACCTTGTAAGTGTCGACAGACCGGTGTTCGCTGATGGTCGACACGACCACCTTCAACCAGGCGTCGGTTTCCTCCAGGAATTGTCGGTAAGCTAGGACTTGTCGCTCGCGTTGTTCCTGAACACGTCGAGCATGTTCCAGAGCCACGGCCCCCTGTTCGGCAGCTGACAAAAGAAGGGAGATTTTCCCCCGAATTTCCCCGAGGAGTGCAAGTAAATGCCTGGCTTCAAGGTCTCCAGGAATCCTGGATATGTCCGAAGAGATGCGAGTCGCTTCTTGATCGTTCAGCCTCAGCTCGGTCAGGACAACCTGTAAAAAATTCGGGAATCGGGATAAAGCCTTTTTTTTTAATTTAAAGGGTTTTAGATCCAAATGAAGGGCTCACCGCGATGGCGGAGAACATGGACTCCACGGTGTCCTTGGGAAGATCGCCGAGGGTCTCTTCAAGGCGATTAACCGCGCTCTTCAGGCTACTCAAATCTCCGGCTACTGACTCCTGAAAATCACAATTCGCGTTAAGAACGCCTCCACCTCAATGGATTTATTTATTTAAAGTTTAAACCATGCCGTGCACTCGGCCGTTCTCCAGCCAACTCCAATGGACGGATTAATGTATTAACTGGCGGTGGAGGACCAACGAAACCTGCGATGCGTCCAGGATCGTCGACAAGGACCTGTTCGGCGCTTCAAGCTCAAAAGCAGACCAAATCGTTAAGAAAACCGAACGATTAATGAAAAGGGAGACCGATCATTGGGGATTTCAACGCTTGCATACGAACGCGGGGGGATGATCGGATAATCTGGGAAAAATCCTCTTCTTCAGGGTCGAGGGAAAAGTGGACGAGTAAGGAGTCTCCTGAAGAACGCGAAGGACGAATTGCCGAGGATGTGCACCCAGAGAGATATCGTATCCTCACCTGGTGAGGAGTTACATTATTCAAAAAATTAAAAAAAAAAAATTCCTGGTGAGAACGAGTGATCAAAGTTCCTTATTCTAATTAATCCTGTTGCATCTCTCTGTGCGCACACGTCCGCAAAAATTGAACATCACGAAGAGGGCGTAAAGACTATTCCGCGCCATGCATCGAGAAGGGTCGAGACCAAACCTGGAAGCGAGAGTAGCTAGAAATGCAACACATAAACGGCGACACGAACAAAATGAGCGAAAGAAAAACAACGGCAGTACAACATATTCGGCTGTAAGTTATGACAAAAGTAATAATAATAATATAAGAGAAAACTGTACAGCAAGACCGAGCACTGGTGGGATGAGTCGCACCTTTATCCTGAGGATTCTTTTAGCCTCGGTAGTCGCCCCCGACTCTCTCTCCATCTCCCCCGTGGAACTCCATTGCTGGACGGATCCCCGAGTCTCTTTACCTAAATTCCCTGTAGACTTTGGAATGGAGGAAACGGCGGGACTAGAGCGAGAAAAGAGAGAGCAAGAGGGCAGGGATCGGAAGAAGGGTGGGTCCGTCTCGGTAACGAGGTCCTCGGTCATCCTACGAACGAGTTCGGCGGTACGATCGAGACCTTCGTCGTCGTCGGCGAGATTTCGATCGGCGACGTCGTTCTCAGAAGAACGACGCTCCCGCGACCCTTCCGGGTCGAGTGCGGGGGTGGCATTGACGCGGGAGTGCACCCTCTCGGACGAGTCACCCTGCTGAGCGACTGCGGGCGGCGCCCGAGCGCCGCCGATCTCACCCGAAGGACCGACGCGACTCGGCGAGCCCGATGCGGGCCACGCACCCTCAGTTCCCGCCCGGCGCTCGACCAGGTAAGTCGCTTCTATTCCTAAAGACCCTACGTTACCCCACGGAGTCTCCTCCGCGTTCCAATCGCTATACGACCCCGACGGAGGAATTCTATCGCTCCACCTGTCGATTCCTTCCGGGGAAACGGCAATGTTTGTTTCGACAGGCTGAGAGAGATACCCCTTTCTAAGGGAGTCTTTCGAGGAATCGATCACGTCCCGCTTCGGAGGTGCGTCGTTAAACGAGGTATCGTTTTCCTGACTTTCGGGGGATATGTAGGTGCTGTAATCGCTCCAGCTACAAATCCCCCCTGGCAGGTCGGCGACGAGTCTCTCGGTGAGGGGAGTCGCGAGGTCGGAGGGCAATTCCCCTGAGGGGGGCTTAGGTCCACCTCCACCTCCCTCCCCCTTTTCATTCGGGTCGCGATCCTCGTCGGGATCGGGATCTCGATCGCTGGGGCGAGATCCTTCCGATTTCGGAATTTTTCTACCTCGAGATGCCAGATTCTCGAAGAGGTCGCGCTCTGCCTCGTGATAATGACGCTTGTCCAGCCAGAACCCTCCATCCAGGGATATGTATTTTGATAACGAGGCTTTCGAAGATTCGAGGATCTCGAGACTCGTTGGGGGTTTCGGCCTGTCCGGGGAAACCACCACGAGGTCGTCTGCTATGAAGAACTGTACCTTGGATTTTCTCATAGGGACGTCCTGGTCCAGAGAGTCCACATCTGAGATTTCGATAAACTCGGGAGATAACTCTTCAGGATTGGGGAACTCCACGAACGATTCTTCCCTGGACTCGATTTTCAAGGGCTCTGGTTTTGTTGGGCTCTTCGGGGTCTGCGTGACTTGTTGCTCGACTTTCGTGGAGACTAAAGTCTCTTCTTTGGATTTTTTCACCTCTTCGGGAGAAGAAATTGATGACAAAGGTGTCTCTTCGGGTCCTGAAGGAGTCGTCTTGGGTTCCGTTTTAATATCTTCCCCTTCAGGAACGTTTGCACTATTGGCGTCGGACTTCGACGTCTGTTCTGCAAGTTTGTCCTTTTTCGCTTTCTCTTTTTTAGACTTCTTTTCAGAAGATTTTGGAACAACTGCATCTTCACTCGCTTTAGAGGGCTCTTCTGGTTTTGGTTTTTCGGCCGTAGGGACTTCTGCGTCTTCCTCCTTTTTTCCTGATTTTTGAGCGTCTTCTATTTTGACAATAATTTCAGAAAGTGCCTTTATTTCTGACTGAATTTTTTCTATTTTCTCTTCCTTCAGATCCTTGTCCGATTTTTTCGACTTATCTTTTGAGGGAACTGATTTCGTTTCCTTCTCTTCCGCTTTTCCTTTTTTCTCTTCCGTCTTCACGGCGCTCTCCTCCACTTTCTGGACTATAAATTCTTTTTTAGGCTCTGTAGATTTGATGACGTTTTTACCAAGAGTTTCTTCGTCTTTCTTTTCGACTGAGGGTGCGACAATGATCGACTCGGTGGTATCAATTTTTTTTGGCAGTTCGATCGGTGCCACGGGATTTTTAATCTCGACTTTGTTTTTCGACTTGATCTCAACATGGACGAAACCATCCTCCAATTTCTCCGTTACTTCTACACATGCATCCAGATCTTTGTCGTCCTGGATGACGACGGAACGATCTTCTACAATTTGCTCCTTCTTCGATTCCGATTCGCATTTTTCTTCCGTCTTATCTATACGAGTCACATTTTCGTTAGATTTCTCTTCAGTTTTGGACTCGGCTTTTATAACTTCTTCTTTCACTGCTTCCTCGGCATGTTTTTTTACTTCTTCCGCAACGACTTGAAGAACAACTTCAGGTTTATTCCCTACAACTTGTTCTTCTTGCAGGGATTTTTCAGTTTGTTCGGTTGTATTTACTTCCTTTACAGACGTAATTGCCGGTTGAATTGCAATTTCGGAATTCGGCTTTCCTTTCTTCCCTTTTGATTTAGATTTCGACTTTGCTTGTTCCTCGACTTTCGACGTAGTCGTCGCTTTTCCTTCCGCTTTAATGTCTTTCTCGGACTTGTCCTTATCCTTTTCTACGGTTGCTAATTTCTCTTCCGTTTTAATCTCTTTCTCGGACTTATCGCTATCCTTGGCCGCAACATTTTCTTCCTTTACCGTCTCCACAGATCCCTGTTCATTTGCATGCTGTACGCCAAATTTATCGGTGTCTTCTTTTGATTTAGTTTCCTGATCACTTTTAACTGCCCCCTTTCCAGATTTTCCTTTCTTCGATTTACCCTTTCCCTTCCCTTTGGACTCCACTTCCTGATCCTTCGTCGGTTCAACATCTTTCTCCGATTTCACAGCCTCGATGACCTTAAAATTTTCTTCGGCTTCCGATTTTTCTTTCGTTTTTGAATCTTCAACTGGGAGTAGTGACTTACTTTCTTCTTTCTTCTTATTTTCTGACAGCTTCGATTTATCTTCCGTTTTCTGTTTCGCCTTTTCGAGTTCTTTATCTACAGTCGGCTGATTTACATTCGCGACCTCCATTTTTGTCACTTCGATGTTCGATTTTTGCTTGGACTTATTTTTGGACTTCGATTTTTCTATCTTTTTGTCCGACACGTCTTCACTTTTATCCGTCATTTCCACCGATCGTTCTTCATCTTTAGTGGTTTTATTTTTATTCTCATCCTTCTTTGGAGACTCTTTCTTCGTCTCTATGCTCGAAGTATCGACTGTCTCGGTCTTCTGCACTTCTTTATCGGTTTTTACCGTATCCGTAATTTCTTTCGGCATCTTCGCGTCGGTCTTTGTAATTTTCTGGCTTTCCTTCTGTTCCTGGATTTGCTGAGCACCTTGTCCTTTCGACGGTTTCTTCTTCTCCTTCGGGTTCGTCGCCTTGGACACTTCCGAAGATTCCTCCTTCGTTTCCGCCTTCGATTCGTTGGAAACTTCAATTTTTTCCGCCACTTTCTTCGCTTTCTTCGCCCCCTTTTCCTGTTTCTTCGCCATAGCGATGCCTTCCTTCGTCCCCGGCTTCTCAAGGACCTCTTCACTAGCGGTTTCGGTTTTCGCCTCTTCCTTTTGATCCTTGATTCGTTCCTGAGGAGTGCAGCCCTCGTCCTGACGTCTGGAACTTCTGGAACGAGATCTCGATCTTCTCGAACGGAGTTCTCGGCGATTCACAAATTCCATGAAACCTTCCTCGTCCACTTCAACGATGTTCTTCACGGGCTCCGGTTCCTGGGACTCGTCCACGTGGATCTGAATCTGGGGGAGAGCTCGAGATGTGGGAGTTCGCTCCTGGGGAACGGATTTAATTTCTGGGGTGCAAATTTGAGCATCGTTGGAGTCCAAGTCTGCCTGCTTCTTGGCCACGACTTCGGCCCAAGAGCTGGACTCCTGTTTCCCGAAATCGTCCGAATTTAAATTCGATGTCTTCTCTTTTTCAGAAGCCGACAGAGTCGACGCATCTTCGATCTTAACCTGCGAAGTCTCGGAAGAAGCTGAAGAAGTCCCCCCCGTTGTTTTCAGGACTTCCGTCGTCGCCTCTTCCTGGACGACAACCTTGGAAGAGATTTGCGAGTCCTTTAAATCCGAAACTACTTCGAGATCCTTTTCCGTCGAGGCGGATTTTGACACGTCAATGTCTAGAGCGACGACTTCTTCTTCTTGGCGCATAGGAGAGGTCCTTCTTGAAGAGGACTTCGCTGTGACTTCGGCATAGGATTTCGAGTCTTTAGGGACCTCTTCAGATTGTGGCAGGATTTTTGGACTCGTTTTTACCTCGTTGGTTGCCATCTCTTCAGAGTTCTCGGGAGAGACTATTTTCGGAGCCTCCTCCTTTGAAAGCTTGCATTCGTCCTTAATCTCCTTCTTCGGCTGCTTCTTCTGGGTCTTCTTCTGGGCCGACTTCTCCTGGGGCTCCTGCGAGGCTGCTGTAGATCCTGAAGTTTGGGGTTCTTGGACCTCGTCTGAAGTTTCAGGTCCAGTCGAAGCTGAAGAAGTTGTGGAAACCCACGACTTCGCGTTTGGATTTAATCTGCTGTCGAATGACTGCGTTTCTTTCTTTTCGTCGGTCCTCTTCGGGGTTGATTTCTCCTTTGCGACATTTTTTGACGCAGTCGCTGCAGGAGATGAAGTTTCTTTTTCTGGTTGCTTTTCCAAAGTTGGGACTTCTTGGGGTTCGCTGGATTTATTCCGTTCTATGCATTCAGGAGTCGCTTTAATTTCCGTCACTTTTTCATCCTTGGAAGAGGTGGGAACCTCCACTTCCTTTCCTCCTACTTCAACGGCCACCTCTTCTTTCTTCAGTTTGGCTTCTTCACTTTTCTTCGGTTGTTTCGGTGCCGATTTTTCCTTCTTAGATTTTCCATGTTCCTTGTTTCCTTGTTTTTTCTCCCTGGCCTTCTCGTCGTCTACTTCTTCTTTTTCTGGTTTCAGTTCCTTCTCCGTCGTTTTTCCCTCGAGTTTCGATTTCTTCTCGACACTTTCCACCGTTTGAATTTTCTCGTCTCCTTTCTGCTTGCTCGTAACCTCCGTCATTTTTGCTTCTTTGCTTCCTTTCGGCACTTCCAGCTTGATTTCTTCAATTTTCACGTCTTCGACCGGCGTTGTCTTTTTCTTCGTTGCCTTAGCCTTGTTCTTAGGTGGTATTGTACAATCCAGTTTACTTTGTATCTCCTTTTTCGACCGATCTTCCGGTTCGTCGAAGTCATCGTCCTCCAGGATCATCGGCTCATCCAAGATGGACATCCAATCGTCACCTGCGACCAGGTGCACGGATTCGCGTTTTACCTCCTCCCTTTTTCCAGCTTCCGGCTCGATTTTTACGACTTCAGGCTCCTTTTCGAGGACCTTAATTTCCTCGTCAACCGAAACATTCTTTGATAGGTCGCCCGAATTTTTATTTTCAATTTCCTTCTTCTCTTCGTCGCTTTTAATTCCATCCTTTATCGCAGTCGTGGACCGGACATGATCGATCCACCGAGACTCGAGTTCGTAGATGTTGGCGGCTCGATATTCCGAATATTCGGCGGAAAGTGCGGAAATTCGCGAATCAGTTTCCGGGGAAATGGAAGGCTCGTCCGAGATGGCTTCAGTTTCCGGTGGCTTCAACTTCGAACTCTGGACCAGCCTTTCTATACTCGAAGATCTCATCTTCAGGGCACAAGATGGCGCCGGAGGCTCTTTGACTACTTTCACGACTTTATAATTCTGGTGGAAATCGGTCTCCGCCTGTGAGTAAAGGTGATAGTCGATCCAGTAGGGTTTAATCATGTCCGTCGAATGATACGCGGTATCATCGGCCCCTTCGATTGTCGCGATATCATTTTTGTCAGAAACGTCCGATATGGTGGATGTCCTGCTTTGCTCCTTGCTCGTCAACTCAGGTTTTGCAATGTAGGATTGATTTTCAGGGACCGCAGGCGTCGTCTTTTCAACTACCCTCTCTTTTTTAGTATCGGTGTCCTTTTTGATATCAATTGCGTCCTGATCCTTCAATTCTGAAACTTCCTTCTCCTTTTCCTTAGATTTACTCTGTTGCGAGCGAGGAGGATCCTTTCCACCTTCCTCCTTGTTCGACTTCTTCGTCTTCGCTTGCTTCGATTTTTTAGAAGGAGAAGAGATATCCTTTTCCCGAGGATCCGCTTTATCCTCGCGTTTGCCTTCTTCGACCGATCCTTCGGATTTGACCTCGAGGTTCTTCGACTCTTCCTTCGAGTCGACCTTATCCCCTCGATCGCTATTTTTTTTATCGACTTCCGTCTTACCCTCCAAAGGACATTTCTCTTCAACGATTCCCTCCGAATCAACCTTATCACCCCGATCGCTCTTTTTTCCCTCAACTCCTATCTTCCCCTCCAACGACCCTTTTTTCTCAACAACTCCCTTCCCTTCCCGGGTCATGAACTCCTCGGGAAGCGCAGGACGTTGCTTCCTCTTTCCTAGTTTACATTCCACGCTCTTCAGGAAGAGTTCTTCCTCCTCCGTCGAAGTGGCCATTTTAGGTGAACCCTGATTCCCTTCATCGCCTAACAACGCGCCCTTGGGAATTTTCTCCCCACTGGACGGAACATTTCCCTCATCTCCAACACTCCCGAGCAGGACGACCTCGTCCTTCTGGCCGACCTCCGTAGGTCGGGATTTACCTTCGAAATCCCCCGACGAGGGTCCTGGTACTCGATCTATAGCCTCGATTCGCGGATTAACAGTCGATTCGGTACCAGCTACTCTAGCATAAGTGGTCGTAAGACTAGCTTCGACAGTGTCTGGACATAATGTGATTAGTTCGGTGCTTTCTGTGCCTAAGGTGGTGGTTAGTGGGAGAGGAACGTTCTCAAGGATCTCGAAGGACTTGACGGACTTGACGGAAGGCGGCTTAAGCTCCTCGCACCCTGAAGTGGTGGTGGTCACGGTAGTCACGGTTTTTTCAATGATCAACGCTTTCCCTAATCGAGCCCCTTCCAAGGGGGATTTCGCGTCGCTTACGGGGGAGGCTTTTTGGGAATCGGGAATCTGGGCCTTGGAAGCGACTCGTTGATCCTGCTCGTCCTTCTCGGTGGGTTTGTCTTTGCGCATCGCTTTGGGGTGTTCCTCGTTTTTCTTTGCCCGACCGCAGGCCGGTGATTTGGCTCTCGATTCGATTTCTTCACCAAGAGACCTCTCGCCCTGGGCGGTGGCATCTGGGATTGATTTCGAATCTTTTATTTTTGGGGGCTGATTGGATTTTTTTACCCCGTCTTTTGGTGACGGTTTGGACTTGGTTTGCTCTTGAGGAACAGATTTTTGCTTAGCTGCTTCAGGTTGATCGGTGATTTTCTCCTTAACTGATTCATTTGATTTAATTTGCTTTTCGGAAGTAGATTTCTGTTTAGCTGCTTCAGGTTGATCGGTAATTTTCTCCTTAACTGGTTCTTTGGATTTAATTTGCTCTTCAGGAACAGATTTTTCCTTGGCTGCTTCACTTGAATCTGTGATCTTGACGGAACTACTCTCCTTGGGTTTGAATTGCTCTTGCTTGGGCGCTTTTTTAGGCGATGCTTTAGTTTTCGAGTCAATAATTTGAGCTTTATCCTCGAATACGAGCTCCTCCTCGAACTTGTCGAAGAAGGCAGGAGCTTGTATCGTCCTAGGATCAGAAATTTTCGATTGGCCTTCGATTTTTTTCTTCGTATCGTTTTGTGACTCTTGGCTGACCTGGGACTTCTTTTCCCCTGCCGATTTCCCTGTTTCCGAAACCTGGTCTTTAACCGAAACATTAGTTGCAGATGTAGACAGAGTCTCGCCACATTTTTCACTCCCTGTTGAAGAGGTCTCTTCAACATCCGCAGATTTCCCCTTATACTTGACCTTATCCTGTTTTTTGATTTTTGGAATCGCCCCGGAAGAAGCTTCCATTTTAATTTCACTCTCCTTTTTCACATCTACAATATCCACGATTGCAGGTGCATTCCCGGAATCTTGTGCAATCCTATCTTTCGGTTCTTCTTTCATTGTCAAATCAATTTGCATAGTGTCTGACCTCTGAGCTCTATTTTTACTTGTGGTCTGTTTGATGCTCAAAGTTCCATGCTTCGATTTTTCTTGAGCTTTTGGCTTCGTCGTTTCTTTTTCCGGCGATTTCGCCTTTTCCTTCGGTTCGTCTTTGTTCTTCTTGACTTCCTTCACTTCCTTGTCTACTTTCGGAGTAATTTCGGCATCTGATTCTTTCGGAGGTGGTTCATTGATTTTCGGTGCAACTGCAGTCTGAATATTTTCTGCGGACTTGGCAACTTCTGTCAATTTAATTTTGCACGTCTCTACATTTTCGGTCTCCTTAGCGATGCTTATCGTCTCTTTGTTGTTCTCAATCTTATCAACGTCTTGTTCAACTTTCCCTGCTTCGTTAGGCGCGATTTCTCGTTTCGTCTCAGATTTACCACATCCAGAAATTTTCGCATCTTTTTTCGTCACCACCATTTCGTCTTCTTTTTTAATATCCTTTTGATCTTGTTCCTTCGCTTTCGCCGGATGCACTTTCTCTTCATCCTGTGCTTTAATCTCCTCTTTCTTTTGTTTCGTTACCTTGCCTTTAGGCTGTTCTTGAATTTTAGTCTCCTCGACTTTAACCGGCTTCTTGATGTCCTTATTAACCTCCTTCGTATCCGTCGATTTTTTTGACTTCTTGTCACCCTTTGATTTTCCTTCCTTTCCTTGTTTCGCTTCTTTCTCATCGATTTTTTTAATCTCTCGTTTATTCTCAGGTGCAGGTTTGCCTATTTCATCTTTCGGCGTTCCCTCCTTGACTTTATCTTCTTCTTTTGGTTCTGGCTGTTTCGCTGGAGGTTTCTCGACATTTTTGTTCTCAGCTTTATTTTCATTTATAGGTCGCGTCTGTTCCTTCTGAATTTTGGCACGATTCTTTCCCTTCTCTTGTTTCCCAGGCATTGTCTTGGTCGCTTCTTTGACATCCGCATTCGCTTTAGAATCCGATTCCTTTTCGAGTTTGGCCGCCTCTACCGATTCCTCGGTTTTTCCCAAGGCAGTTCCTTTTCCTTCGACCTTAACCTCGATCTTCGTTTGGTCCTTCGACCCGTTTTCTTTCTTGCCTTTGTCGTCGTCCTCGATTTGTTTAACACTCTCCGTCGAGGTAGTCTCTTTCGATTTCCCTTGATTTTTAGAGTTATGTTTCTTCCCTTTAGCATCATCCTTACCCTCGGATTTAATTTGTCTGTTCTTCACCTCCTCCTTCACCTTGACCTCCTTGCTCCTCCCATCGTTTTCCTTGTCGTCTACATTCTTTTCCAGTTTCACCTTTTCCTTGTCCTTCTCCTGCCTCTTAGTTTTCTCCTCATTTTTAGAAATCTCCACTTTCGTCCTCCCCGAATCGGAGATTTCCTCCTTGACTTTCGTCGTTTCCTTCGACTTGTCCTTCGCAGCCTTCGCCTTTTGCTGCTTATCCATGTCCTCTATCTCCTTCAAGGCTTTGTCAATCTCGTCATCCGTGTTTTTTCCAGTTTTCTTCCTCTTCTGCTTCCTCTTCTTCTCCTGCTGAGGCGCCGCCTCCTCCAGGACTTGTCCACACACCTTCTCCTCTTTTCCCTCCTCCTTAACCTCCTTCACCTCCGTCTTCTTCTTTCCGTGTTGTGAGTCCTTCGTAACCACGCGTTCTTGAGGTCCCATCGTTTGCTTGGCTGGAACATTTTGTTCCGCCTTGTTCGATCCTTGCTTCTCCACCTTTTTTCTCCTATCTTCCTCAGGCTTCTTCTCCTCTTGGTGTCTCTTCCTCGTCTCCCTCTTCCTGGTCGTGTCCCACTCGTTTTCCTTCTGCTTCGTCTTCTCCACTTGTGGTTCCATCTTCTTCGGTAACCTGACCTCTTTAGGAGGTGAGACCTCGTGCAAGGTAGTCGGAACTTCAGGGTTCACCTTCGTGGGTGGCACCACGGTGCCGACCAGCACCCGTTGACTCAACCCTTGCGACAAAATCTGTGCATACGAAAAGGACTGACTTTTCGCGTCGACCTTGCCACCTGGTTCCTCGTTCTGGTCCTCCACGTTCCCCTCTTCCACGGGTGGTTCCTCCTGCGACGGGGAAACTTTCGTCTCTTCGGGATCACCTACTTCAGCTGCAGGTTCCGGAACAAGGGTTTCCGGTTCCTGCCTCTGAACTGGAACCTGCAGGACCTCGACCGGAGGTGCTCGAGGTTGGGGCAACATGGCTGGTGGAGGGATCAGTTCGGTCTGGGGACATTGTCTGATTAGACTTCTTTGTTGATAGACATCGGGACCAGGAGTGGCGAGATATGCAGCTTGAGCGACGTAGCGTTCCCCAGGGAAGCCCATGTGGCCGTCGAACGTGTTCAGGGCGATGGGCTCCAGCTGTTGCACCTGCTGGGGAGCAGCCGCGTACACGTAGGAACCTACAGGATACGCTCCCAACTGGGAGTTGATGTACCCCACCAGCTCGGGCATGGGATGGATATAGTCGTACATCTCTGCAGGAGCCGGGTTCCTGGCGACCTCCTCGTAGTGCTTGCCCTCCAAGACATAATCCTCCAGCGGTTCGTCGGCCCAGTTGCCCGAGTCCGTGGGGAACGCCGCAGGAACCTCCTCAACGTGTCCCGGAATATCAGGCTCCGGTTCCTCCTGCACCTGCTGGACGTTACCATAGGGAACGGGAACCTGGATCTCGGCAGGTTCCTCCTGCCCCTGGGGGAAGTCCTTGCTCCCGGAACCCTCCAGGACCGGCGTTGGCTCCTCTCGTCGAGGTCGCTCCAACGAGCGGTCCTTGCTGGTCAGCTGCACCATCTCGTCCTCGTTCGCTCCTACAGGCTCCGAGGAGGCCCTGGAAAAGTTGGCCTGCATGCGTCCTCGCAGGATATCGGCATAGGTCGTGGATCCTGGGACCCAGAGGGGGCTCGGCGACCGCCTCCTGGAGTCCTCCCTAGGGGCCAGAGTGGCCGGCGACCGACCTTGCTCCCTGGACCTCGAATCGTCCCCCTGGACCCTGGTCCCCATTTCTTGAGTATCCTTCCTTCCACCCTTTCCCGAGGTCTTCCTCGTCAAGGACCTTCCCCTCCTGGGGGCTCCAGGGTTGCTCGCAACTTTCTCAACCTCTTCTTTCAGCCTCTCCTCCTGGACCGCACCTGTGGGACCGGATGAAGGGTCTTTCGGCTCTTCTGGACGAGGTCGCTGGACCATCCCCTTCGCCGAGGTCGAGGACGATGGAGGTGGTACCGGGGGCTCTTCTCGCTGATTTCTGAAGGGACTCGCGCTTCTCGAGCCTGGACTGCTTCTACCGGCCGCGATATCGGCGTACGATATCGATCCCGGATGCCTCGCGCCTTGGGGCTCTGAAGTCGGGACAAAGTTAGGGTCCACCTTCAGTATCTGATCCAGCATCGATCTCGAGCGCTGCTTCCAACTGTCCATCTGTGTCTGCAAGGCCTGTTGCGGGTAGCAACCGCCAAAGAACAGGGAATAGTCAGTACGATTTGCGCCTCGTGGAAATATCGCAGGTATTGCTCTTTAACGATCGTGATATGTATCTTAGGATGCATCGATATACACGTGTATGTATATGGATCGTTTGACTTGGCTCTAATTGGCTATACTCGGCCCCCGTTAGTTCTCATTTAATTTCTTTTTATCTCTTATCGCTAGCTAGGTGGGGGACTGCGGATCATTGCGACTCTTTTTGGAAAGGCTCTTTATTTTCTGCACGCCGATGCAGTACACACACGTTTCACGACGTATAGGTGTTACGCGCTTGTACGTATACCTCACGTGTACACGTATAAGTGCGCAAGAAATCATGCGCAGGTGTACGTGTACATGTAGGAGGTAACCAAGCGCGCTTCCGGAGCGTCGACATGAAAAAGTCCGGTAGAAAATACATAACTAAGGCACGTCGGCTTGCGAAACGCTAATTTTACTGGAGGACCTGCCAGGAACTTTCCCCCTGGCTCGGGAAACGCGCTCTCAAGACAAGGCGAAGAGAATCTGCCGAAGGCCCGACGCGACGCGCGCGTTTCTCATTTTTTTTTCGTTCCCTTCTGGCGCGGTGGAAAACAAATCCTCGATTGTCGTCGATCGTCAACTTGGCAGAGCGAATTCACGTTTAGATGTGCCTCGAATCACTCTTTCGTGTCAGCTTAATTTTCTCTCGAATTTTCCTTTTACGGACGAGGCAAAAGGGCCGAAAGAACGGCGTCGGTATACGGCGCGAGAACGGAAGATAATCCAAGATGGCGGCGCGCGAGCGGAAGAGAATCCAAGATGGCGCGTCCCGAGATGCGCCCTGCCAAGCTTAACGAGGTTACATTCGAGAAATACGTCGCGATGGACTGCGGCTTTTCTCAGGTCGATTCGAGGCTCCGATTTATCGATTCGCTATAGATCGATGGGATCGGAATCCGGTGTTCCACGCTGAACGAGGAGCTTCGACCGTTCGGATCGCGAATTGATCTTCGACTGCAAGGTCTTGATCTTCTCGCGGTAGGCCTGCGAGGTCGGACCGAGACAGTGAACATCGAGAGAGGTTGAGAAAGAGAGATGAAGAGAGAGAGAGATGGTTAGCCGGAAGTACGTGATAGAGAGAGACGTTCCCGGAAACCGAGGTAGAGGGACGTGAAGTAGAGAGAGGCGGAGATGGAGACCCAAGGTCGATGAAGACGAAGATCAAGATGAAGAGACGGTGACGATCGGGAAGGTAGGGAGGGGCGGGCGAGGGGACGCAGCAAACAAAATTCATAAATAGTAATGTCGCTCTAGATCAAAATTAATATATCTATCGAGTAAGTAAGACGTGACGCTGCGTGACGTGGCCGTCACGTGGTCGGTCGGGAAGTTGGCTTGAATTTGCGATGTTTATCGGCTTCCTGGATCGATTATGTTATCACTGTACGAAATAAATGACAGAGGGAGGGTGATAGAAGAAATTCTCGCTCTATCCCATTTTTCCATGGCAGGAAAATACGGTCCAGCGAGATTTCACCTTTCAGCCTCCATTAAGGCGATATGAAAGCGTCATACTATATATGTATCAAAACGTGAAAATATAAAACTTTACTCAAAACCGAATGCACGGAATAATTTTAAACTTTAACACGCGAAGGTCCTAATGAAGGTGGGGAAACTTACGAAATTTCATTTTTCGAAATTTTGCGAGTTTCGAGACCATCATGACCACGTGTCAAAGTTTGAAATCACTCGGTGCATTTAGTTAGAAGATAAGTTCCGTAAATATTTTCACATTTGGGAATATGTGCATGACACTTTTGTAAGACCTTAAGGAATCTTAAAAAGCTGAAGCGTCCGACTCGCGTGCACGCGTGTCACCGTGCGTGTGCGTGGCGTGGAAACGATAAGTACCTACACGTGTGTACATATGTGTACATCGTGGAACGAAATCAAAGAAACGAGTGAATAATCGGTGTAAAAAACGTGAATCAAGTATACGGCAACACAAACAGGCAAACTCAAGAACCCCCCACCGACGAGTAACGAGAAACTTAAAGCTAGAGTAGAAACACAGGCGTGAGGGAGACAACAAAGTAAACGAAACCATGGGGTGAGACTAAAGGAGAAAGAAAAAGATACCAACCAATACCCAGTAAGTCAAAGTACCACCTCGGCTCGTCCGGGGCGGCGCGTCCCACCGGAAGCTTCCGAAAAGCACCCTTAAGGGGATGTCAAAGTGGCGTCAAAGAGGTCCCATTTATAAAGCTTTCCTCCTAACTGAATCTGCCAAATCGTATGAAATTTTACAACGTAAACATGGAAGCTACAAGGAAGCTCTGGACGGCCATGAAATTTTAATTTTTGTTGGCAATTTTTCAAATAAACCAATTTTTATAAGAATTGAAATTTCAGGGCGTTAGTGTTCACGTTGCAAAGTTTGACACGATTCGGTAAACCCAGGTCGTGGAAAAGCTTTGCAAACACCTTAGTTGTCACTTTCACGTCAATTTAAACCTTGCCACAATTTTTAGAACTTTCCTGGACAAGTTCTAAATATTTAAGGAAGACTCCCGAGGAGACACCTCGTCCTCCAAGCGTGCTCGTGCGAATGCAAGAGGGTGACCCGCGCACGCGATCGGCGCAAGGAGTGGACCAAGATGGAGGTCGGAGGTCGAAGGTCGGTCTTCAAGATCGCACGTTTCAGTACCCTCGATCGAGTTGAAGAGAATCTTGAAATTCGAAGCGACCAGGACCCGTGCCTCACTTTTAGCGCTTAAAGACGTCAGGCTAAAAAGGAGGTACGAGGAAGGACCTTCTACCTCCGACAGATGAAGAGTCATAGAAAGAGAGAGTTGGAGATCGTCATTCCCATCTCCGTCGGCGACGCGGTCCTCGGACAACTTGAAAGAGACGCAGCCAATCGCCCTCGTTATGTCGTCGATACTGGTCCGTGAAAAAACGCGACGTTTTTCTCTCCATCGCGTCCATTTGGACAATCGGATTACTGGACCGTGGAAAGAAAAGAAAAAATCCATGGAAAGAAAAATGTCTTAACTCGAAGAATACCTCCGATAGGCCGTAATAAATTGTCGCAATTCCGTAGAAACGTGGCATACACAGTTTATTCCGGTTTATCCGAGGTAGATAATTTATTCGTTGAATTAACCAATTGTTCCTTCGGTTCGATGAGACTTTCGTTTTTTTCTTTTCCCCAGGGTATGCGTTTCGCGCCGGACGGTCTCGGTGGTGGTGATTAGGTTGGTATCGGCGGATGCAATTCACTCCGACGCGCAGAGCATGGGTGCAGAGAGGACTTTTTGGGAACGGGAAGCGAGTTGCCTACCTGTTGCTCCTGCAGCGCCTTCTCGCGGTCGTTTGGAAGATACGTGGGGCTCAGGACGGCCCTGAGCTGCTGATCCGCTTGGACGATCTGCTGGCGAAGCTGCTGAATCTCCTGGAAGTACAGGGGAGAGTGTCAGGGAGGGAACCAGGGTCGAGAAAAGGCGTCTTCGAGGAGTTCCGAAAAGTTCCCTCGACCGAGACAAGGAGAGGCTGCAATGAGCAGCGCACCGTTCGCAAAATGGTCGATTTACGCAAAGTACAAAGGAGTACTCGATTTTTAAACAGCCTCGACAAGGCTGTCTGACTCGTCCAGGGTAAGGAACGTCCCGAGAATCCCGAAGACGCCACGAAGGACCTCCTGGTACCTGCTGGTACTGGTCGATCTGCAGGAGGCAGGTCTCCAGGGAGGTGGTCTGCTCCTTGACGGAGTCCTTAAGGACGTTGAGGTCCCTGATCAGGTCCTGGGCCGCCTCGGCGACCTTGTTGTCGCCGCCGACCCCGGACCTGAAGTGGACCTGGAGCTTCTCGACCGAGATGCTGATCTTCGTCTTTTGGATGGCGACGTCGCTGAGCATCTTCTCCCTGATGGCGTGCTGGTCCCTCAGGGGCTTCTTCTTGTTCTGTGGAGACTCCAAGGTCTGTCGCGCCTTCTCTATCCACTGTCGGACATCCTTCATCTTCCTCTCGCACTGTTCCCACTCCTCGCTGGTCTCTTGTAGAAGGGCGTTCTGAAAGCGACAGGATCGCTGAGCAACTTTGCCCGACGAACTTCTCTACTCTCCGTTGAACCGAAACGCACCCTCTCCAGGAGCTTGCCCTCGACCTCGACTTTGGCCTCCTCGGCCTCCGTCAGCTTCTCCGGGAGGTCACCTACGCTCGTCACCTGGCCGATGCTTTCCAATTCCTTGCTCATGTCGCCGAGGTTCTTGTTCACCTGCTTGCAGCTCTTCACCGCCGTCTACAAGGAGGAAGTCGTGCGAGGTCTCGTCGTTAAGGCGATGGAAAAGTGGCGGCGAAGGGGTCCTTTATCAAACCTTCTCCGAACAGGGTGCACCGAATCGTTCCAAATTTTACCCCGTGAATATGAAGACAATAAGAAAGGTCCCGACACCCGTAAAATTTCAATAAAAAAAATTTTTTTTATAGATATTATCAAAATTTTTTATAAAAAATTTAATATCTTGGGTGCTAGGACCTTCCTTATAGTCTTCGCTTTCACGGTGTAACGTTTAAAACGATTCGGTACGTTCAGTCTGGAGATGAGTTTCAGGAACGTTCGACCCCTCGCATCCCCTTAACCCCGGCACGAAAGATTCATCCTCCTCGTCGGGTCGAGCGAAACGTCCCGATTTCGGTGCAAGTACTCGAGGCATCTCCAAAGTAGCGGAAGCATCTTCAAGAATAAAGGACGACGACGAAGTTCCCGTTTCGCTGGACCCAGGGTCGAGGAAGACGAGTGGACGAAGACCTCGCATTACCGAGTAATCGTGCAGCCTCTGCCTGGCCTGGACCAGACTGGTGAGTTTGAGAGGGTCGGCCAGGAACAGCTTCTTCTCCTCCGTCCAGGCCTTGACGGCTTCATAGAGAGTGAGGAACCTCTGCCAGGCGTCGAGGGTGTCGGCGACGACCTGAAGTCTCTCGTCGAGCCAGGATCGCACCTGGGCGAGCTGATCGGTAAGATTGGCCACGGTACCCTGGACGAGCTCCTTCTCGTCCTCGTCCCTTGTGTTCTCCACGATGGTCCTGGCGTTCCTGGTGAGCCTTTCGAGCTTATCCCCCATGGGCCCCATCTCGTTCTGAATCTGACGAAGGTGGTCCCTCAATTTCGCGGGGTCCACGGTGCGATCCTGGACCTTCAGCTCCGCCTGGGCGACCCAGGTCTGCAGGTCCTCCACGTCGGCGAGGTAGTCCGACCTGGTGGTCCTGGCGCGTTTCCGCTCTCGCTGCTTCTCCTCCATGGCCTGGACGGCGGCCTCGGCCGCGAGCTCGAGGCTCGTCAGCTGGTTGCCGAGGTCGGTTGGCACCAGCTGCTGGCTGGCCTGGTACCGCGCCTTGGTGCTCCCCGAGAGGCCCTTCGCCGCCTCCACGAGGTCCTCCAGGTGCCTCGCGAGGGACGACGACTCCGCCGCAGCGGCCTCCTGGTCGGCGCCGAACACGTGGAGCGACCTCGCGCGCTGCTCCGCCTCGGAGAGGCGGTCTCTTAGTCGCGCGACTTCCGCCTCGGTCCTCTCCAACGACGAGAGCTCAGAGCGAGCGAGCTCCGACCGCTCTTGCAGGGAATCGGCGAGCCTAGGGCAGAGGAAGCCTCGGTACTCTTCGGGTGGCTTTCGATAAGACGCCGATAAGGGTTTACCGAAGACTCATTCAAAATTTCCCGTAACCACCCCGAGAAAAAAATTCTTTTTTTTCTCGGTGTAGGTGTAGAACGTTTCGGATTAATCGGAGGCACGCGCTTGTCGGACATTTTTTTTTTTTAAGGGTGGAGGCCCTTGCGACCGGGGCCCATCGTGGGGCCTTATCCCTGCGGACGGTCCCCGAGTCTCGTGACTCGCTTGGATGAGATCGGCGCTCTGGGACGGATTTAGAATCGGAAATGCGCGTCGCGACGCCGAAGACGGCTGGCCCGAGCTCGTGGACCGGCCGGAGGCAGCCTTGGCTAAAAGTAGTTCGACCGTTTGGTTCTCGCCACCTCGTGCACCTTGAAGAGGCGTCTCTCTTCGGCCTGGCATGCCCGAGAACTGGCCGGTCCAAGAGCCGATCCGAGCCCAGAAGAGACGCAAGGTTACCGCTGGTGGAGGCGGCTCAAACTCGAGAAATTTCGAGAAGACCGATCCCCCTATTTTAAGTTTCATGAACGAGGCCTCCTTGACGCCATTTTTATATCCCATTAATTTTATCGGTCATTATTCATTCCTGGAGGATCACCGAAGTTAAGCGACCTCGGGTGCGGGGTCCCTCCTTGGCTGGGTGACCGGCGGAGGCATCGCGATGGGTCGGTCCGAAATAAAAAAGAATTGCCGTATTCGGCTCTTGATCTTAACTCGAAATCCAATGCCGAAGAACTTATTTTATGCAAAGTTTAAAAGTTGAAGAAATCCTCCACCGAACCTTGGCACGACTCGACCTACGCGACCCAAACGACGAGAATCGATTGACCTCGATGTCTCCCGAAATAAGATACGCGTCGATGAAACGACTCGAAGACGTTTCTTCGAGATCGCCACTCTTCGGCAAAATCGTCGCGACGAGCATTTGCAAGACTTGGGACGCGTATTAGCGCGCACATTTGAGAGGTTATGGACAACTACATGAAATCACGCCGCGTTAATTTTCCATTTTTCCGCTCGTTTCGATCGGTTTTAGAGCACGAAGTAGTATAAGGAGATACACCGCCATGGATCGAAATTATCCCCACTTTAGATGTCTTCAGATTTTTTGCCTTAAAAGCAAAATTAAAAGCGTTTTAGGTAATTTACGTCGCTAGGAAATATTCCGGTCCCCTAGGACGTCGTTGGATCGGGGAAAATCTGAGACCCTGAGTCCCGATTCTGGGGCCAATTTTTGGGGAACCGACCACTGTAGTTACGTCTCCGTATCCTACTTCATGCTTTAGAGCTTCAAAGAAGAGGTCCGACGGTGAAAGACGTAAAAATGCCACGTCTTCTCGAGCGACCAGGCTTCGCGTGTTTCCTGAACGCGATCGAAGCCACTGCACCACGTGGGAGCCGGCCGGCACTGCGCCGTATCCGTACAGAGGTACGGAGTAACGCTCGCCATGTTTCGAGATCGAAAACCCGAATTTGAAATTTTTGAGTCTATCCACCCCCTCTGAAGAGTCATCGAAGCAAAGAAAACATTTTCTTCGGATGGTACCAAAAAAGCGTTTCGTCAATTCGAGGTCTATTTTGAGGTTAACATTCTACCGAGATAAGAAAATATTCCTCGGCGTAATGGTCACTTGGGTTTTACTTTCGGTTCTCCTTGGCAGTCCGATCGTTACCTATATCACGAGCTTCCGAGTGACACAGGAGGTCGCGGGGCGAATTAATTCGAGGCCGGAGAAAGCGACTCGGGCCACTCTAGGTGGAGGCTCGGACGGCGCGGCACGGTGGAGCGGAGCGACAGCGGTCGCGGTTCGGAACGTATTGCGGCTCCGCCGTGGTGTCGGCGATTGTGGCGTAGGCGCCGCGACGCATGCGGCGTCGACGGGGCGAGGACGCGCCCCCCGAGGCGGCGGGTGGAAGCGGAGGGCGAATGCAGCGCGTCCTAAGAATAAATATACTCCGGGACGCCGGGGGCAGAGTGGTCGTTGCACCTCGCGGTCCTCCGAGGGCCCGCGCGGAACGGACGCGGAAGAGGTGCGGAAGAAACGAAGGGGTCCGAATTTCTGGGGAGGTTCTCCGGACGCGAAGGGGGGCGAGGCTAAATTAAGCCAAGAGTACGGACCTTCCTTCGAGGAGAGCGGAGGCTCTAACCTTCGGACGCGAACGCGGGTGAACTAAGAATAATTACCGAGAGGAAAGGGAGGACGAAACGTCTCCGCGGGGATTAGCGCGGAATTCGGGACAAGTCGGAGGGTATGAAACGTCCACGCGGATCGCGGGGCTACGCGTCGATATCGCCGGATTACGATTCGACGATACGAGGGTTAGGACGAGATGGAGACTCGCGAGGAGAGTCGGCCGATTCGCCTCGGAGCGGCCCCTCGCGACGTGGAATTTAGATTCGGGCCAACGTGCCGGATTATTTTTAACCGTAGGCTTATTTTAAGCACATCGAATCGGCACCGCGCTCGAATTCGCGGAGTCTTCCCCGAGGTACTAATTGATTATGTCGGCCTCAGCCGCCGATGGTCGAGGACAGTGTCACGTTTATCAGGGTAACCCGAGGTACCTCGACGTCCCCGAAGAGAGCATGTCGCCCGTCCCAACGCAAGTTCATCCCACCGTCGATAACAACCAGGAACTATAAATCCATTCGCACGTCTCTTCCCTTATCATCGCGCATGAACTTCCCAGGGATTTTTATCACCGCAGTCGCGTTTTAACGGAGGAAATTCCCGACGCGCACCTGCGAAAGCACCGACCGAGACTGACTGCAGGTGAAGGAATTTTTCAGTCGAAGATAAAAGAGCGGAAAGAGAAAAAAAACAAATCGATGAATGAACGGCGGGAACGCTATCGGGTCGACCTTGCTCGAAGGAGCGACACCCCTCCTGCACCTAGTACCACTTCTCGCCGCGATGCGTGTACGCTTACATTATGTCATACCACGGATTTGGTTATGACGCAGCTCGAACGATGACGCGATCACGTTCTTTTTCCTTTCTTCGACGTCTTTTTCGTTCTCTCCCTCGAGATGTCCAGTCGGACAATTTCGCATAATAAATTATTCATCGTCCCGCCGTCCGAGCGTCGTCGCCATGGCAACGAAGAAGTGGCGTCATGGAGGTCGCTGCCGGCCGCCAAGGAGAAATTTCGGAGTTTCGAGCCGATTTTTTTACGCCGACCCATTGGGCAACTTATAAAACGGGGCCTGACTCATCGCTGACCATTTCCTCCGCGTCGATGACGACTCTTTCCTCCTCGGTTTATCGAAGTATGCAAACGACCGTAGCAAAATTCAAAACACCCGCCGCGCTTCTCGAAGGCCTCCTCGCTGCGTCACGGTTAATTCTCGCCGATGATTTCCGGATTTGGTAATCGCGGCCGGGAATTAAGCCCTTGGCGATAGCGCGATAATTGCATGCCATGTCGCGGATAAATATATCTCTGATGTTGTCGGTGTCATAATTACTGGCACGTCTCTACTGCGTTCTACGACCGCGACACTCTCTTTGGCCTCGATAAGCTTTATCTCCCGTCCGCGTTGCATCGTTACGTCTTTCACTCTATTATCGTATATCATTCTTGTACGCATTGTTTCTGGAATACTCGTAAACAAGCGAGGAAAAATTCCCGAAGAAGCGTGTCGGCATTAATCCTGCCCTTGACATTAATAATTCGGAAAAATTAGAAAAAAAATGGAATAAGCCTTGAAACCGCGAGGGGCACCAAATGCAAAAGTGGGCCTCCACGTTTCCGAGGTTCTCACGTGCGATAATGCAATTGTCGATCGAACGAGGGCGATAAATCAGCCGCGAGATAACCTATCTTTCGATTCCGAACTTATGCACGAGGAGAATCGTCGGTCGATCGTCGAATCAACGATACGTACACGTAAAGTCTGGTTGCTCGGGGTTTTCAATTAAGGTTTTTTAACCGTTTTAAATTGATTTCAATAACGCCTTTGATTATATCGAGTTCTGCGGTGGCAAACTCGGATTTCTCCTGTTAGGGAAGAGAGAGATAATTTCGCGACTTGCTAACGAAGCACTTCGCGATTGCTATTACTCTCTTGCTAACTGACAACTGGCAAGCTTTTGCCTGCCCTCGAGGGGTCGACTTGAAATTTGGCAGCCAGTTCGAGCAATGCTGAGGAAACGTCCTCAGCATCTTCCGAACGGCGCGTCACTTCCGCGAGAGTCGCGTCGGCCATTGTTGGCCATTATTGGCAGGCTTAAAAATAGAAGCGAATGCAAAGTATCGAGGAAACGCGGTAAAGAGAACGATTCCGCATGAATTCTTGACAAATATAGAGTTTGGGTATATATATCTATAACCTTAAGGCTAATTCCCGATGGGGGAATTTTCTTTTCCTCTCCGCAAATATCTGCAGAGACGTCATGGCAAATCATAAGATCATTCAGGGATTGGACTCGAACGGATTGACATAAGGATTATGTAAACGATCTTATAAATACTAAATGATCTCTGAAAAAGAAAATTTAATTAAGACGGGAGGGGAAGAAGCATAAGCTCGGTGCACACTTCATGCACATGCAACTGCTCGTGGGTGGCCCGTTTAATGTATACCGGCTAATTTCTCCAAATAAAAAAGGGGGGGTACGCACATTTATGAGCTAGGGATTTTCTTTCATATCAAATGGGAGCGACTTATGTTCACGGTGCAACATGTGTCCCAATATTGATCGACTTTGGGGGTCTGTCTGACATTTCGACCGTCTCGCGTGATTTACCCTCCTATCAAATTGCTACGTGATAAAAATGCCCAAATTGGCATATCCAATCGTTGGTTATTTCGAATCCACAATTAATTGCGATAAAATTAAATGTCATGAGGTGTAAAAAAATGTATGTGAATTTTCGACGATTTTTTTCAGCTAGGCCAAAATTAGGGAAATTTCAGTGCCGTCTTCGAGGCGAGGACGATTTAAAAACGGCGTAGTCGGTGTCCTGGCGGATTCCACCCACTTTCGAGCAGTTTGTAAAAAATGGTGGACTCACGTTTCGACGTTCTTCTGCAGCTTGTCGAGGCGTTCCTCGAGGGCTCGAGCAGGAGCTTCGATGAAGGCCGCGAGGTATGCCAGGACGGGCCCGGCCAGCGCCTTCACTTCCTCCGCTGCCGGTTTGAGCTTTTCAGCTTCCGCCAGGAGTTCCTGTCCGGGTAAAAAGGCGGCTTTAGAGACATCGCAAGATATTCTCTTCTTGGTTGGATAGCAGGATTTCGACTGAGGCTAAAATCGCCGACTCCTATTCCAGGGAGTCACGCACCTGCCCGGTACCTGGCTGTACGAGTCCACCACACTAATGTGTGGCCTTACTGTGGGAATTATCCCACAGTTTGGCTCCGTTCACAACCATTACCAAGGGTTGGCCCCTAATCATCGAGGGCAATAATCGAGCAGACTTTCGGTAATCTACTTAAGGCGATGTGAAAGTGCCATCCGAAGAGTCAATCGTTCATGACACTTTTCTCCGAATTGCGGATACCGAATCGTGTCAAACCTTACAACGTAAATATGGAAGCTATGAGGAAGGTCCTCGCCCCCATGAAATTTCAATTTTTTTATAACAAATTTTTAAGAACATTAAAAAATCATCACTTTCAGAATCCTCCTTATACCCTCCACATATGTATTGTAAAGTTTGAATCGACTCGGTACACCCAGTTTGGAGATGTTTTATTAACGAGACCTCTTTGATGTCACTTTCGCAGCAATTTATCAGAGAAGGGGGAGAAATATTGTTTGAACTTACATCCAGGGATTTGACGGTGTCGCAGAGGTGCTGCTTCGACCGTACGACGGTGTCGACGAGTTTGTTCCTTTCCTCGATGGCGTTCAATCTCGCTTCCGTCAGGGTCCAACGTGTCTCCAGCTCCTCCCAATGTCTGGACAAAGCTTCCAGGGCATCTCTGCGACCTTCCAACCCCGAGACCAGCTCTTTCCACTCGGCAGTTGTCCCGGCAAGTTGGGCTTCGATGATCTTCTTGTTGGTGGGGTCCGCCTGGCGCAGCACCTCGACTCCACGTTCGTTCAGAAGGTCCAACTCGAACTGTTGATTCTGCGTATGGTTTTCCAAGTCAAGAATGGCAATTCGTTAGGCAACTTTGACAAGCTTGGATAGTGACGTCAGCTGGTAAAAATCGCCGGCTTGGCGGTTTCGTCGATGAAGTCAGTGGAGCTTTCTGCGGACACGCTGCAGGACTTTCCCCGGCGAAGCTCCGGCCGAAGCTCAAGGTGTTATGAAAGTGTCACGTATGAATACCGAAAGACCTTCATTAGAGTCTCCACAATCGCGCGTTGAAGTTTCCGACTTTTAGATACATGTCGAATAACCCTTTCATATCACCTTAAATGGCGAGCGAGAGATGAGGCAAGCCAAAGACGAGCCGAATGAAGAACGAAGGGGTACCTGGATGTCGTTAAGGGCGTGCGTGATCTTCTGAATGTTGAACTGCAGACCAGCGAGAGTGGTGACGGGTTCATCGGTGAACCTCGTCCTGCCGATAACTGCCCCAACGCGTTCCAAGCTTTGCTGATAGTCCCGCCACGTTTCCGCGCCTTGTTCAAGCCTAGCTCGTTGCGACTTGGCGGTGTTCAAGGTGTTCTTCAGCAACTGAGTGTGCTGCTGCTGCTCAGCGCTGAGCTCCTCCTGTTCGGCCGCGTTTAGGGACGGCCAGATCTTGTCGGCGGCTTGTTGAATCTGCTGGGAGACCAGCTCCCTGATGGAGGCCTCGGTGCTGAAGTAGATCTGCAAGTCGACCGAGAAGATAAACAAGGACCAAAATATGAACTCCACCAAAGTTATCCCCTGAAGGAAAAACCCCATATTCAAGGGAAATCCTAGACCCTCACCTTGTGCTCTTCTAGGTCGCTGAGGATGTTCTCAAAGTCGAGCCCCTCCTTGTCGCTCTGCAGTCGGATTTCCGCCTCTCGGACCCAGTTCTGAAGCTTCTCCGTCAGCACCGCATAATCCAGCCTCAAGTGCAGATTGTTGTCCAAATAATTTCCCCGTTCCTCCAGCTCCCTGGGAAGAGACGACAGCAAAGACACCGCCTCGCTCAGCATCTCCTTCAAGGACCCCGGCATGCCGTCTTCATGGCGCACCGACTCCTTTAGGGTCCTGATCTTGTCGAGGTACTCGTTAACGCCGTCGCGGAGAATCTTGTGGTCGTTCAACTCGGTCTCGACACTGTTGGGGTCCCTTTCCAGAAGAGGACGAGACTTGATGTCCTTCTCCTTGCCTTCCAACCAGTCCAAGATGGCGGCCAGTTCCTCGGCTAGTCGCTTGTGTTCAGCCGCTGCGAGTTCATGCCGTTCTCGTTGCGTTTCGACGGCTCTCCTCAGGGTCTGCAACTGTTGCTTCAGGGACTGAAGCTGTTCCGTGACGTTGTTCCTGTCCGCCGAGGTCCCATCGACAGCGATCTGCTGCCCCTTATCCGTGGCACTGGCCAGGGTGGCTTCGCATTCCTGGATCTTCAGGATCACGTCGTCGTATCGCTTGATCTTGTCTTCCGTGGTCTGCCCGCAACTTTCGATGTCTCTGACGATTTCCGTGTACTTGGCGATGAACGTCAGGATCTCCGTCACCAGCGCTATGAACTGTTGGCGGAGCAGAAGGAGTTGTCTCAGTCTGGCTATCTGGTCTTCCAGGGCTCTTATCAGGTCGTCCTGCTGGGCGACCACTCCGTGGAGGTCTCCGATGTTGACGGCCTGCAAGTCCGACAATTTCGCCTTGTTAGCCTTAAGGTCGTCCAGGATCCTCTCGTAGGCCTGCAGCATCCCTTCGACGTCTTCCACTCGAGACCCTATCGGCTTGTTCAGCTCTTGGAGCTCTCTCTGGATGTCCGTCATGAACTGCACCGCTTCGGCTACTCTCGCTGCTGCTTCTTCGGCCTCGTCTATGCTGGCCTGGAGAACGGCGGCTCTCTCGTTGATTATCCCCGCGACTCTCCCGTGTGCGTCCTTCATGCTCTTAAGGCGATCACTCAGCTCGAGTTTGTCGGCGTCGCTGATGGTCGGCAGGATCGACTTCCCCTGCTGAGTTATCTTTTCGACGTCGTCGGCGTACTCCTTGGCTTCCTTCTTCAATCGGTCGTACTGAAACCAAGATTTTGTAATTATGGAAGCGAAAATTCCCCTAAGCTGAAACGAAACCCCCAAGCACCAGGCACCCATGAATTATCCCGACATTTTGAAAATTTCGATTTTTTAGGATCAAGCAGGAATTTCGAGCTCACCTTTGCGAGTTGTTCTCGGAGCACGTCGACGCTGGACGTGCGAAGTTCTAGGGAAGTTGCGACTTCGGCTTCCTTTATCCAGCGCTGACACTTGTCCATCTCGCTCTCGAAGGATTTTCTACCTTGAAGAAGGTCGGCGAGGGCGGCCTGCCTCTCTTGAGCCTCCTTCTTCAAGGCGTCGTACTCTTCCGTCACGTTGTCCAGCAGAGCTTGAAGTCGAAGCCGGTCCTCCTCGTTGCACTCCTTCAGCAGGCTATGCCCCTGCTTCAGGACGTCGTTCAAGTTCGTCTCGTTGAAGGATTCTATATCCGACGCCAGGTTGTTGTGCCGAGCGATGTCCTGCTCCACCTTGGAGGATTTCAGAGGAAGGTACCCACTGAGCTTCTTCAGGTCGTTGCTCCTCGACTTGATCCAGGATCGCGCTTTATCGAGGTCGTCTTCGAGTTTCCTTCGCGCATTCGTGGACGCCGTCGCCGATGAGATCTCTTCTCGAAGAATCGAACAAAGTTCCGCTTGTTCGCCGCGAAGAGCTCTCGCATCGGCCTCGAGTTGCTGTTGTTCGCTCGCTTCCAGCTCGTTTTGCATATTGCCGACTCGTTTCTCCAATGTTTCGATCAGCACCTGTTTACCCTCGGCTTCCTTCAACGTTGCCTGAAAAAAAAAAAATCATTTCGATTGTTAATAAAACCCGCTCTTTTCTAGGTGACGTCGGAGGCATCCGAAGAGTCTCGCGACGTTCATAGCCATATCACCTTGAACTTAACAGAAGTTAACAAGGATAAATTGCGCAGGTCAAGGATCACCTTAAGAGCGAGCATCCTTTCCTCGGCAAGCTTGCTCTCGAATCCTATGGGACCGGACAATCTCGCCTCCTTCTTCTTCCCATCGATCCATTCCCGAATCTCCTCGATCTCCCGTTTCGTAGCTTCGATCCCCTGAGCAGTCATGTCCAGGACCTGCGACTTCCTCTGGAGCTTCTTCCCGATGTCACCGTACCTCCTCTCCACGGACTTGATCTGCTCCTCTATCTGCTGGGAGTCCAGGTTACTGACGGAGTCCATCACCTGGTCTCCCAGTCCCTTGACCTCGTCGAGCTTGGACGGCCCCTTGTTCTCGAAGTCGGAGGCTATTTCCGTCACCGAGGCGATTTTCTGGCCGATCGTCTGTCCACTTCCTTTCTCCACTGCGTCTATCTTCTTCGAGAGGCCATCGAACCACGACTGGATCTCCTGGACGTGGGAACGATAATTCTGGATGAGGTCTTGTGCGGCGCGCTTCCCTCCTATTGCCTCCACGAGTTCGGTCTCCAGCTTGCCGAGCCCCTCGAGGAGGTCGTCCTCTCCGTCCTCCCCGATGGAGAGCTCGGTCATAGCTCGGGTCTTCCTTTCCCCCACGTTCGCCAGCAACTCGTTCATCGCGTCCAGCTCTGCCCTCGCAGCTTCGGCTCGTAACTTTGCAGGTCTGGAATTCCACTCTGCACAAAGGGCTCGTTGTTGGTTCACCCAGCTGCGGAGGGCGTTCTTCTGACGGTTCCGCTCCTCCAGGTCGCCCACCGCCTTCGCCACGTTCGTCAAGTGCGTCTGCATCTGCGGGGAGAAGATCATCAGTCTCCGTTTTGCTTGGAATGGGCAAACAACGCCAAATACACACACCTGCTCGCACATTCGATTAAGTTTCGCTACGAAGCCTTTGCTCTCGGCGTCGTCCAGCAGAACTTTCAGTCTGCTGTCGGACTCCTGGTTACCTCGCTACGTCGGATCGGACACACAAGAACGACATGCAAAATCATAAGTAACTCGGGCGAGGTAGTGGGAGAATTAAGAGTGCTGGAAGTAGAGTAACTGCAGATGCAAGTGAAAACACATGCCATAGGCAAAACTTGTTAATCAATCGAATTAAGGCGACACGAAAGTAGCATCTGAGAGATCTATTGTTTATGATACGAAAAAAATTTATTATACTTTTGTCAAAAAATGATATTTCGCAAGTTTCGAGAGCTTTATTAGGACCTCCGTAATAATCACGTGCTAAGGTATCAAATTATTCGGTGCACCCAGTGTGGAGAAATGTTTTGTATTTTCATGTTTTGTCGTGTATGGGATGACTCTTTCGTCCCGCCTTAAGGTTTATAGGAAGCAGAAAATTGAAAAAGGTCGAAGGGGGTACCTGATCGATGAGGTCCTCCAGTCGAGCGCGGACTTGGACTTCTCTGGCAGGGATCTGCACTGGCGGGGCGTCCAAAGGACTTCCAGGTCTGGAAACGCACGCTGCAGCGGCTTCACACGCTTCGACCGCAACCGCAAGTCGCGCTTTTTCCGCTTGTAGTTTGTTGTGAAGAGCGCGTGCACTTTCAAGGCCTTGTTCGGCAGCTTCCAGGGTGTCTAGAGGGGCCTCGACCTGCCTGGCGATCTCTGGCTCGTACTCGTCCAGGCTCTTCATGATGCTCTCCAGGGTGTTCTCGTACTCCTGGAACTTGCCGAGGGATTCTGCCAGTCTGCGCTTGATCTGAAGAGCCGTGTCCAGCAGAGAGTTGTAGCTCTCCTGGACGTTTTGCACCTGTGGGATGGGATAAAATTATTTCGTTAAGGTGACGCGAAGCTAGGTTCCAGAATTCTTCATCGAAATCTAATGATTTTCCGTGAAAAATGATACCCCACACACCTGGGTGCGGATGGTGGCCTCGATGGTGGGGTTGACGGCGACGTAGCGTTCGATCTGTCCAGACCCCTTGGCCTTGAGGTCGTCCAGGACGGTTCTGTACTTCTGCACCTCGTCCAGCAGATTCTCGTGCTGCTCGATCTGCTCCAGAGTCTGTTCCTTGTTGGTGATGTACCGAGAATTATGAGCCATCAGCTGGAAGGATACCTGCAGGAGCCACTTCTCCGTCTCCTGCAAGGCAGTGCGGTAGGCGTTGTACTCTTCGACCTCGTCCTCGACGAGTCGTTTCTGAGAGTCCACGTTGTTGCCCAGGTCTTCCCATCTGGCCAGCAGTCGTTTCGTCCCTTCCCGGATGGTGTCGCTCTTCGCCCAGCTGGACAACTCGCAAGCCTCCTTCAGGAGATGGTCCAAGTCCGAGCGCTTCACCCTGACCTCTTCCTGGATATGCTTGTACCGCTCCAGGAGCGTCTTCATCTCCCCCAGTTCGCCTTTACTATCCGGGACTTTCTGAATCGACCTCTCCGTTTCCACCAGCCACCTTTCGAAGCGTTCCCGCGATTCCGAAAAGTCCTCCCATCTAGCTAGGACGGATTTCACCTGGGCCTGGACAGTGGTCAGGTTGATGCTCAGCTGTTCCCAGCTGGACCTCAGAGTGGCCATGTCGGTCCTGAGTTGTTCCTGCTGTTCGGGTAGGGCGGTGTCGATGGCTTTCTCAAAGGCCCTCTGCAACGTCGTCAGCAGGTGTTGACCCTCCGTGATGCGAGTGGCGACCAACTGAAACGTATATTGAAACTTGAAACGTCACATTCTATGAGTGTCCATCAATTGCTACCTCGGTTTCAAATGATAGGTGCACACAGTATGCAGAAAAAATATACAAATATTTTGACTGTCTCGTATATTGATAAGGCACTTCCATTCCTTACCCTAGTCGTTTCCAACTTGTCTTTGGCCCAGGCCACGTCTCCAACGCCGATGCAGTCCTGAACAGACCCATGAGCCGTCCTCAGCCAAGTCTCCAGCTCCTTCTTAGCCTTCAGGAACTCCGTATGGTCGGAAAGATTCTTCTCCACCTTGGACACCAGTCCCTGGCTCTCTGTCAGAAGTTCGGTATACTTGGACTGCAGCTGCACCACCTTGTCCCTGACCCAGCTGCAAGCGCTGATCTCCAGAAGAGCCTCGCACTTGTCGTTCAGCTCCTCCAAACTTGGTTTCCGACCAATCGCCTCTTCCAGCAACATCTTGCAGCGCACCAGGTCGTCGGGAGTTTTGTTGTCCCTCGCCAGCTCGTCGCTGACTTTCTTCTCGAATTTCGCTATCCAGTCGGCTACGGTGCCAAGAGCCTCGTGGAATTGATTCCAGGTGGTTATGCAGCTGGCAAGAGTGCGCTGGGACTCCTGGCATTGAGATTGGACCGATTCCCAGCTGGATCTCAGATGCTTCATGTCTTGCCCGATGGAGTCCCGACCTTCCGTCCCGGTCGTCGGAACGACCGTTTCGCTCAATTCAATGGCTCTCGAGATCAGAGCTTCGCCCTTCGGCAAGGAGGCGGCGATCTTCTCGATTTTCTCTTGCCTCTCCATCACCTTCTCCTTCTCTCCATGGGTGTCTCCATAGCGTTGCAGCTCTGCCTTCGTTTTTCGCAGCCACTCGGTCGCTTCGTTATGTGCCTGCTGCAGCTGCTCGTGCTGCTTCACTTGGTCCTCCAAGCTCTGTGGGGAAAATGATACAGTTCGGTAATTATCGCGTTTTCCCAGGTTTTTCCATGTATGTTACGTAAACTAAATGGTTTACCGTGGAAAATCGACGGAAACCGTACTTACTCCTATCTTCTCGGCGATGACCTCCTTGAAGTGCTCATACTTCGCCAGGGTAGCTTCGTAGGGACCCTTCCTGATGTTCGAGTCTTCTTCCAGCCGGGTCTTCAACCTGTTGACGAATTCCTGGTGGCCTTGGATGTCTCTCTGCAAGGTCTTGTATTTTTCCAGGAGGGCTCGTTTCTCGCTGAGGTCGTCTCTGTACGGTTCCTTTGCTCGGATCTTGCTCTCGACCTCTTCGACCCAGTCGGTGATCAGTCGGTGCATCTTGTTCAGCTCTTCTAGGGCACTGGCTCTTAGAGAAAGTCGCTGTCGAGCTTCTTCAACGTCCAGCATGAGCTTGTCGAAGTCGGCCTTCAAGTTCTCCGTGTCCTCTTGGATCTTCGCCGCTCCGTTTTGCTCGGTGTTCATGATCACCTTTTCCTTCAGCTCCAACGCGTAGCGAAGCTTGTTCTGACCCTGTTCCAAGCTTTGGCGAATGCCTTTGCAGGTGTGCAACTTATTGTTGACCTCGGTCAAGGTATGAGGAATCTCTCGACACTCGGCCACCTTGTCTCGGGTTCGCTCGATCCAGTCTTGGCACTCCTGATAGAGAGTGTTGTGCTGTTGATGCTCCTGGAATTTTTTTAAACGGTGAGAACAATTTAAGGGAACACAAAAAATGCCGTCAAAGGGGTCACGTTCTCCTCCCAAGTATTACCTGATAATGCAGTTCCAGCCTTCGCATGATCTCCTTAGCGAGTGATAGCAGTGCATTGTATTTTGTTGTCAGTTGCGTGATAGCATTGGATATCCTCGTGTCGGCACACGTCTCCAGCAACATTTGAGCCTTCATGTTCAACCGGTCCAACTCTTTCTGCCAATCGAACAAGGTTTGCAGGTGGACCTGGAACTGTTCCAGGACGTTCTTCTTCTCTTCCAAGCTATCTTGTAATTTATTAAAGGTCTGGACGAGATTTTCCGTCTGGGTGAGCCACTCAGCCGCCTCGGAGAACTGATCCTCATATTCCGTCCATTTGACTATTCCGACCTCCAACAAGCCCTTCGTGTTGTTCAAAGACTCCCTGGAAAATAAAGGAAACGAATTAACCTCTTTTCGACATAGTTCTTTCATTAATTCTTTCGTCCCCACTTACACGTAATTGTCGTACTCTTCCTGAAGAAGGGCGACCTCCTCCTCGATGATCTCCTTGTCCTCGTCATCGGCGATGCCACAGGCGGCATTTCCTCTTTCCAGGGCCTTCTCCAATTTCTTCTGGCCCTCGGGAAGTTCGCTCTGCAGGACCTTCAGCTGGGTGATCTTGCTGGCCAGCGATTCCTTGTCCCCAGTCGGTTCGGAACACTTTCCTAGCCGCTCTTTAGCGGCTCTGATCCACTGGACGAATTCATTCCCGCTGTCTATGAACGCCTGATGCTGCTCGACGGTTTCCTTCTGCTTGGCGTACAACTCCTGCGCCTGTTTGCTGAGAGTCTCGTACTTTATGGAGATTTCCGTAGCCGGGGTGGCCTGTCGCAGGTCCTCAGCCTTCGTAGTGACCGACTGGATCATGGGCTCGAAGGCCACGATGTCCTGCACGATGCTGTTCGTCTGCCTCAGGGTCGCTTTTCGTTCCCCGATGGCGAGGGAACCCAGCCCAGCGAGTCCTTTCCTAGCTTTGGAGACCTTCTGCTCGCAGACTTGCTGCAACTTGGCCTCGCGATCGTTGATCCATTGCTGAAGCTGGGAGTAGGAGGAACTATAGTCTGCCCATTGGAGGAGACTGGTCTCCAGGTGGACCTTGGTCGTGGAGATCTTCTTCACAAGGCGCTCCCAGTCGTTCTGGATCTCCTTCAGCTGGGCGTTGATCTCTTCCCGTCCGTCAGATCGCGTGTTCCTCATCACCTTTTCCCCGCAGTTGACCGTCAGGTGAACGAGGTTCTGGCCTTCCTCTCGTCTCCTCAGGAGTTCCTGGATCTGCTCGAGTCTGTCGTGCAGTTCCTCTCTGCTGCTGGTGGACGCAGCCTCGGTACCTTGTCGAATGGTCTGTTTGGCATTTTCTATCCAGGTCCGAGTCTTGCCAAGATTATTCTCGTATTCCCTATGTTGATTGAGATTTGTCTCCACCTTGCTGAGGACGTCTTTCGCCAGGTTCACCTGGACCTGGTACCGGGAGTTCAGATGGCGCAGCTGATTGTTGACGTAGGTGTCCAGATGCGAGGAGAGCAGTCCGGTAGCGGTTTTGTTGAACCTGTCGATCTGCTCCTGACCCTTGACCAGGTTCTCCAGGATCTCCTTGACCTCCTGCAGCTGCTTCTCCTTCTCCTTGACGTTGGGCAGAAGGGCGTTCTTCTGGGCCTTGATGAGGATGTCGAATTGCTGCAGCCAATCGCTCAGCCGCTCGTACTCGTCCTTGTAGTCCCGCCATTGACCCACCGTGGCCTCCAGCTGGTCCTTCTGGTGCTTGATATCTGGAAAAGGAACGACGTTCAAGACCCTCTACGACCGAACATCGGTCGCGAACTCACCTTTGAACAGATTCTCGAAGCTCTCCGAGAGGGCCCGGACCTCGTTCCTGATGTTCTCCTGACCCTGAGGACTGGTGCTCGCGCACACCACCTGACCCGTTCGCTGGAGTTGCTCGACGAGAAGTTCCCCTTGAGCCTTCTTGTTCAACAGATTGTCCAGAGGCACCACGGCGTTCTCGATGGCCAGCTTGTCGCTGAGGGATCTCTGCTTCATGGATGGGACCTTCTCTCTGGCTCTGCCCAGCCAGCCGATCAGCTCGTCATGGGCGTCTTTGTAAAGCCGGTGGTTCTTGTACTGCTGCTCCCTCTCGGTCAGCAAGGACTTGATCTTCTCGAACAACGCGTCGAATTTGTTCAGGATGTCCTGGGCCTGAGACGCCGCTAGACCTTGTTGGCCACTGGCGGCCATCTCGGCGACCTTCGCCTTCAAACTGTCCACCTCGATGTTCTCGCAGCGCACCTTCTCCTCCAGGGCCTTTATCCTCTCCAGCTGGGAGCGCTTCTCGGACATGGTGGTCTGGAACTGAGAGATGTCGTCCACGGAAGTCTGCATGTACTCCACCGTCTTGTTGACCGACTGGACCTGCTCCAGCAGCCCAGCCCACTTGTTGATGGAGTCGTCCAGGTTGGTCTTGGTCTCCAGCATCTTCGAGGCCAGGGCGCTCCAGCGTTCCTGGAGCTCGGTCAAGGCGTCGTTGATGGCTTTGTGTCCAGAAGGGGCAGTGTTCGCTAGCACCGTCTGAGCCAGCTCGACGATACCCTGCACCTTGGCAAACCCGTTATCCTTGTAGAGCAGCAGGTCCTGGACGATCTCCATCTTGCTCTCCAGGTCCTTCTGCGAGGAGGCGCTCAGGTCGGAACAGTATGCCAATTTATTCCTGACCTCTTCCAGCCACCTGGTGCATTCCGATAATTGACTATCGAACTCTTGATGACTCGTGACGTAGTGCTGCCAGCGGGTGTTGAGGTCCTTCACCTTGGTGGAGATCTGCTGATACTTTATGCCCAGCTCGGAGACGTGGCAGGTCCTGGAGGTGAGGTTCTTGTGCAATTGTTGGGCGCGTTCCGTCACGGCGTCGATTTCCAGCTCCTTGGCGCGCACCTCGCCCTGGAGAGCTCTTAGCTTCTCCAGCTGGTCCTTCTTCTCCCCGAGGGTGGGCTTCAGGTCCACGGCGTGCAACTTGGTGTCGGTGGTCCTGATCCAGGCTAGACAACGCTCCTTCAGGGACTCGAACTCGTTCCATTGTTGGAGCTTGTTCTCCAGGGCTTCTATGGTGGTCTTGACTGCCGATACGAGACCTTCCCATTCCTGCTGGGAAGAGTCCATCTGCGAACGGATGTTCACCTGCCCAGACTCCAGGGTACCCGGGAGCACCTTTTCCCCTAGGATTCGAATCTGCTGCACGCGTGGCTCGTCGTCTGGAAGACTTTGAAGTAGATTCTGCAATCGGTCCAGATTTGTGTGAAGAGATACCCGCTCTAGCTCGACGTCTCCCCAGAGATCAACGGCATTGTGGGTGGCGTCCAACCATTCGTGGGTGTCCAGGACAGCTTTACTATACTGCTGGTGGTCGCTGACGATGGCCTCGTACCTAGGGACAAACCGATACCAATAAATAAATTTACCAAAGGATTAATACGTTCAGGTATTCATTTTTACTCGTACCTTTCCAGAAAGCCTCCGGCTCTCTTCAAGATGGCGGTATGTCTTCTGGCCAAGTCACCGAGGACCTTGTCGATTTTTTCCGTACGATCGGGCAGGCTGTCCGCCCTATCCCGAAGGTCGAAGAGGTCCTGCTGATGCGATTGGGCATCGTGCAGGAAGGTCCTGTAGATTTGCAACTGGGCTCTTTTCTCATCAAGCGTCGTCTTCAGCTCGATCTCAGATTGGAGCTGCCGTTCCGCTTCTTGCAGCCATTTCTGGAAAGCCTCGTTGCTCTCGTCGAAACCCGACCACCTTGAGATCTTGGCTTGAATCCCTCGCTCGGTGGATGCGATACCATCGTATAAACTTTCCAAGGCTTTTTGGAGGTCCTGCAGCTGCTGGCGAATTATCTCTCGTCCTTCCGTTCCTGTGCTGGGGTACAACCTCTCACCGGAGTCCACCGTTCCGTTCACCAGGAGAGTTGCCGAGGGCTGCTGGCCGAGCAGCTCCTTCAGGGTGTCCAGTTTTGAGACGAGCTCCTGACGAGTCCCTGAAACTCCATCTCGGCAGGACTGGTATCGAGTTTGGGCAGATGTCAACCACTCCGAACACTGTTTGTAGCGTTCCAAATATGCGGCATGATCAGCGGTCGCCTGTTCGCACTTCTTCACCAGCTCCTTAGAAATTTAGAATGACTTACAGTAAACGTTCCTTTCATTTTTTCTTAATCTCCTGAATGGGCGGATGTTCTCTTACCTTGGCAGTGGCTTGGATAGACTGGAACCTAGATGTAACTTGCTGGACACTTGCAGAGAATCTGGTCTCCCCGCTGATCTGAATGAGTTCCGAAGAGTCGTCGCTCATCTTGTCGAACTCTGCCTCATTCTGCCTCAGATTCACGATCAGAGACTGCGGGAAAATGGTGAATATCTTGAGAAAAATTCCTTCAAATCGTGTAGGCGGTTTAACCGTCTAGAAGGAAGCAATTCTTTCTTAAGGTTAATGTCAACCGTATGTTATGAAGTTGGACACGCTTCGATATCGAAAGAGCAAACAAGAGACGTCGGACCATCAGAAGTGGAAGTCGAAGCTGATCGAAATCTGTCTAGAAAGGATCGCGAGTGGGACTTCGATCTCCCCAGAGATTCTTAAAGTCGATAGGAATTAAGTTGAAATTAAATACCGAATTCGACCCGCGTGAATGCGGTTAGAATTAATCTCTGCCAATGCTTTGTAAAGGATAGATGAGAAGGAAAAGAGAAAGAAGTGCTTCAGGCCCATCTCAGCGCATGTCTCCATGGAAAAATGTCGGAAGCCCCATGAACGGTCTCGACAAAAGCTCGGAAAGCTTCGCATCGCCAGAGAAGCTCATTCCAATTTGCATGGTGTTGCATAGTCTTGGAAAAAAAAATCGAAACAATGTTGGTAACATTATTACATTAGGAATAATACTATATAATATCCCCCTTTAGGGTCCGAGTCGAAATCAGGACTTCGACGTTATCGAGCTTACGAGAAGTCTATGCAACGCCATGGCTCCTCGGAAGCACAATGCAATGAACGATCGCCAAGCCGATGTCATCTAGTGAAGTCAAAGTGCAAAACTTCATTCCAGCATCCCGTTAATGACTTTGCCCCTTGGTCTCGGAATTTAGCCGAGGTAGCTAGAAATATGATGCACGTTCTCCCGATCTCAGAGTTCTCTTACTTGGTCGAGGTGGTCACCAAGCGCCACCAGCTCCGTGACATCCGAGTTCCGAGATTCCGTTACCTTTTGCAGTTCCTAGGGAATTTCATGAGATAGAGTTCGCAGCGTTCCCTCGAGTACCTCGAAGACTCGGCTGGGGCTACGAAACCGCGTCGATACGATCTACGACCCTTTTCTAACGCTACTCTACCCATATCTAATGTCTCAAGATGAACGAAGTTGGAGCTGGACCAAAGGTTCCTCACCTGGTATCTCTCCAGCTGTTCCCGTTTCTCCTCTATGGTGTTCTTCAAGGAGTAGTTCTTCAAGGATGTCTCGGCGTCCGCCAACCATGCCAGGAGGCGTTCCAAGGAACTCTCGTATTCGGTCCATTGTTGGATGCGATCCTCGATGGATCTGACCACGTCGTTCACGGCGGTGGCGAACTTCTTGTTCTCGAACCTGAAGATGGAAATTAATACCGGATTCCCTCCCGTCGCTGTTCAATTGAAAACTAGGACTTACTTTAGATCCGCCAGGTCCCTCTCCATCGATTCTTGAGACCTTGGCGAGAGGTTCCTCGCACTTTGGGCAACGTGTTCGCTGAGGACGTTAAGTTTCACCTCGCCCTCGCTGAGGCCATCTTGAATTTCAACGAGCTTTGCCAGCCTGGCCTGCAGAGCAGTCTTGTTGCCCGAATAGTCGTTATAGTTCGAGAGCTTCTCCCACTGGTGCTTCTGGTAGTCCTGGTAGGCCTTCTGGAGGTCTTGGAACTGTTGGAAGATGTCTAGGAGAGCTTCCAGACTGCCGATTCCTTTCTGAGAGGCGTCGACCAGCTCCTCGTACCTCTTGGATACAGAGCTGACTTTTTCCTGGATCCCGGAGGGTGCTTGAGTGCCCTGCACCAAGCCGCTCGCTTTTTCCGAGATCCCTTCGATGATTCGTTTGTGTGCCAAAATCTCCTGATGCATCGTCTGGAAATATCAACGAATTATTAAAATCCTTCTTAAGGGAACAAGCCGGGCCTTTACGAATGCCGAACGATCGTTTATTTCCTTACCTTGCTCTTCAACAATTTAGACCTAATCTCCTGCACGGACGGCCACACCGTGGAAGAGTCTTGCTTCACGGAGCGCTCCATGGTGTCGAGCCAGGCAAGGATCTGCTGCAACGTCTCGCGGTAGCTGGACCATCTCAAGGACTGGGCGTCCTGTTTTTTCTGCTGCTCCAGGATGCCCTCGGCCAGGTTGTCCCACCTCTCTCGGGCATGTCTCAATTCCTGACGAATGACCTCGCGACCCTGAGCAGACGTGTCCGGGAGGATCCTGTCCCCAGCTGCCGTGAGACTAGCCAAACGGTGCTCTGCCTGCTCTCGCTCGGCCAGCAGGGTCTGTAACCTGGTTCCTCTGGCTTCCAGGTTCCCACCGACTTCCTCCGTCTTCAGGGCAGCTAAATTCTGCTCCAGAGGTGTCAACCAGGCATCGACTGCTCGGGATTTCTCCTCGTAGGCTCGGTGGTCGTCGACGATGCTCTGGCAGCGATGGATCACCTCCTTGCTCAGGGCATGCAGCAGCTGGTACCTGAAGAGCAACATGAAATTCGTCATTCTGCCCTGAGAAAAGAATTTCATCGACCCAAGGAAATATTTCCTTGAACAGTTCATTCCAAGAGTACACAAATAAACTCGAATTAATTGGGTTGGGGTCAGGGGTTGAAATTATATCCACCTGTTGCTGATTTGAGATATCAGGGGCTTGATGCGTTCCACCCCACTCGAGTTGAGCAATCCGTGAGACTTGTCGACGAATTCGTCTATCTCGCGCTCCTTTTTGATGATGCTCTCACGTTTCTCCTTAAACATCCTTAGCCTGGCTTCCTTCTCCTCCAGGGTGGACTGAAGTTGCTGGTCCCGGAAGGTGGCCTCCATCGTGCGGAACCATTTCGTATGAGATTCCAGCTGGTCCTCGAACTCCTGCCATTTTTTCAGCGCCGCCTTCTGCTTGGTTTCCACAGATTCTGAAACGAATTAAAGTTTTTCGAAAATTCCCTTCTCTCGAAAATGACGTCCTACGCGCGACGTTCTCCATGTTCTCCAGTGGTAGGTCGCCTAAATGCGTGGGAATGATTTTTAAGCGCCACTATAGTGCGTTTATCAGGCATAAGCAATTCTAATGGCGTTTCATAAAAAACGTTGGTCAGGCATAAACTACTATAATGATTCTTAAAAAAAAACGATTAGTTAGGAGTAAGCTACGGCAAAAAAAAACGTCGACTAGGCGGAAGCAACTATACTGGCGCTTTATAAAAAAAGATCGTCGGTCAGGCACAAGCTACTACAGTGATGCCTCGTAACTAAAAGGTTATCTCGCGAGGGTGGGCATCGTCCGGGAAGCAGATCCCCCCGGAAGTCAGAATCTGCAGCGTCTCCTCGTCGGCGTCCTTAATTCGATCCCCGAATTCGTTCCACCTCCCTGAAGACGATCTCGCGTCGTCGACGCTCAACTCACCGATCTCGCCGAGGTGCTGGCGAAGGCTAGCCTCGAGGGTGGCGATTTCGCGAGCGATCGCGTCCTGGCCCTTCGGCGCGGTGCTTTTGGCGACTTCCGCCGCCAGCTCTTTCAATTTCGAGAGGGACTCAGCCCCCTGGGCCCGGGCGTCCCCCAGAAGGCCCAAGGTGGCCAGCCTCCTGGAGATCTCCGACCTCTCCCCGGCGACGTCGTTGCAGTCGGCCAGCTTGTCGCGTTCCGTCCCCAGCCAATCTACGAAGCACTTGCAACGCAGATTGAACTCGTTGTGCTTCTCGACGCAGCTCTCCAGGTTGTCCAGGAGGTCCTGCGACTTGGCCACGATGTTGAGGAAGAGTTGCTTGATGGACTGCAGGTACACGTTCAGTGAGGTGTCCTTGGTCTGGTCCACCAGCTGCTGCGCCTTGTCGCAGACGGCCTCCACCAGCGCCCTGTGGGACGTGATCTCCTGGTGCATGATCTTGTGGTTCTGCAGCTGCGCCCTCTTCTCCTCGAGCGACGACTTCAGCTCGGTGTGCTGGTGCATCGCCCGCTCCACGTCGCGCAACCAGGCCGTCAGCTGTTCCTGGGACAGGGAGAACTCGGCAAACTGCGTCAGACACTGGTCCAGCTTCTGGGTGGCTGTCTGCAGGTCCTCGGAGAACGCGTCCCAGGCCGTTCTCAGATTCCTGAGGAGCTGCCGCACGATCTCGCGACCCTCCGGCGAGGTGTGGGCGTAGAGCTTCTCCCCCAGGTCGATCACCGCCTCGAAACGGACGTTTTCCTTCGTTCTCGCGTTACCCAGGTCGCGGATCGTCTTCTGTCTGCTCTGCAGCACCGCCAGGTCGCCGACGATCTCGCTGTGGGTGTTCAGCTCCGCGGCTACGTCCGTGATCCACTTCAGCAACTCGTTGTACCTCTCGTTGAAGGTCGCGTGTTCCTTGACGAACTGTTCATACCTGGCCACGGCTTCCTTGGCTTGGTTCCTGATGGCCTGGTACTTCGTGGCCTGTCGAGAGACCCTGGTCGCTAGGTCGGACTCCGCCTCGGAGCTCTGGCTCATCCTGATGGCGTCGTTGAACGTAGAGTTCTTGGCGGAGATCTCCTTCTCCAGATTCTTCAGCTTCTGCAGGTGCTCCCTCTTCGCCGCCTCGGTGCTCTTCAGACTCTGGTCCTTCACGCTCGACTCCATCCGCTTCGTCCAGGTTTCCAAGGACTCCACCAGCTTCTCGAATTCGGTCCACTGATCGAAGAGGCGGTCCAGCTTCTCCTTCGCTTCCTGGCACGTCTTCAGGAACTCCTCCCACACCCTCTTTTGCTCCTCGTAGCCCTTCAGCAACGCTGGGTGCCCAGGAAGCGAGGTCTGCTCCAGGATGATGTTCAGCTGCCCGTTGCAGTCTTCCAGGATCCTCTCCGCCTCTTCCTTCTGCTGAAGGATGTTCTCTATCAGGCCCACCTTGCTCTTGATGGTCTCCCTGTCGAAGGCCAGGTCTTCTATCACTGGAGCAGCCTCGTTGGCAATCGTGCCGATCCAGTCGCGAGTCTTCTCCAGGGTCTGCAGGTACGCTTCATGGTTGGCCACGTGCTTCTCCGCCACGCTGATTCTGCCTTCCACGTCCTGGGACAGCTTGTCGTAGGCCTCGATCACGCTGGTCAGCATCTCCGTAGCTTCGTCATCGGGAACCGTGCCAAGGCGATCCTGAAGTTGGCGAAGCACGTTCCTGTGGACGCCGACGTCCTGAGCGATGGCGCGGTAGGACCTCAACGCCAGCTTCTTCTCCTGCAGGGTCGGCAGCAGATCCTGTTTGTCTCCTAGCTTGGTCCTGGCGTCGATGACCCATTGTCTCACCTGGGTGTACTTGTCCTCGAAGGACGACCTGTGCATCATGTCGCTCTCTATCTTCTTGTAGATGGCGTTGGCTCTGTCAGCGAGGGCGTCCACCCGCCCTCGCAGGTTCCTCATCTCCGTCCTGATGGTCTCCCGGTTTTCCGGAGTGACTCGGACGTAAAGGGCTTCCCCGATCTCCGCAGTCTTATTCAAAAGTGCCTGGCCCTTTTCTCGATCGTCCCCGAAGGCCTTCAATTGCTTCAGACGAGACTGGTAGAAGCTGATGGGCTTGGGACCGCTGGCCTCGTCGAAGGCCTTCAGCTTCCCCTCGGCACCCTCCAGCCACTCTTCGACGTCCTTTTTACTGGACGCGTATCTGTCCCTTCCTTCTCGCAGCTTTTCCAACCGCTCTAAGTACGTGGACAAGAACTTCAGGACGGCAGAGTAGTGCGACTCCAGGTTCCCCACGTCCTGGACCACCCGGGACTCGGGACTAGCCTTGGCGATGTCCTCTCCCAGAGCACCGAGGTCCTTGAACTTGGTTTCATATCCCTTGGCGGTCTTCTGCAGCTGCAGGATCTCCGTCGCTTTGTTCTCGATGTCCTCCAGGTTCAGCAACGCGGAGTTCTCGGCACGGATCTTGTTCTCCATGTCCTTCAGCCAGGACATCAGGCTCTCGGAGGTGAGCTCGTAGCGTTTCCAGAGAGTTATGTTGCGTTCCAGCTGGGACTTGATTTTGGCGTAGCTGATCTTCAGGGTTTCCAAGTCGGAGGCGACCTTGTCGCGATCAGCTCTCAAGCTGGTGGTAGTTTCAGCTGCCTCGATCGTCTCCAACTGCTTCAGGGCGTCATCAGTGTCCGCCTTCTTCAGCTCGCAATCCTTGATCCCGGTCTCCACATCGGCAAGGGATGCCATTTTCACCTCCAGGTTGTAGCAGTCGCTGCTCTGCTCCGGTTCGCACCAGGCCACCTTGTCCGTAAGGGTACCTACCGTCCTCTGGAAACCTCGGAACTTCTCCTGGTAGAGCTTCGTCAGGAACGCCACCAAGGTGGCACTGACCTTCTCGGCGTGTCCAGCTACTCCGTCTCTTCTAAGCCGAAGTGCCTGCAGCTCCTTCGGCAAGCTGGACCTGGACGTGGCAGGATACTCCGAGGACATCTCCGCCAGCTTCTCTTCAAGGTCGCCGAGCTCCCGGTCGCACCTCTCCAGCTCGCTCTTCAGCTCTCGACACCGGTTGATCCTGCTCAGGATCTTCGAGTTGTCCCCGGTCAAGTCGTCGCACCTGACGATGTCCTCTCGGATCTTCGAGATGTGGTCGCCGCACTTCTTCAGCTCCTGGCGAACGGCTTTGTCCTTCCTGTTGAAGCCGGAGGTGAGCGATTCCAGTTTCTCCGCGGAATCGTTCACCACCTTGAACTGGTCATCGAGCAGATCGTTCAGAGACTTGAGAGTGGGAATGTCGGCATTGTCATTCAGCTCCACCAGCTGCCTAGTCTTCGAGGCTATCCCTTCCCGAAGTAGCTGATGAGCCGGCAGCTCTTCGTGGTACTTCGTCAACCTGGCTTGACCGTTTTCGGCATCGGATAGACGCTCGCATGCCGCCGAGAGGGCTTCGTTCGTGTCGCTCAGCCACCTGGTGAGCTCGTACTTGGTGTCGTCTATCTGCTTCCAAACGATTACCTGCGTCTCGTAGACTCTGGTCCCCTCGAGGACGTTCGAGCACGCGTCCTGGTACCTCTGACGTGCCCTGGCGAGGTCTTCCTCGATGGACACGGACTTAAAGTTAGGCATCAAGGAAGCCTCCTTGATCAGCTGCTGCGCCTTCGCGTCCATCTTCTCCAAGTACTGCTTCCCCTTCTTCAGGGTCTCTCCTGCCCTCTTAGACTTGTCCAGGATGACGTTCGCCTGGGTCGCGTCGTTGGGTACTTCTCTTTGCGTTTGGCACAAGCTGTTGGACTCTTCGACGAACTTGATCAGCTTCTCCCTCGCCTCCTGGTACTGCTTCCAGTTGGAGTCCATCTCCGCGTACTTTTTCCTCTGTTCCTGGATCATCTCGTTGACCTTCTCCCAGTTTCCGTCCACGGAAGAGAGGACGACCTGGATGTTGGTGACGGATCTCTGGTCCTCCTTCATCAGCGCGCTACCTTCTCTGTGTAAGGTGTCTTTCTCAGGCTCCCTTCTCTGGTGGTCTTCCAGGAGATCGTCCAACTTCTCAATAGCTGGTGCCAACTGCGAACAAGTATCCACGCTGCAGGTGACCTCCTGAAGTCGAGTTTGCGTTCCGATGATCTCTTCCGTGATCGTGGAGTGCAGCTTCCTGAAATGGTCCCAGCGAGCTCCCAGGCTCTCCAGCTTGTCCTTCTGGCTGGAGAACTCTGCTCTCAGCTGGGTGGCCTTGGTCTCCAACTCGTTAACCAAAGCCGAAGCGGTCAGTGGTCTGCCAGCCTTGTCGCGCACGTGGACGTCCAAAGTCCCATCCACCAGGGGGATCTGCTCCTTCCAGGAGTTGATCCTGGTGCAGACGGTGTCCAGCTCGCTGGAGAGCTTCCCCAGATCAGCGACAGTTGGCTTGCGGGCTTCCGACTGGTACTTGCTGTGACCCAGCTGGGCACCAGTCTCGTTATGCCAGCTGAGCAACTCGGCCCACTTCTCCAGGCCTTTTTTCTTCTCCCTCAGGTCGTCCTCCAGCGACTTGTACTTCCTGGCCAGAGAGGAATAGATCTCGTCCAGGGCTGCGGCCTCCTGGGGGGAACCCGAAGCCGACAATTGCTTCACCTCCCCGTAAATCGCGGTGAAGGTCGGCTGCTTTTCGGAGTGCTCCTGAAGGTACGCGTGCACAGCTTGGAGGTTGGCGTCCACGTCGTCGACCCCAACTTCCCCGATCTCGGCCACGTTGGCCTTGAGTCCGGCCATCCAGTTCTCGAAGTCGTTGATCTTCATCTGGAATTCTTGTCTAGCCAGGAGGGCATCGGCCACGCGGTTGATGTGTTGTCTCACCACGTCCGCTAGCTTGCCGACCCGGGTCTTCATCTCTGCGACTCGACCCTTCAGACTCGATGCTCCTTCCAGGGCCAAACCGTGGCTCACCTGGTCGGACACCTGAGTCAGGGTGATGAGCTGCGCCTGGCGATCGGAGATCTCTTTGTTGAAGTCCTTCAATTGGGCCAGCTCCCTTTCCAGCTTCGCCGTCTCTGGAGTCTGGACGTTCGGCTCTTTCAAGGACGTTTTCTCGCTGGTGGCCAACCAGGTGCTGAACTCCGCCGCATCCTTCTCGAAGCCGTTCCAGGTGTACACCAGCTTCTCCAGTTTCGTCGTCGTTTGCGTCGCCACGTCGTGGATCGCGTTCCAACGGGTGTGGACCACGTCCACCTCGTCCGCTGCCGCGGTTCTCCCCTCGATTCGATGACTGACTGTCGATAATTCCTGCACCCGGGGGAGATGCTCCTCGCACTGTCTCTCAAATGCTCTGGCTGTTTCCAGCAGTTCGATTGCCTGAGGTAGGGTTGAGGGTTTGGAACCTAGGGATGCAGCCTTCGACTCGGCTTGCTCGATCCAGGGCTTCAGCTTTTGTATACCTGCGTTGTATTCCTTCCACGTCGCTAAGTTTCGGCTTGCCCGATCGCGCTGAGTGTCGACGTTTTGGTTAAGTGCCTCCACTTCCTTTTGCAGCTCCCTGATCGTCTCGCGCAGCTGCCTCGACTCCACGTGGCCTTCGTCTGAAAATTCAAGAAATCCGTCAACATTGCTGCCGTGAAACCGTGGAGATGTTCGTTAAAAGTCTTCTGGCGGCGCCGAGTCATTTAAGGTGATACGAAAGGGTTATTCATAGATACGTATAAAATGTAAAAATAATTTTAAACTTTCCTCCGAACGATTCAACGTATACTATTCGGAGAAAGGTTTAACGAGCGATTGACTCTTCGGATGCCACTTTCACATCCCCTTAAGGATTCTATTCACCTTTCACGAGACTGCGAGACTCCTCTTCGATTATTCTCAGCACGGTGGTCTTCTCGTGTATCTCCTTCTGCAAAAGCTCCGTCCTACGGACCCTCTCTTCGGGGGAGGTCGAAGAGTCCTGAATGTCGGAGATCGTCCTCGGGGCACTCTGCTTGGCCCAGTGTCGAAGGTCCTCCATCTTGGACTGGAAATCGGAGCACCTGCAGCTGTACTCCCGAAGATGCACCACGCGTTCGTTCACCGTCTCCATCGTATAATGGAGTTTCTTCTCAGTTTCAATGACCTCCCTTTCCAGGATGGTCCTCCTCTCCGGGGTGGTCACCTGCGACAAGCTGCCGTGGATGTCGCGCAGCTTCTTCGTCATCTGCTCGGCGGCTTTCTTCAGGGACTCCCCGAGTTCTTGCTTGCCTCTTAGGTCTTCGGCGATCCTGGCCACGTTGCAGTATCCTGCCTCCGCTCTTCTCAGCTCGTCGTCGGCTTCCTCGACCAGTCTCAGGATCTCCTCCTTCTGCTGCTGGTAGCTGGTCCACAGCTTCTGGGACTGCTTCAGGGTCTTCAGCACTTCGATGCTCTGGCCGTAAGTCTCGTTCCAGTTGGTCTCCAGCTGCTGGACCTCGCTGGACACGAATGTCGGCGCGTGTTGGTCTCTCAGCAGATCTTTTCCACGTTGCAGCATGCTGACGATGTTGGCTCGCTGCTGTTCCAGCTGACCTAGACGACTTTCCTGGTGATCCACTGCATGCTGAAGCTGCTCGGCACTCTCTGACGGCACTTCCGCCGATGACTGCTCTCGCACTCTGCGCAGAAGGGTGCACACCTCGCGCACCTCCTTCCTGTAAGTGTAGCTCTTAGAGTAGATGTCGGTCTTCGTCATCGTGATCTCGATGGTGGGTATCAGGTTCTTGTAGCGAGTTATTAGCTGCTCCATCTGGTATTGCTCGCTCGTCGCTTCATGGTCGGATCTGTTGGACGTTAGGCTGTCCAGAGTCTGCACCAACCACTTCATGTCCTCGCGTTTGCCGTCAGCTTCGCGGCAGATTTTCTGCGGAATAAGGAACCAACTTTTTTTTTAAGGTGACATAAAAAATGTCTATACTTTCATGACGCCTTAATTTAATAAAAATAAATACGAAGATAACCACGGTCTTGGATATTTACCGTGAGCGTTTGAAGCTATCCCAGGTTGCAAGAACATACATGTATGGTTTAACCGAGGTCACGAAATGCCCATGCAGACGTGTTAGGGTAAAATCGAAGGAGCTGGTCAAAGTACCTGAAAGATTGCCTTCTCCTTTTCGAACTCCTCCAAGGTGTGGACCTCCTTCAAGATCGACCTCAGGGTGTCGTCGACGTGGTCCATCCACCGCACCATGTCGTCGAACCTGAAGAAAAATCGGACAGATAAGTAAAGTATCTATCTTTGAGAACACAACGAACGTCGCACCTTTGTCTATAAGCTGCCCATTGTTCGGGCACTCTCCGTAATTGTTCTCTGAGATGTTCGACACGCTGAGCAGAGTCTTCCCATTGACGTTCCGCTCGATCAGCAGCCTCTTCAAGGCTGGAGTCGTTCGGCTTCAGCTGGCCGTAAGCCGTGGTAATTTTCTTCAAGGTCTGAAGGCATCGTTCCACCTCGAGTACCACCCCTCGGTTGACGAAGAAGTCCTTGTTGCGCCTCAGAATGCTGTCGACGTCGTCGTTCTTGATCAGCGCCTGTTGCTCGGAGTTGATCTCCACCTCGATCTCCTTCAAGTAGTGATAAAACGTGGCCTCGTCCAGCCTGAATTCGAGTCTCATCAGATGCAAAGGAGCAAAGGAGAGGACCTCCTTCCACCTCTTCTGGAGGACATCCACAGCCTCGGTAATAGGTGGTTGCTGTTCCACAGGCAATGCGTTCTTCAGATCATGTCCAGCGTTGACGAGATCCTGGATCCACTTCTCGTTGACCTTGCCGAAGAAGTTCTTGTGAAACTCGACGGACTGTCTATTGTCGATGCGTTTGTCGTTTACGAGTGCCTCGGCAGTGGTTAGCCACTCCGAGATCTGCCTTTCGCATTCCCTGAATTTCGTCCAGCACCGCACGGCTTCCTGAAGACGTTGCTCCCAGACCTGAGTGGACTGGGCCACGTGAGCAAAGCGATCGTTCAATTCCCTCAGGGTGGCTCCACCCTCTGCAGAGTCGACATTGGCATGCCCATCGACGGACTTGACCATGCTGGCGAATGCTTTGTTCTTGGACTCCAACATGGACTTGTAGTACAGGGTTCTAGAAAAGAAGGCCTTGTGTCGGTCCAACTGCGCCAGGGCGAAGTCCCTGCCGCCCGACAGGTCGATGGAGGACAACAGGTGTTCGGCCTCGTCGAGCCAGGTGGAGATCTCCTTCTGGCCAGCTTCCAGCGACTCCTGCTGCACCAACAGCTGGTGGTACAGGTGCAGCTGCATCGGGATCAGGGCACGGACGCGGACCAGCGTTTCCTTCTCCTTCTTCAGAGTGTTCATCATCTTGTCCACCTCCTCTCGCGAGAGGTCCTGGATCAGCGACTGGAACTTCTTGCTGATGTTCTTGAAGAGCTCCTCGATGCCCTCGACCTCGTTGTGCAGGGTCTTCAGCTGCTCGCCGTAGGCCTTGATCCTCTCGGTCGAGGTCAGCTTGGTGGTCGACAGGGTGGTCTCGGCGTTCCTCAGCCAGGTTTGCAGAGTCTCCACCCCTGCGCGATAGTCCTTGCGATTCCTCAGCAAGTCACCCGCGTGCATGTACTGTTTCGCCTCGGGGAAGAGGCGCTCCCATCTCGAGGTTAGCTCCATGAATTTGTCCTTGAGACGCAGGGCGACTCGATCCTCGGACGTGGCTATCAGGAAGCTGACCGTGTCCGATAGTTGTTGGTATTTGTCCTTCCACACGCTGATGTCCTGGAAGAACTCCATCTTTTCTTCCTCCTGGAAGCTCAGGGCTGGCTCGGCTCGGGAGAGCCAGTGCTCGAATTCTTCCGACACCGTCGTCCACCTTCTCCAGTAGGCCACCACCTCTTCCAGGATACTTTGGACGCATCTCAGGTCCATCGATACGCTCTTCCACTTTTCTGCACTCTCTCGCATAAATCGATCCACGGTCAGTTTTTCTTCGCGATCTGAAAAATCGAAAGTGGTAGTTTACATTTTCTTGGCTGTTGCTAATGAAGTCCTTTCGCTAACAGGAAAGGTGTCTTTTTTTTTTCCTGCACCTACCGATATCCCCGACGTGTTTGTACTCCTCGACCACCTGTTGCATGTCTAAGTAGGCCTTCTGGAACTCGTGGAAGATCCTGTTCCTGGAGACGAAGTTCTTGTACTGTTCCAGCATCTGGTGGACCTCGTTCTCGACGCCATATTTGACGCTCCAGCTCTTGAGTTTGCTCTCCACGAGGACGAGGAAGGCGACGAGGCAGCATTTGTGCTCCAGGAACTTGAGCTTGATCCTACGCTTGGAAGCCTGCGACGGCAGGCTCGCCAACCTCGACGCGATGTTCTCCAGCTGTTCCGGAGGAACTTGTTGGGCGAACATGGAGCTCCTTGCTCGGTGAAACTTGTCGGTGATCGGCGTGTGTTCTAAAAAGAATTTCTTGTGCTCCTCCAGCTTGGACGAGATGATTCCGGCGGTTTCCTCGCTCATGTCCACGGGGATGTCGTCGTCGGACCTGAGGAGACCTTCCGCTCGAGCGAGCCATCTTCCCACCTCTCCCAGTTCCCCAGGTAACGAGGAGTCCAGGAGCCAGAGCCAACGCAGCATCTAACAAAATAAATAAATTCAATAATAAATTCCGGCTTCCATCCACGATTACGCGTCGAAAAAAAAAAAATAGATAAACATTCACAGAACCAAAGAAATATTAAATAAAGGGGAAACTCGCCAGGGTCTCCATCTGCTGCCAAAGAGTCTGAATCTGCTTCCATGAATCCCGAGTGATGCTGATCACACTCGGAGTGTCCACCAGGCTCTGCAGCTTCTTGTAGATCACCTCCTTCTCCTCGACCGCGTTTTTAAACAGCGTGTATTCCTGAGGGAGGGATCGAGTAAGACGAGTTCCAGTTCCATATCGCCTTAAAGGACCTGGCCTCACCTGATAACTCCGTGGGAAGGCGTTGGCTCCATCGAGCTGTTTGAGATGTCTGGTTCGGTCCACGAGCCAGGCCAGCAAGGAATCGTACTCTCTTTGAACAGCTGCGAAAGAGTCCGGACCCGTGGTTTTGGGCTCCGGGTACTTGTGCAGGAACTGAGCGACATACGTCATGATGGACTTCTCATCGGGCTGAGGAACGTCCACGTCTTCGGGGTCCAGGAGTCTGGCGATACCCAGCTCGGTCTCCGCCACCTGGAAGGCCGTCTCGAGGCGAGCTCTGTTCGAAGCTTCCCTCATCGCAGCGATGCTGACCAAGTTCGCCTTAATGGCGTCGATGATGGCCAGGAAGGCATTGCCGTCCCTCCAGCTCTCGCCGAAGTCCCTCACGTGGAGGCCGATGTCCCTGAAATCGGCGTAAATGCTTCATGCAATTTTTTTCTTTTTTTTTCTCTTCGAAAAATCAAATTTCCCGAGTTTCAAGACCTTCGTTAGAGCCACCGTGATCAAAGTTTCGAATGTTTCGGTGCACCCAGTTTTGAGAAAAATTGTAATAATATTTTGATGGTTCATGTATGTCCCTTTTGTATCACCTTAAAAATCTAAATCATCTTCGAGCTTACTTTGGCAAGGCGTTGGTCACCCATTGGAGGAGCGTCTTTCGCGCTCCTTGTTTCCATCTTTCGCTCGACTGTCTTCTGCGCTCGCTGGCTGCTGAGCCCTGGGTGCTGAGGCTTTCTAAGCTGCTCTGGCTGCCCCACGTCTGTCCCAGGTACTCCAGAGCTCTAGAGTTCTCCTCGATCTAGAAACGAAGGGGATTCGTCGTTCCTTCAGGATTTGGGGAATATCCAACGCACGTACTGAGAGTTTACTACGCGCGTGTTCATGCAGTGCGTGGACCAAGCGATGGAGCTGAGGGCCTTCATGGACACCTCTCGTAGTAATCGTAAATGTAACAAGAAGAACAGGCCATTCAAATTGCAGAACTGTCACTTCGCCTCTACATGAAGTCAAGTTCGGCAATTTATTGAAATTATTGTCCAATTTTCGATGCGCCGTTTTCGACCACTGCACGCGGAAAATGGATTCACAGGAGCGAGAAGAAATTCTACTTGCTTCAGGAGACGTGTACACTTCGTATGGTAACTTCGAAAGCAACATCTCGAATGATTATTTCTGTTAAAAAATTGCTGAAAGTGCAAGTGTCATTTTTTTCCACGTGCGAGAGGTGCCCGAGAAGGGCCTCACGGTTCACTCCTCTTTCTGCACGCAGATCGACCTACTCACCTTCCTTCGATCCTTCGACCGTAGCTTGTTCATTGGAATAGATACGGTTAGCAGAGGTGTCACATTATCGGCGAGTCTTTGTCGGGTGAACTTTAAAGTTACCGCAAGCGACGTATCGAGAAAAATCGAATGCAACCACGGGATTATGTACGCCAAATTCGATACATAATCCCATTACAGATGCGAGTCGAGTCCCTTTCAATTCCTGCGGTTCAGATCTCGATTCGCGAAGGCCCGTGACCGATCGATTACCTATCGATAATCCAACGCGTGCCGATGTACGTTACGTGACGCGTGTCGAATATACGAAAGCAACTACCGGAGATGTACATGTGCTCTTAGGTTGCGCAGCTACGATATAAGATTGAGAAGAGGGACGACGAGTACCTGGAAGTACAAGATGATGGTCCAGATGAGACCCAGAACCACCGGAGGCCGCCCGTCCACCAGGTCGGATGAGTTAATGTTCACCAGTTTGATCTGCAAATAATTCATTTCGTCATGAACATTCTACCTCGGTCTTCCGGGTTCCGTGAAAGAGGAAACCGACTGACTTTTTTGCCCTGTAAAAATTGAAGCGCCGTGTTGGCGTTGCTGAGGAAGTGCGGTCTCTTCAGGTTACGGCCCCTCTCCAAGGGCTGAAAGGTTTAAGACTTGGTTATTGGATGTATCGTTCGAGGCACCTTTCATCCCACCTTAAGGCGATATGAAAGTGGCGGTCTCGTTTATGACCATGTATGTGTGTGATAAAATTCAATATGATTTAGTACATCCAGTTCAAGGATGCCACTTGGGTACCGCCTTAATCGCAGGATCAATTAAGGGGAAAAAATACCAATTTCTCGCCGGACAACACCTCGAGCAGCGCAAGGAGGCGGGTCCCATCTTTAAGGTCGTCGATCAAGTCGTCCACTCGAAGAGGTGGAACTCTCTGTAAAAAATGCGTTTGCGCAACTTCTTACTTCGTGATTTAATACATAACGAAGTCGTGGTTTCGGGGATTACTTCGTGCAGGGGAATTAGCCTTTGTCTCGGACGAAACCCTGAAGAGAAACGGAAGTTCAGCCCGATGGAGAACCAGGCACCGAGTGCACCCGAGTTCCCAAGTTTCCGACTAAACGTCGTCGTGATGCTCGCCTTTTCGCCATTCGACGTATGCGTGCAAAAGCGTTTTACAAGTTGCTGTCAAAACTTGCCGAGGCTCGACTTCGACGTGTTACCCCGTGCGGCTAATTCGCTCATTAATCGTACCTTTTCTCCAAACTGGGTGCACCAAATAATTCGGAGCTTTAACCCATAATTAAAGAGATCCTAACGAAGGTCTTGAAACTCACTAAATTTCATTTTTTCACTCTCGCCCGAGTCAAATGCAACATTTTTTTTATTGTCAAATGAAATTTCGCGAGTTCCATTACAACCTCCACGTGTTGAAGTTTGAGAATTATTCGATGCACCGAGTATGGAGAAAAGCTGTATAAATATTTCGACATTTCGATATACAATACTCGATTTTAATGGAATTATTTGAATCGGCTCAACCCTTAAGGGAACCTTTTGCAAAATGAGCTCTCGCCGGTTTCTCGAGAGAACTCACCTTCGACAGGTAAGAGTTGATCCAGTTCACGAAGGTCTTCTTCTGCACTCTCTCCTGCTCGTCTGGAAAATAAGGAGAAGAAATAAATCAAAGGGGGGTGTAAATTATCATCTCGGACGAGCGTTTCGATCGGCGCGTCCAATTCCGGGAAGGCGGATGATGTCAAGAGGTGGCAAGAGACGCTCGCTAGGGATTTTATTTTTAAAACTGTCGTCAACGTTCTCGTAACGCGAACTCGTGTGAATCGCTCTTGCCACGTACTCGGTCCCACCGGGAGACTTAATAAACGCGTACTCGCAAAATGCCCGTTGTGCCCGCGCATACAAACAACGTTACGCAATTGAACGTGCAGCAACTTTTGCGGGCGCCATTGCGCGACGAAGCGCGGTTTAAACAACTTTAACGGCCCCAAAAAATTCCTTGACTTGGATTTTGAAAAAAAAAAAGGAAAAAAGCATCCTCACAATATGTCCTAATAATTTCCCAGGAAGATGGAATAGGGCATGTGGCATAATTTCGAAATACTCGATACACGATTGATTGAAGAGATGCCAAAAAAAAAAAAAGAAAAATGACGAGCTCTCGGAAAAACGACGTCGCGTTAACAATTGATTATTTTTTCACCCGTTAAATAATAGGAACGACCAAACGGGCGAGGATAACTTCGAGATTCTAGAACGAGGTTCGACCTCCGAGCGATTGTGTCATCGAGATCGCGCGTGGATCCAACTCGACGATCGGATTTCAGGGACTGGTTTTCCACCGATCGTCATCGAGTACGGCAGCAAGGTGAATCGGGATCTGTGATCGCGTCATCGGATAATCGATCGGACGGAGTAATCGGATCGATTAAGGATGAAAATCTCGAGGTCGCCTTGCGAGATTTCCTTCGAAACTGCGTATCGATCTCTCGGGAGGGAGACGTGCGATTTTTCTCGGGATTTTTCGCAAAGGCGTAGTCGGGCGCCAAAATGGACGCCGGGACTCAGGGAAAAGAGGAAGGCGAGATTAACGGCAGGGATTTATTTACGGCCCCTGAAAATAGAAGGACAGCCGGTGGAGGCTGGAAAACGAAGTGGGACGCGACTCGGTTGCAATTATTTATCTTTCTTTTTCTTGCACTCGATCTCGACCTCTCTCGTCTTCTGCGCTTCGCCGTGCATCTCGCCTAAAGGCGTATTTAGTAACGTAACCTCGCGTTTCCTCCCCATTCCCCCACCTTGTCAGAAATGCGGATTTATCGCTAAACCCGTTGTCGTACTAAAGGTTTTCCCGAAATTAACAAGTAGTTTCGGGGGTCACTTGTCCGGCCGTTTTCCTCGATCAATCATTTTTCTTTCTGCCCTGGTCTTTCGAACGCCTCGCAGGGTCCTCGCCCCGGGCGTCGCCCAAATGCGTATTTTTAACGCAGTCTCCCATTTCCACCCCCATTTTCCCCGTGTCCGGGAGATTTATTTTTGCCGAGGCGAGCTCGCGACTCCCGGAATCCCCGAGTCGAATGCGAATCTTCCAGCACCGCGCGGATCCCGAAGGAGAGTCGTCCTTCCCCGATGACGATAAAACAAACGTGCCAAAAAAAAAAAAGAATAGTAATTCGGTAAAAACGAATTTTCCTCAATAAATTGGTAGAATATAAAGAGAAAGCCTCTTAGAAAGGAGAAAAGGACATGCCATCCCTCCCCTGGTAAAATGAAAAAGCGTGGAAAAAAAATAATAACTGATAAAAAAAATCTTTCTCGGTCAATCGGTAGAATAGAAATAGAAGACTCCTTAGGGAGAAGAGAACAGCCTGGAATCTGGAAGCGGAAGCTTCAATTTGCGATCGATCGAGCCCTTTCGATGGCCTTACTTGCGGCGGACGGGCTCCGAGGGATGAAATCGCGTGCGGCCGATCCGCCCGGTATCTTCCGCGGTTGCTTCGATTAATCCCCGTCGAGGGAAATGGCTCGGCGGTGCCATGGCACCGAGCGTTCTTCGGAAGCGTCGCCGTTACGTATTTCCGCCCATGGGGCACAGAAAGCGCACGACACGTTGCATAAATCCGACCCTCGTCGGGTCTCGTGACTCGGTTCCGTGACGTTTCCGCAGCGTCCCCGCAAACGTCACGGCACGGCGTGCTGGCGTTAGAACGGTAACGACGGTAACGACTCCGACGATTTCCGGAATCGCACTTTAGGAGTCCCGACTTAACCTCGGCACCGGAGAGAAAAATGGAGCACACAGGTAACGCACGAAACGTCGACGTCGTTTTTATTTTTAGGCAAATTGTAATTACGACGCCAGATTTCGACTTGTTCATAAATTACGTTTTTATACGAACACTATGGTCTGACATTTAATTTTTTTTTAATTTAATTGACATTCAATTCGGGACACCCAGCTCGGAGAGAAATGAGATGAACTCCTCAAAAGTGACGAAAAACGGAGTAGAACGAGTGACCCCCGAATTATTTTAATTTCAGGCAGATTCTTGACATTACGGCAGCGTATTTCGACATAAATCCACATCCTAACGACGTGGGTTTCCGCCGTCCCGACCCAAGGTCTTTCCCGCAGACCGAGGAAAGCGGGGCGGACGAAAGGCGGACGCGCCGACCAAGTGGGACAAGATCTCGAGGATGAGGTCAGACTCGATCTTTTCGAGGCGGCCAGACGAGTCTGATCGAGAGTCTCTTTTTTCCCTCTCTGAGGTCTCCCCCTTCATTTTACGTAAGGTGGTCTCGAACATCTTCGACACCGTCAAATAAACCGACGATTTCAATTCGTAAAAAAATTTCTTAACAAAGGAAAAAAGGCCCTTTTTTAAAAAACTACCAAATAAATAATAATTACGTACAAACTACATATCTATTAACTCCGGAGAAATGGAACGTTCTGCGGATAATTTCGTGGACGTCATATCGATCTTGGCGAGATGCGGTCTACCGGGACGGGTTGAATTTTTTTAGAAACCTGGGATATATCGAATTCATGCCGAGGTAGATGATAGGCGTGACGAATCTAATATTTCTTTATCAATCTACATCCGCGCCGATCGAGACGTAAAAGTTCAGAATTATCGTAAAACCTTCCTCCAAACTGGGTGTACCGAATAATTTGGAGCAACGGCACGTGGAGATGAAGAACGCGAATAAAAAATAAAAAAAAATACGATATGGGTTCCTCCGGAAAGCGACGGAAATTAGAAGTGTCCCCACGCCTGCGTACTCGTCGAAGGACAAAGGCCAGGAGGAATCTTTCTTTGTGTACGCGGTGGAGGGATCGATACTGACCACTGGCGATAAACCGACGTAGTATACTTTCCCTTCACGAGTACTGCCTTAATTCCATTTTCATGTATCACGCATCTACGGCACCGCCATATTGGATTTCTTACAATTATCTCCCCTACCTGGCTTACATTAAAATGCAGGAAAAACACGGAAAAAGAGGAAATTACCCAATTAAATTACCCCGATCGACAGGAGAGATCGGTTAATTTCTACACTAACGATCCGAGCTCGAATCAAGAGATTGGTAGGAAAGACTCTTATAACGATCGTTCGGCTCGAGCGAGCGAAATGTAGGCAGCGGATTACGCAGCGGACGAATGCGGCCTTGACATTAAACGCGGCGATAACCTTTCCCAGTCTCGGGACTCGTCCTCGAATTATCAACGGAAAGAACTAGCGAGAGATCGGAGGAGGTCCACGAGGTAGCTTCTTTCCGAGGACTCCGAATTCCCTCCCCAAGATGAGCGAAACTTCATATAATATCGACATTCTGCGATTAAACCAAGAAAAGTTGTATCGATCCGACCGAATGTTCTTCCGCGTGCCCCGGGACCGCAACTCCTCTGATATTTGTACTTGGGATTGTTTCGTAATTAGTTGGTAATTGGTTGTTGCAGGACGTCGACGGAGAGGCGGTCTCGCATGTTGGCCGAGCGTGTACGCTCGCGTGGATGGAGTCATGCCGAGTGGAGGCACGTCATGCAACCAGGAGTTCACCTGCCGTCGACCTGCCTGCTGGTGTAAACATTAAAAGCAGGACCCCGACCGAGGAGATGGAAAAGAATCCATCGATCGAGGTCCATTCAAACCTGGGGATCCGCCATTACTCGGAAAACACCCCCAGAGACCGAAACTTCATCGAGCCGCGGACACGTTTAATTGAACAACACCAAAGAAATATTCTATTAATTCAAGGAATAATTATTTCACTGGAATAAACTGAAAAATAAATTCCCCTCGTTCCTAAGAACCATTTGCATCCAATTTGACTAAACGAAATATCTCATTAGTTGAATGAAATTTTTCTTCCCAGTTAAGGTGCGAGGTGTTTTTTATAAGAATCTAGGATAAACGTTTCAAAGGAACGTCTCTTCGGTTCCATGAATTTTTTCTTCCTCAGGGTGCAACCCAACTCCCCGAAATATTTAATTGTCCCATTGGCAGGCTGCGTAAGCGACGCATAAGTTGCGTCGCGACGTCTGGCGCGCATTTAAAGCGCCTGCATAAGGGAACGCGCAACGGAGCGAGTTGGGCCGGCGTAAAAAGGAGGAAGAAAATGAGGACCAGCGAGGGACGAGGAAGGAGAGACGGCTCGCCGTTGAACGAAGGGAGAGAGAGAACCAGCCGACTCGCCGAAGAGAGGGAAAGAGAGGCAGCCTTGAACCGGCACCCGCTATAACGTCACCATTAACTATTCGAGTGCTTAACGCTTACGTAGGCGCGACTCGGCATTTAACGCCAACAATGCCCAGAAAAATGCGAAATTCCCCCATAATCTCGGGGACATATTTTCTTTCCCCCTTTGCATATAATTACAGCCCCCCTCAATTTACGCCATTTACTTTTCTTTTTCAAACGTCATTATTTTGTATCTCGTTAAGTATTGGTTTTTGTCCTTGCGGCATTTCTTAAATATCGCATAAAAAATAAAATCTCACGGGTGTCAGGACCTTCCTTACAGTCTCGATGTTCACGGGAAAAGCTTCATGAACAACTGGCCCCTCGAGTACCACTTTCACATCCCCTTAAATGATACCAGGTTCGCTTACAAGGCGACCGATCGGAACCGGGGAAAAGGATGGATATATCGAGACGCTACTCTCGTAAGACACGATAAGACGTCGAATCTGGAACAATTCTTCTTTCTCCTGTATTCGCCGAGTTATCAAACCACGCTCGAGAGTACTATCTTATCGGAGCTCGAGCCGAAATTACGACGTTCGTTTTGCCATAAACCCCGAGGTATCGGTAGCAAGCTGCAGGATAAACGACGGCATACCGTTCCCCGGAGTCGGATAAGAACATGTTCGAGGAACAAACGCGAAAAGTGAAAATTAGCGTCACGAGGTGAGTCCGCTCGCCTCCTCCGAGGGAGGACACTCACATCGTCGTCAATTTACGTCTGATTTACGTAATTTCTCCAAATTAAGAGCACGTTTGAAACTTTACAACGTGAACGTGGAGGCTGCATGGAAGGTGCCGACACCCATGGAATTTTAATTCTTTCAAATTGACTTATAAATGTATATTAAAGATTATTTCTAAAAATTGAAATTTCACGGGTGGCTTAATTTCCAACACGAGGGCGGCGACGAGTACCTTTGATCTCAGCGATGTGAGCATCGTACTCGCTTCTACTCCTGACGTACTCCATCTTGGCGGCGACATTCTGGAAGCTCTGACTCCTGTACTCGGCGTACCACTCCGCAGGAGGTTTGTCGTCTCCTCCAGGAGGACCAGGACTAGTGGAAGACCTCCGAAGAAGACTCTCATCCGAAGGGAAACCAGAGGCAGCGGACGTGGATTTGGTCCCATGGGAGCTGCGTGCCCCATGGCAGTGGCTTTTACAGCTGGAATCCTCCAGGGCGCGCTCTTCGCTGGGGGTCCTGTCGTCGCCCGAGCGCCTGGTCGAGCTCACCACCTCCCTAAGACTCTTTCTGACGGTGATTTTCTCGAATTTGACGAGTTTAGCGCCGTTAAGCTCGCCCTCCTCCACGAGCCTCTCGAAGCTCTCCTCGAAGGAGGAGTCGCTGGCCCTGGAGGAGGGTCTGGAGGCGAACCGACGAGAATGAGGATCGGCCTCGTCGGCCAGATCCTCGCAGCTGGAGGTGCGCCCACCCGACCAAACCTGCTCGAAGAAGCTGACCCTGTCCCTCAGCCGCCCACTACGTGGGGTCCGAGGACTATCGGGCGCGCCCTGGGGAGGCTCCGGGGTGCCCCCCGCCCTGGACGGGGTCGCCCTGGGCATGGCAAGGTGTCCCTTTCCCAAAGATCGTCACTCCCAGTCCTCGATGCTCTTCATATCGGAGCCCCGAGGTTGCGTCTACGTTTATCAGAAATCGCTCCTCCGGAGTGTCATCCCCCTGGGACCGAGGTCTCCCCTCTACGATCTCTGTCCAGTTTAAGGGATTTTCATCCCTGTCCCAAGGTTCGATCCCGATACCCGGTGAATGTTCACCGACCACCCCTGAATCAACTTCACCCTGGAGCTTTTGCGTCTTGATTTTTATAACCGCTCTTATATTTCGCAGGCGTCGAGATTCCGACGCGGGTCACGGTGGGACTGGTGGCGGTCGAGGACACACCCGGACAGTTCAAGGTGTGTCGCTCCACTCTGCCCTCGGTGGTGCTCGCAGTCGCGAATCCGCGGCTCGACCTAACCTAACCTTCCGGCGAGCCGGCACAGCCGGCGGGGCCGGGACGTCGCAGCGCCTTCTAGGGAACTCGTGCGCGCGTGCAGTCCGGCCAGGCGTCGGTTCGATACTGGTGAGGCCTCGCTTTCTACCCGACTCCACGGCGCGAGGGAACATGGGAGCGCGGAGCTGGCAGGGTCGCTCCTTGACTGCTCCTGCGTGTCCCGGCTTCGGCGACCGTGGCGGCGCCAGCGGGTTCCCTTCCCGGTCCCCCGGCGACCTCGCTGACTCCTGCAGTCGTTGCCATGTCCAATCCCGAAGAGACTCTCTCGATCAATCCCTTCGTCCCGCCGCCATCCCGCTTCCGGGCGCACGTGCTTCCGACCCCGGTCCGTCCCACGTGGTTCTTCGAAATCTCGTTTCGATCCCAAAGAAGTGCATTTTTCAGCCACTCGTCTACTAAATTCCACCGGGAGGCCGTTACATTCCGCTTCCATCGATCCCAGCTGGGTTTGGGCACCGCAACGTGCGTGCACGCGTACACGCGCAAGCGAGCACCTGCTCGACCCGCTTCCCATCCCCATTGCGTAGGGCGAGGCGACTTTATTGTCGGCACCATCGATCCCCGAACATAATACTCCGAGATCGCTCCATCCGGGGCTCTAAGGTTACTTAACCTTGCCGAAGTAATCGATAACTGGTTATTATCCACGCCCGACGGGCCGGTAATGGGAAATTGATAAGCGTGGCAAGAGTCTTCTTCGACGGACGAAGAGTACCCCTACCAAGATGGCGTCGCCCTGGAGGGAAGCGCGCGAATCTGTCGACCGTTTACGATCTCCCGACCCATCGGAGATGATTAGCTTCCGTAATTGGAACAGCCGTGCCCGTCGCAAAGTGGATCAACTCGAGTGGAATTGCGTCGCCCGCACGACACGTTATTTACCTCCCTCGCGATCGAACAAACAACCATCCCGGTTCGTCTTAACGAGGACACAAATCTTGCCTTCCGTCCTCCGCGAATCGATCGGGAAGATTCACCACGGCCAAGCCGGGGCAAAGGAAAAAATCTACAGCGCCGTAAATGTCACGGAATCGATGAAATACCGTCGCCTCGTTGGCCAGATTCCCCGAGACATCCACGAGCACTCTTCTAGAGGCCCGTGATAGCACGTGCACTTTTTTCAAGCATGCGCTATCGCGAATCGGTCCGACCTCCGGAAGCAAGGAAGACCGAGGCGAACGTGAATGGCCGAACTCGGCGCTCGTCATTCCTATTTATAAGTGCACGGTCTGCCGTGGAATCTATTTTATTGTATTCCACTTCCCTGTACAGTCGGTGGCATCGGTTGCGTAAACGGCAGGGCCCGATCTCGACCGCGCTCCTTTGGGTCAGTGTCACCCCGGGATGCGTCATGCCGCCCCGAGGAATACCCGGGGTTGGTCTACCCCGATATCCCTTTAAATGCGAGGATTTATCAAATATCTCCGGGTAAACGACGGACGCGTCCTCGTTTGGGGTATCGTCCCAAGGCGATGCCCGACCGTTTACACCGGGAGTTTAATAAAACCAAGGATCGCCCGCGGACCTCTTGGCAGAGGGCAGTTCATTGAGGTGGCGCATGCCAAAATCCTACGACTTTTCGCCGATTGCGCGGTCGAAGTGCCGGGGTCGTTCTATGTTTAATACTAGAGGCGCCGGAATATCCCGAGATTCGATCCGGGTCGAGGATCGACCGGAGTGGGCGGAATTCTCGAATTTGACCTCGGATTCTGCGATCTCGAATTTGGCCCCGGTTCCCATCTACCGGAAAGAGTCGTTCAATAATATCATTAATTAAAAAAATCGAACGTTTCAAGAGATATCGATACACGGGGACGTGAATTCCAAGTCACGTGGAGTCATGGAGGAGTTAAAACTCGGTCTGGGGATTTTGTATTAAACGACGATTTTACGCGAAATTCGATTCTAAGGGTGACTCGAAGAGACGTCGTACTCACCTTGCAGCTGTTGAATCGTGGCTTGGTACTCGGCCAGCTTCTCGTCCACGTAGTCCTGGCTCTGGCTGGCGATGATCTCGGCGGTGCTGGGCCCGCTGGACTCCTCGTCCCCTTGGTCGGGGTCGAGGGGCACCCCAACGTACTCGTACTCCCCGGGCCTGTAGGGCGCGATGAGGTACTCGGGCGGTCCACAGGGCAGGGGCGAGGCCGAGGCGCTTCCCAGAGGGCTCTGGATATCCGGAAATCCGGGCATGAGATTCGGAGCGAAATGCCGAAAAGGGAAATCTCAAGAAGCGAAATAGGGAAAAGTAAGATGAAAAGCGAGATCGCTGCTCACCTGAATCTGCGTCGGCACGTAGGGTCTAGGAATGCCGGCCGAGGGCCACCTGGGTCGGGGGCACTGGATGTACCCGCCCCCGAAGACCGGCGATGCCCTAGGGGAGACGGGTCCCCCGATGGGCACCGGGCTCGCAGGGTGCACAGGGGTGGAGGGCCCCTGGCCTCGGCCGGTCGCGTACGGCGACGCGGGCCTGAAGGGGCTGGGGGCGGCCCACCCCGGGGGGTGGCCGCCCGGCGGCCTCGAGGGGTGCGACATTTCGCGCTACTCCTCTTTCGCGTCCTCTTCGCCCGGTCCACGTGTCAGCATCGCTGCGAAAAGTTACCTCGCGTTATGTCAGATCATGTTACAGGATTTAAGCGGGTGGACACCTCGTGCACCCTACATTTTTTTAAAGCGATGCGCAAGTATCGACGCGACGAACGGAATTTTTTTTTCCTACTTTCCCGGCGGCTAGACTCCCGTCCCCGGCGTTATCTTTCCTAAGATAGGCAAAACGCGTGCAATCTGCCCGCCGGAGTGCCGAGGGCCGGTGATGCAACCTCGCATACGGAAATAGAGCACGTTCGTACTCCACTCTTCTTGGTACTCTAAAACCTCAAGCCCTGACTAGTTCACGGCGTTGATTCGCCGGAGACCGAAATCGATGTCAAGAGCAAAGCCACGGTTGAAAGGTGGAACCGTTTTCGTTAATTCCCACCTTGTCCAGAAAACGACCCTCGATTCCAGAAGTCGAATCAAAGAGCGCTCGGTGGGAGTTTAACGGAGACCCGAGAACTCTGGCTCGGCCGACTTCTCCAGGTCGAAATCAAGATCGAACTCTAACTCGAAACCACGACCTCCGACTCCGGAAGACCGGCCCTCGGAGCGTTCGAGTTCGCGCGTACCAAGTCGGAATACTTTAAAGGCCTTCGGCCGGATACCGACTGGGGTGGTAGGCCTCCTAAATATACCTCTATTTCTATTTTTATACGGCGCTATCCGCGCACGAGACATCGAGTACGAGTACTCTCGGTACTCCCGGGATATTTCAGATACCGACACGAATATTCGCGATGTATCGCCCTGGCGGACGTCACCCGCGACGCCCGAATTTCCCATGTCTACTTAGACTGGATCGATTCCAATCGACCACGTGACACCGTCTCCATCGCCCTCCAAATCCGGGATTTATCGAGTCCGGATCCAGAAAATCGCATATCCCCATCGCATTGACAAGTACGCGGGTACGATTCCGAGCGTCTCTATCGGTACTTAAACTCGGATTTACTGGGTTTGGACCCGATAAATCCGGATTTCGAGGACGTTGGAGACGTGCTCTGCGTCTCCTTATCCTACTTCGTGATTATAGCGGTTCAAGTCGTCCCTAGTCAGCCTTGGGAGACCCTGGAGATACGCTTGTCAGGGACTGACACCCTGACGAGACCGAACCGCAACGAGACTTCCGACGTCGAACGTTGGCGTGTTTAGAAAACTTCGACTCGAGACTAGACAGATTATCTTTGGATGGACGCGACGCCTCTGGATCCTGGACCACCGATGCTCGTTCCAAAAATAAAGTCTTTGCCGAATTGATGATCAGAAATAGTCCGTGGTTCAAAGCGGAAGTCGCGATACAGTTGCTCGCCCGGGACCAAGGCGACGTTATCGAACCTTCTGTCTTTTCATCAAATCGAAACATGGAAATTAAATCGACCCGATAGTCTATTTGTTCTATATACAGGATTGACGGTGTCTATCTATGAGAATCTAATATTTGTCGCCCATGATCGGTCTTGAGCCCCCTTAAGCCTGACTTATAAAACATTCGGCGCACTCACCTTCCTCAGGTCGCACCGGAATGAGAAGTTCGTTCCGAAGTGGTTATTTCGAGCAATGGTACTCGCCTCGGTGCACTCGAAAGTTCCAAGTAAGTTCACAATTTTGGAATCCCAGGTGGGGGTGAAGGCCAGGCGAAGTGGAGGCTCGGCCGAGAGGAAGTCGCGGAACCGAACGTGGACGAGACTCGCCAAGGAGTGGCGAAAAGGGTGCAGAAGTAGAAGAGCAGGGTCGAAGTCGAAATCGAAAAAGATCGTTGCCCTCTAGGATAGAGAAGAAGAACTAGTCGGCGCCGAGACCACGAAGAGACTGGCTACTGGATCATCGGTCCAGGATGGGCGTCGGGTCGCGGGCGTCGGGACGCTTGCCGCCACATTTATATTTAACTTTGGCATCACTCGACTTTCGACTTGGAGTACCCGGCACCATCACCTCCCGTGTCTCTTCTTCCTGCTCTTTTTGACGCGGCGAAGCCACGAAAGCTCGACGTACCTCCGCGCCCTGGCCATTGTTTGACCTCGATCCACCTGCAGGTCGGGATTTCGATGAGAAATCTCGAGGAAAGGTCGCTAAGAGACCTCGCCTCGACTCTTGCTAGGGCCAGCTTCTGTCGCCAACGAAGCTCATCGATAATTTTGGTAATGAATCGCGAGAAGAAGTCCTGGCCTGGTTTCTACTTGCGCGTCACCCTCAAGGTGAACTTAGAAATAAACAGACGTATTCTTTCTCGAACGGTCGGACACGCAACGTTAAAACGCGGTTGGATCGTCGATACGACGTGGAGTCGCGAGATAACGTCACGGCTAATTGTATTCGGCGAGCCTCAAGATTGCCTCCATTCCGCCGAAGATTATGATCGACTTATTGCTGTCCAGGGTGACCACTGCCCTGTTCACCCGGAAGGTCCCCATCACCTGAAAATAAATAAAAAGCTCTCAACGGTGGTTTCGTTTTTTACTCCATTACCTTCCCTTTGAGCAAGTACGCGTCTAACCCTCTTCTCCTTTAAACTGATGACTTCCACGGCACCGGTGCCGGAACCACCGGCAAGGACGGTTTCCCCATAAGGATCGCCATCGAAATACTGCACGGTATATAGGAATTCACCATCCAGAGTAGTGGGTCTATTTTCAGGATTGATGGTCTCGATTAATTTACCGCTCGTCATGTCCCAAATCTGAAGACTTCCTCTCACGACCCAAGATCCGGTGAGAATGTGGGATTCCTATGACATTAAATCACATCGTCAATCGATCTCTATCCAAAATTGTAGAAACTAAAATATCCATGCCCTGAGAAAAACGATTTATCGACTCAAAGAAATATCCACACGAGCCCACAAAATCCTTTATAAATATTTCACACCTTTCGATATGTATAGAATGACCCTTTCGTATCACCTCAAAACAACATTAATTAATCTCCTCAAGAAAATAATTGTCTCTTGCAATTATATACGATTGAGGCAACGATACATATTTTTTTCAGTCAACTAATCTTTTTTCTCAGTCTGATAAGCGATTAATCGTACTCGGACATCAATAGCGTCGCCACAAATGTGAGGTCCCTTGATGCACCTGACAGACCCGGTGCCCACTCTGATGTCCCATATCTAAAAGGAGAGATTACCCATTCAAACCCCCTGGTGAAGAGGTCAATTCTTGATATCGATCAATAATCACCCTGACGGTATCATCCCAGCCACCGGTAATGACAATCTCAGGAAACGTTTGGTGGAACTTCGAAGCGAATATCCTCATCCGATGAAATTTGCTCACCTTCTCTTCCAACAATTCAGCTTCGTCCTTTTTATACGTGGTGATTACCTAGAATCGTTGATATTGTTCGAATCGATCGTGGTGGTTTGAATATCCGGTGATAACGAAGTAAGTGTAATTTGGTACCTTTCCAGTATGAGTGTCATAAAGTCTCACAGCAGCGTCTTTCCCACCGGAAACAAGACGTTCTCCGGTTGCGCTGACGTCGATGGTGTTGACCTCGTTTTTCGGCTCTGCAGAAATCCGAGATTCGTGAAACTCCCCCATGGATCAAAGGATACTGACCTTCGATGAATCGCTTGAATTGACTCGTGTCGACGACGCACATGAAGATGTTGCCACACGCACTGGACGCGTATAAAATTGTCGGTTGGACTGGATTGAAACGACAGCACATTACCGGAAAGGAAGACTCCAACCCGCTCCTCAGGGTCGCCCTTAAGTCTCCGGTTGTACCGTTTCTGACCTGTATTCAGAAGTTCCAAATTTTACGTCATGTAATAAACGTGCTATTCTAAATAAACGTGAAATTTCCCAATTCTGGTCGTGACAGAAAACGACTTGACAAGATGGCCGAAAAGTATGTAAACATCGAGAAAGAGTTTTGTCAAGGCGTGGCGCTCACTTGAATAGCCCCAGTTCCGAATGTAGTAGCCAAAACGTCCCCACTGGGGGAAAATCGAGCACAGTAGAGTCCATTAAATGTTTCTGGGAACCGAATTTCGTTGACTATTCGAGAACGATTCCGGGTCGTGGCTATACTCAGCCTCGTTCTTTGGAGCCAAGTATGGCGTCTCTGCATCTCAGCTTGGGACACCCTTCTGTCCGCTACGATGTCTTTTTTCTCTCTTCCTTCCCCTCTAAAAGACTGCGAATGGGGAGGAATATATTATGATATTACACTTACAATAATTTTACGGTCCCAATAGCATAAACAAAGGGAAGGAAAGTATTCATCTCCGAGTACGTACTTGGACGTCCCGTTCGTTCTCTTGGAACTCGTCTTCTGGTTGGGAAGACTCATCGTTCAAGTTCTCCCTCACTTCCGACCTTTTCGTTTGACTACCTGGTTTCATTTAGGACTTCCCATAGATATTTCCTCTGCAATTCATTTTACGTAATAACGCATGAAATTAATTAAACCTCTAACCTGTTTCCAGGGACTCGTTCTCTCGACGTCGACGTCGATGGCGATGCTTGCGCTTCCTCTCGGAATCGTCCATTTCTTTCCCGCCCTTCTGGCTGAAGATTATTATTTGTAGATGCTGAGGAAGAAACCTTTTTCTCCATCCATCTATCGCAATCAATTGCAATCACCTTAATCGCCGCGACTTTTGTTTGAAAGTCGCTTCGAAAGCTGACCGAAGTTGTCAGCGAGCGAGGAACGATAAACCATAGCGATAAACGCAGACATTTCGTCGCAATATTATTTTGTATGCATTAAATAACACGCTATTAAGGTGATATGAAAGGTTCATTATTTATACATTGAAACGTCAAAATGCTTACAAAACTTTTCGGCAAATTCGGTGCAGCGAATTATTTGAAATCTTAACACGCGATTATGGAGGTTTCAACGAAGGTCTCGAAACTTACTCAATTCCACTAAGCGGAAACAAACCTTTTCCTTGGTTCTTGTTTGGGATAAATAAAAAAAAATTTTCTTCGAAAAATGGAATTTCGCGAGTTTCAAGACCTTCATTGGGATCGCCGATCTCCCACCCAGCCGAAAATGGTGAAAATGTAATTGTTTTTATTGTTTCCTAAAAGTAATGTACATTATTATTAATAAATAAGGCGATACAATATTTAAAAATTCAACACTTCATATACAAACGAACCATTCGTGATGTAAAAATGATACGCAATTACGTAACATCGGTTACGCTTCACAGAGAGTACGGCTTCCTGTGAAAATTAGGCACGGGAGTACAATAGCTCTCTCGTTGCCCGTGCTCAGTTTGACGAGATTTTTTTTTCATTTTTTAATATTTTCTCCCCTCCCTGATTAATCACTTATAGAGGCTACGAAACGTGCCGGAAGTCGCTTCGACCCAGCGAGACCGAAAGAACGATATTTTTTTCCTCGACGAGACGCATTCCTCGAATACAGAATAACGAGAGAGAGATAAAATATACATAAAAAATTACTCCGTACTATCGCGGAGATTAGAAACTTGGCAGAGCTTGACTTGAATAAAAAAAAAAGTGGGGGAAAAAAGAGATTAAAATAAAGAAAGAAAAGAGATCTGCTCGTGGAATGGTCTTAGTCGGAAGTTTTCCTATCTCTACTCAATTGTTCCTTTCGTTGGCGTGACGCCAATTATTTCTCTGAAAAAATCGTAGAAAATAGTTGACACCTACTGAAAAATCCTCGAGCTCGGAGACATTATCATTTGCCGAACCTACTTATGTATCTCAGCCTGGAATGCCGTGGACGGTAAAAATGGAGCTGACTTTATGCAGGGACTGGGAATAATCGCAGTCATCGTCGTCCAGAAATCAGTCGAAGTTTGGTACGGAAGCAGTTTTCCACGTCGGAAAGCGAGAGGAAGCTTTTGGACTCCTGTCTAATTTATGAACGACAGCTCTCCTGGAGGAGGTCCCCGGTGGGCATACTCCTTTTGGCCATTACTTGTAATTAACAGCAAGTTGATGAATAATCACATCTCCTACGATACGCAAACTGTCGATTATCGTGGGATCGAGTCTGTGCTTGAATTCTCCAATCATTGTGTTGTCCAGCCATATCGTCCAGGCATCGCGTTCACAGCGCACACTGCGGATCAATTAATAACCCAAAACAGTAATAACTTGATGAACACAAAATCGGTTTAGAAAATCTGATTACGCAGAACCTTACGTAAGGAGAAACTCTCTTCCCGGTCCCCAGAACAAGTGTCCTTCCTGTCTTTCCTCGCGACTCCAACTTCCATTTTGCCAACAATTCAGAACGACGCACGGCGGCGATCTGCCGTACAAAAATCTCGGATTAAGGTGAAGAGCGATCACCGGATGTGGATAGATGAACTTCCCTTTCTGCAGATTCAAGTAGAACCTGAAACGATCGAGTCGGATTTACACATTCCTCCGATGTTCATTCCGCACCCTGGAGGGAACTTACGAGTGAGGCAGAAGTTTCAACCTGCCCTTGACGAAGAGGCGTGCTCCAGTTCGGAAGCCATTGTTGAGGTCCACGTTTACAGGCATTTCCTGTTACATTGAGCAATTAAATATACATACATTTTAATCATGAGATATTTTTATGCTTACCAGATTTTCTTCGAGAATATGGGTACCATCCAGTTGCAGAGCTGGAGAGGTCTTCAGGATATTCGGATCAGGGTACACGAATCGGACGCATTGTCTCGTCTTTACATCCTCAACATGGCCGGTCACCTCGATCCCAGTTATCGTCTCCAGCGGCACCCTGAAGGCGAACTCGCAGAAATGATCTCCATTCACGGCTATCTGCAAACATTGTTTCTCCTGTAGAGTTAAGAAAGAATTTCCTTCCAGATTACTCTACCTGAAAACTGTTAGGAGAGCAGAAGATCATGAGGTGGAAGTACGTGCTCCTCTTGAAGGAGAAGCCCTGAACTCCGATCGGGGCGCATGGTTCCTCCTCTTCCCAAGTGCCATGTCTTTTGGTGTTTCTGACAACGTACTGTCTATCCAGGCGTGGGTTAAAGTGCAGTGCCAAGGTCTCGGGTGTCTTGCATGTTAGATTTACAGAGAATCTGCAAATCGGGAAAATCGATCAGGCGGTGGAAACGCCGACTCGAATTTTCAGGAGTGCGCCATTAAGGACACCGTGATAAGCCCCGGGATTTACATTTTTCCTTCCTTTCTTTCTGCCCATTACAATTCGAAATTTCTTACGGGTCGTTGTCACGTCTTGTTATTTCCTTAGCGATGTCATTTGTCGACCGAAAAGAAAAAGAAGAACGGAACAAAATCGCCAAAATTCACTCGACATACATTGGAGGGAATCGGTTTCTCTTGCCTTATCAAGCTATGACAATAGTGTTAGGTAACTTATGTATGCATTCTGTTCTTTATCCATTTTCTTGGGAGAAAATCGTGAATACCTAGTTGCGTTAGGAAGTATGTAACCAGTAACAATGATCGTCGATCCCGTCTTTAAGGGATCTAGTTTCCGAGGTTTGTCCAAGTCCTGAAACAGAAAGCGTCGTTTGGCTTAAATTACGTTCTTGAAATGTGGTTCCCTCGTTTCGCCGAACCGTACATAAATCGCAGTCAATGTGGTAATAAAGATCCGGGGCATCGACTTCCGCTGAATCGGCCGAATTCTGTCCTATCGGTGAGCAAGCATTCATTTCCGGTTTCGATTTCCCGACCTGTGTGAGTCGAGCTCAGATGCAGATTTATATTAAAAAAAAAAATAGGAAACTAACCGTCTGCTGATGCGTTAAAGCGCTGCTTTTCCTTTTCCATTTCCATCGTAGGACCTTAATTGGTCGCAGTATCACAGAACTGTTAATTTTTCTACTTTACGAAGACATTTGACATTTGGGGTATCGACTGAACATGCTCGCCATGCTCGAGTGTACCTTGTTCTCGAAATTCGAATACATAAAGCATTTTCTATAGGAGACCTAAGGAGAGGAGGGAGGAAACGTAATTAGGACATATCGTCGGATCTTTCTCTTGACAAATTGCACATTTTATTGACTCAATACGAAACAGAAATCAGGTACAGCGTTTTCACACAGTTGGCAGAAATATGGTTGGTCTACGTTCTTGGATCAAATCTGTCACAAATAGGGGCGTGGCATGGTTTGGGATAAAAGTATAAAGTATCTCAAAAAAATGAAATAAAAATTACATAAGGGTAAGTTGTAGAATCAATGTTGTATCGATGCTCTATTAATATTTCTTAAACTGGTTGATTTAAGTATTGTCAACTCAAGGGAAATCAACATCTATACATACCAATGCTTTCGCCTCTGTATCGACAAGGTTGAAATTTTTCAGGGCTTCTACTTTTAGATTACGGACACTGTTGGACATTTTTTCATCCAACATCTTTGACACTCTTAAAGGATAATTCAATTATGTCAGTATGATATTACTTTTCGTTTTCATTAGAAAACATCGTAATACGGGTAACAGTGTACTTACAGGTTAACTTGAGTGCCACTGCGCGTTCATGAGAACTCCGTAGGATTGAAACGACTCGTGAAAGTGAGGTTACGCTCATGGATGAATTCAATGAATCTTATCAATAGAGATATAAAATGGTTGACACAAGTTTACAGTGCTCCCCCTTTAAGTTAGAAGTATAATTCACGGCTCTACTTTGAATTGGAGAGAGTAAGACACACACTAATGCGACTCAATCGTAAAAGAAAAAGCAAGAGAGCTCTGCGTTTGTGTAAGAAAGAGTGACATGGAGAGATGATGCTTTATCCAGGAAGAAAGGAGAGAACATGCAGGAATACGTGTTACAGACCGAGAAAGAGGAAGATACAAAGAGTCGGGAACAGTCGGGAAACTTCAGCGCCATAGTGATGTAGAGACCACGTTAAAATTAAAATGCATTGTTTCAATGTCACAAAATTCCCCAAAGCCTGTTCTTGTCGGAAACAATCATCCGATTACGTGTGAATTCATAGGCTGTCATCAATGTTACTTATCAAGTCTCGGCCACTTTAAACTTCTTTTGAAATACTTTAGAAACTACAAAGTATTTGCTGCCAATCCTGTTCTGTTGGATCGGTGAATATATATATATATATATGTATATATATATACAAATTTATGTACACATTAATTTTAAACTTTACTACGTCAATTTTTAATTACCTTTCAGTTTTCCCTTATAAGTGAAAAAAGATTACATCTTCTACATTACTATGTGACACGTTGATGGATTCTATTTAAATTACATAAAATGGACATATCCACGAATGCTGAAGTATACATTCCATCGTTCGCCGAAGATCTAACAAAGCGCATTAATAAATCCATCTTGAGGAAGATAGAAAAAGATTTAGACACTTATGAAAAGGTCTCTATCCTGTTTTTAATGGTTGTAGATTATGCCTCTTCTTTTAAGGAAATTTATAATCTATACAATGCTATAGACAATCCAAATCGGCATGTTCTCGTTGACTTTGTGGAAGCACACCCAAAATTCTGGCAGCATAAAGTATTAGAGGCTATTGGTATTATTAAGAATCGGAGTGTTATTTGGAAACTTGGGATCGAGTTCAGTGAAATTGAATTGAGATATTCTAGCCACATTTGTGGATATTCCATGTTTGTAAACGAGGTTGCCAAAACATTATACATGTTCTGTGAATCATTAAGTACTAAACAGATGCAATTATTATTAAAATATATTAGGGAAGATAATGGACCTAGTGACCATCGCTTGAAAAATGTCCCTTTTCTTGAACTTCATATTTTATATTGGGCTCATGTTGGATATATTAGTACCAAAGCAGGTACTTATATTTATGACATTATGTTTTTCTAAAAAAGATCTATCTAACATGTTTATGCTCAGAGATACAAATTTGCTTAATAAAACAATGTCTTTGATTATTTACAAAACTTGATCAAAAATTTTTCAGGAAACCGATGGGATTTGACAAACCTTTTAAAACATTTGAAGAAGTTACAGTTGACAGATAAATCCATATACGGACAATTAGAGAAACATAAATTTATTACCACGGATCAATGGACTGAAATTTTGAACAATGATTCAAAATCTCCATCTCCTGAAAAGGAAATTAATCAGCCAAACAAAAATGAGCCCGTATCCGTTGCAAATGGTGGTCTCTGTTTTATAATTAATCAGATGTACTTTCCTGAAACTCAGGTTTGGCATGAATCAACTAAATAAAAACTTTTACTTCTACGTTTAAGAAATATCTCTTTATCAAAATTTCATTTTTTCTTCTAGTACGAGACTAGGTATGGAACCGATAGAGACCGTGATCGATTGTCTGATACGTTTAAACAATTTGGCTTTGATATTGAAATTCACAATGATTTAACAGAAGAGGAAATATTAAGTGCATTAAGAGGTATCGGCAAAAAGTTTGACAAAAAATACAATTGCTTAGTCCTTTGTATTTTAAGCCATGGTCACGAAGGTATACGAATAGATCATCTGAATACTTGAAAATAATAAATCCCTCTTACTGTTTTAATTACATTTTTTTTTATTCCTGTTTCAGACAGCATTATTTCTACTGATGGAAAGGAAATTCCTGTAGCAAAGATTGAGTCCGAAATATGCTGTGATAAACTTTTAAATGTCGTAAAAGTTGTTATAATTCAAGCCTGCCGAGAGAAGATGTCAGGTTTGTTTAAGACGATGCTTAAATAAAACAACATACCTGCATGATCGTTGCGAAATATAATCCATATTGTTAACAGGTTCTGCAGTTAGAGATGCTATAATACGAATAGGTGATCAAGATTCAGAAGCTTACGCGGATTTTTTCTTATTCTCATCAACAATGCACGGATTCATATCATGTCGTCACAAAATATATGGTAAGAAAAATTTATGTTAATATTCATGTATAAAAAGTAGTCTTCAAATATTAGTTTCTGTATATTGATCTACTAAAACCTTGGCTCAAAAGTGCTAAGAAGGGTATATCAACCCAAAGAGAGTGTTAATAGTTGTTATTATATAGGGTCATGGTTTATTCAAACATTCTGCAAGGAACTAATTTTCGGAACCAAAAATGGTGGCACACTTCTGGAGTGTGCTGCTTCGACTACGAAGAAAGTAATTACAATGGTGAAACAAAATGGAATTGGTCGATCTATGCCACAGCTTCCTGAACAAAGGAATCGTTTAAGAACCCATGAGTTCAAATTTACTTATTACCCAAATGTTTCAGTCTGAATATTGAGTCCTTATGAACCTGAGACAATTTAACGATGTGATCATATTTTTAATCATGTTTAATATACATTGATAAAATGTTTTATATAACATACCAAAGAACTTTATTTCAGAATAACACGAAAGGCTTAGAAATGGCAAATGATTCTCAGTCCAATTTTGTTTTTTGTTTTAGTACAATTTTTCTTTGAGTATGGGTAAAAGCTTCTTCAATTTAAGTGGGTCGTACCTGAAAGCCAACATGATGCACTTTGTATGCTCTACACTGGGTAACCCCATGTCATCAAAGTACTGACATTTATTTTCTTGAATTTGATCTGTGATCTCACGTAAGGCCCGGTTTCCCTTCGGTTAATTGAGACAAATAATCTTTCCTTCATATGGTTTAAACGACCCGTGCTCAGCCGCCATTACTTCTCAGCTCTCAAACGAGACAAAGCCACCGCCATTGTTCCCACATTTCCGCCATGTGCTCGGTGAAAATTTAACCTAGTGCGTAGAATGCTTTTGTAATGAATAAAGTGAAATAAAGTAGTGTTATACTTCGGCGGGGTGAAAATTAATCTACAATGGGAAAATTAAATGTTACAATGCTACGTTACTTGACACATGAGGACTTTCGAGTGCTGACAGCGGTAAGTCTTCTTTTTATGCATTTTGTATTTTTCTCGAGTAATTGATGTGAAAAGCCTTATATTTTTCGATTTCATAATTAATTTGTAAATTGGGGCGTCTTAATATCACATGAAACAAATAGAATTTTATTTTCTTTTTACGAGCATGGTTATAGGTTAGGAAAGCAAGGGTACCCTTTTAAAACATAACTTTCATGCTTCTGGCATAAACTAAGGTTTAACAAAACATTCAATGTTGATTTCAGAATTTTCTAGTTCCTTGCAATCGATTAATTAAACATTCGTTACAGGTTGAAATGGGGATGAAGAATCATGAGCTTGTTCCAGGTTCTCTAACTGCTCAGATTGCTAATTTGAAACACGGTGGAGTGCACAAATTAATGAAGGAACTCTGCAAGCATCGGTTACTCAGTTACGAACGAGGCAAACACTGTAATTATTTTTCGTTGGCTGTAATATTAAATATCACTAACATTCTCTGGGTGAAATCTGTACAAAATTAAAATATTATTCTTTATTGTAGACGATGGGTATCGTTTGACAAATGCAGGGTACGATTACTTGGCACTAAAGGTTTTAGCCACACGAGGAACAGTAGTTTCTTTTGGCAATCAAATCGGAGTCGGTAAAGAGTCTAACATTTACGTGGTTGCTGACCAAGAAGGAAAGCCTGTGTGCTTAAAATTACACAGACTCGGTAGAACTTGTTTTCGCAATATCAAGGGCAAGAGAGATTATCACCAACACAGAAAATCTATGTCGTGGCTGTATTTGTCCAGAATATCGGCTACAAGAGAATTCGCATACATGAAAGCACTCATGGATCGAGGTTTTCCGGTGCCAAAACCTATCGACTTCAATAGACACTGCGTTGTCATGGAACTGGTAGAAGGTGGACCTCTGTAAGTGGGTGATTTAACTCCCTTAATTTAATTGCAGGAAAATCTGTTAAACATTTCATTCCAATCCCATGTTAGGTGCGGCGTGTACGAGGTTAAAGATGTAGAAGCTCTATACGACGAATTAATGGATTTGATCGTTAGACTCGGAAATCACGGAGTGATCCACGGTGATTTCAACGAGTTCAACATCATGATAACCGAAGAAGGGAAGCCCATTATCATCGACTTCCCACAGATGGTATCTACCGAGCACATAAATGCCCAAACCTACTTCGACAGAGACGTCACATGTATTCGCGATTTCTTTAAGCGTCGTTTCGGGTACGAGAGTGAGCTGTACCCAACCTTTGCAGACATATCGTAAGAAATCAAGCATTATTGACAGAAAATATTCCTCCGAACATGTTTCATTTTCTTTATCAATTTTTCCCTTTTTCAGTCGGGAGGATTGCGTAGACGTCGAAGTCAAGGCCAGCGGACTTACCAGGCAGATGGAAAAGGATTTGTTGATAGAAATGGGATTCGAGAAAGAAGAGGATTTGTCCAATGACGAGAACAAAGACAAAGAATCCAATGACGAAGAACCAACGGAGGAGGAGCTCAACGACCTGAGAAGTCGATTTGACAGAATCATGGCAGCAGATTTCAAGACAGATCTTCCGGCAGAGTCGAGTAAACCGCCTCGCCCAGAAGAGGCGTTTATCCCTCCGAGCACCGATAACGTCTCCGAGGACGACTCCGAATTCGTCGAGTGCTCATCGGAACTTCCCGAGTCCCGATTCGAGAGTGCCAGTAGAGTTCAGGGTGCCTTCAGCATCCGCAGTAATTCCACGATACCACCTGACGTGATCAAGAAGAGGACAAAGCAGACTTTGGAGAAACGTCGAGCGAAGGCCACTCCGAGGAGGGCTCTGGCCAAGGGAGAAGCTAGTGCAACGACCAGGATTCGACGAGAAAACCTCGACACCGTGAAGCAGTCCAGTGGGATTTGGGGATGGGAATAGTTTCTCTAAGATATCAGCCTTTCGCCTCGGACTACACTTGAATCCGAGATAATAAACATAGCATATAAGCCACTTCGACTTTACACGATTTTCCAATGCATCGCTATTGAACTTCGCCACTTAAGAATTCGTGTGTGTATCCGTGCCGGGTGCAACCACGGTATAATCTGTAGAAAGCGCATAATTAATGCACTAATCTCGGAGTCGGTACTCGGGTATGCATCCGTGCCGGGTGCAATGTCGGTATAATCTGTAAAAGGCGCATAATAAATTTACTAATCTCGGAGTCGAGACTAGGGAGACGAAAGAGCTAAAGTGCCAGCGATGAGCGCAGTTGGTGGTGGTATATAAATCCCAACTCTCTCGGCATCGAGCATTATTCTGACCGAGTTTGACCGTTCAACATCAACGAACAGCATGGCCAGAGATAACCTAACCGCCGTCTTGTACGGGATCGAGGACATACGTCTGGTCAGTGGACAACCTTGCTCATCCAGCTCCTTTCGCCCATTATTCGTAATCATCTCTGAAAATCATTGTTCTTTTGTTCCTTCTTTTTTTAACGTTTCCGGAAAACCAGGATGTGGGAACATATACGCGATACTCATTGCACCAGGCGCTTTTCCGCGTGCTATTGTAATTTCATCATTCATGTAGTTATCTTCGTTTTTTTCTTTTTCACGTATTAAAGAAAATCACTAGAGGGAAATGGCGGCGGTCGTTCCCGGGTAAAGGCGCAACGGAATGGCCGCGAAAAATTTGCGGAATACGCGAAAATGGCGAGTCTCCAAAGGCAACGACGACGTTGCAACGGCGTGCAATATCGATTTTCAAAACTTAAGTCGGCTTTGTTACGTAAAAGCCGTGAACTTCTATCGTGGAATGATTACAACGCGCTTGTTATTGACCTGTCGGCCCGCCTTTGAGGACGTTTACGTCACGGGTTATCTCGACTGATAATTTGCCGTACCTAGGCATGCCTAGGTGCGACGAATTATTATGCTGGAGTAATTTATTTCTGCGAGCCATGTATTTTGTTTATATATCGAAATATTTATAAAACTGGGTGCACCGAATCATTTAGAACTTTAACACGTGATTATGAAGTTCCTAACGAAGGTCTTGAAACTCTGCCAAAAAAATTGTATTTATCTTGAACGAGAATCAAAAAAGAAATTTCACAAGTTTCAAGGTCTTCATTACGACGTCTATATAATCACGTGTTAAAGTTTCAAATTGTGCGGCGCACTCTGGAGAAGAATTTTAAAAATATTTTGACGGTTTGATGTATAGAATGATCCTTACAATACTTTAAGTGACGCACATGATCTCTGCTTTCAGGAGCAAACACCTATCGAGGAACCGGATGACGATGGTGAGTGATTCCTAACAGTTTTGCTTTTATTTATAAATTTTTTTAGTATAAGAAATACACATGTTCCGACGAGTCGGTTGGACGTACGTTGGGAAATCTCGCAAAGTGGTAGGAAAATGCGAAGGCCGACTTCCTTGAACCCAATCGTAGTTGGTTCGCCACTGACGTCACAAAGCGTCTTGGAGTGCATCGAGAGCTGCGCCAGCACGGGATGCACTTTCGAAGGAAACTGTTAAAAAAGAGAAAACACTATTTGGGCGCGGGACGAATATTTTTTGAATATATTTTGCGAGAAAGTAGGCGTGAATTGATAGCGATTAATCTATTTCAGAGGTCCTGCTGGAGATGTCCTGCGTAGGGATTTGCGGGTCCGATGTACACTACGTCGTTAATGGAAGAATCGGCGACTTCGTGGTACGCAAGCCGATGATCCTGGGACACGAGTCTTCTGGAATCGTCGCCAAACTCGGGAAGAAAGTGAAACACCTCAAGGTTGATATTTCAAAGTGATCTACGCGCAGAAATAGGATCCCGGATAGAGAAATAAGGTGTAAATTTCTAAACCAAAGGACGATTTCACAGGTGGGCGACCGGGTTGCCATCGAACCAGGAGTGCCCTGCAAGAGTTGCCAGTTTTGCGTGAGAGGACGTTACAATCTTTGTCCAGACATGGTCTTCTGCGCCACGCCGCCCGTTCACGGAAGCTTAAGAAGATTCTACAAACACTCCGCCGATTTCTGCTTCAAGTAAACATTTTATCACGTCTCATCTTAAGGTGGCCTTTTTTTTTTCTCTAATTCCGCTTACGTCAACTGGGAATAATTAAAGAGTTATTTGAAATAAAAAATAGGAGACCGACGCGATAAGACCGAGTCAGATGTTTCCTCACATTTTGTACACGCGATTCCTCTCTAATACGTTTCTCTTTCGATTAGATTACCGGATCATGTGACTATGGAAGAAGGAGCTCTTCTGGAACCTCTGTCCGTTGGAGTTCACGCCTGTAAACGTGCCAATGTCACCATCGGCAGCAAGGTGCTAATTTTAGGTGCTGGACCCATCGGCCTGGTCACTCTTTTAGTCGCTAAGGCCATGGGTGCTGGTAAAGTTATCCTCGCAGGTACTTTTAATCCCGTTCAAACATGACTTCGTTGCTGTTGGCTTTAACTCGAAAGTTGCAAGAGTTCGTTTAACATTATTCTTGAGGTACACGTTGCGACATCGTTACTCTATCTCTATCGGTGAGAGCAGCCTTGACGAGGTCGAGGTCAGCAGATAAAACTATCATGTCTGAGTGATCCCGATTAGTAAACGGTAAACATAAACTCCTGCACTTTAGATTTCGTGCCTATCGAGACAGGGTTATAATGGAAAATTTATTGTTAACGCTGAGTCATGATGGTTGATAGTAATTTTTTTTTTTTTTCTTCACTTTTCGGTGATTAGATTTGTTGCAAGGGAGGCTGGATGTCGCCAAAAAAATAGGCGCGGATGATACGCTTTTGTTGAACAAGGATTACTCCGAGGAAGAGACTGTAAAGAAGGTTAAGGATCTCTTTGGAGATGAACCCGACAAAACGATCAATGCTTCCGGGAGTGAATCATCGATCCGTTTGGGAATTTTTGTAAGTAATGAATATTTAATTTATTTATATTCTGATTATTATAAATTCTGAATAATTCATTTATAGGTTACCAAACCAGGTGGAGTAATGGTTATGATTGGAATGGGACCTGCAGAAGTGAAGGTGCCTTTGGTACATGCTCTCGTGAGGGAAATTGATATCAGAGGGGTTTTCCGATATGCTAATGAGTAAGAATGACAGAAGTAGCTTATACTTTCATAACACCTTAATAGTACCTAAGTGTGGTATCATTATTAACTGACTAATATTTCTTAGCTATGCCGACAGTTTGGATCTTGTGGCAACTGGAAAGGTGGACCTGAAGCCACTGATAACCCACAACTTTAAGCTCGAAGAGACTTTGAAAGCTTTCGAAATGAGCAGGTTCAATTGGTCCGAAACTATCAAAGTTATAATACATTGTAAATAATTATTGCTCCCGGATAATCTATATTTTGAACCACTATGGACTCCAGTCATAAGCGGAAAGAAATTAGTTTACCTGACAATCCTGAGTCCATCCACCATTCGATGGTTTGCTGCGCAAATGTAAGAAAATAGAATAATACGCGGCATTAGAAAACAAGCGATATTTATAAATCTAAATATAATATCGCTTGGAACGTGTGCAACACGTCAGCGACTAGGACAAGCGGTTACATTTTTATCCCGTTTTACCAAAATTATAAATAAAACGTTATTCCGTTGACGGGTTGCTTTATCCAAACATTAATCTAAATAAATGGAACATTTTGTCCACACGTTGTCAACTATCTTCCATTTTTAGACATCCCGCATTATGTTCCCGCCATTGCCAGTGAGATCTCATGGTTGGTGGGTAAGTAAAATTCCCTAGATAGTTTTTAGTTTTGTACAGTAAATTACAAGATATTTGACTAGTTATGCACGCGATGTGAATTAGGTGAAAACGGGACTTTACATCTCTGCAGTTTGCAGAATTCGGTCGTCCTTCCCGTAGGAGCTAAACGGTGGCGCCGAGGTGGCAGAAGCGCGAACTCTTTGCTCAACTCAACTATAAAGCGCGAAACCTGTAGAATTTAAATCCAGAACCGAGTCGTCGGCCAAGGAGACGAGTTTAAGTCTATCACGTAGATCGGATACAGATAAATACTCAGAAACGATGAACAAGCTCCCGGAAAATATCCTCTAATTATTCCTTGCCCCAATACCTCGTATTTACGGACGAACAATAAACGGTAGTCGTACCCGTAAACGATCGCGTTTATAGGGAGGTTATGACGCCGTTGCATACAATCCGGGATACAAAATAAAGGAAACCCGAAAAATATCAGAGAACCAGGGACGCGAATTAATCCAGAAACCGTCGCTGCAAAAGGCCCTCCGCCTCGAGGATCCTTTTAGCTGAAAGAAGAGAGGCTAAGCCCCGACGTAAGAGGGCACCCGTTAAATCGTCCCGAGTCCGGTTAGGGGTTGAAGCGACCCCCCGGCGGACCCGTTGCCCCCTTCCGGGCATTGTCTCCCGACAATGCAACCGCGGGATGGGATTTCTCTTTTATTAGCCCTCCACGTTAACGAGTGGGTGCTCCGAGCTCCTCGGACGAGAGCCCCGAAACGCGCCCACCCGCCGCCGCGTCTACGTCCACCACCCGGGGCAAACCTCGCCGCGAACCTAAACAATCGTCCTGGACAACGTCCCAAGCTAGATTAACATTCATTAAGGCATCCTATCCTAAGTACAATGACAATATCGAATATAAACCCTGCGAATCCCAGCGATAGCACCGAAAACAGCATATCTAGGTAGAATAAGTACCCCGGATAATGGCGATAGAGTAAAGAAAAAAAAAATGAAGAGAGAGGGCATCTGGTGCCATTGTTCCCGGACAGGCCGTCGAATGGACGCAGCGTGACTTCTTCCATTAGCCTCCTCGAGCGTCGAGTGGCGCTCGCGATATATTTGCCCGCCCGACGGGAGAGTATCGATGCGTAATGTGTAATATGTTTCCCGGCCGGGCGGGGCGTAGCGGTCGACCGCGCGTCGCGTCGGTGGCCCTTTCATTCGCCGCCGAGACGCGCGGGGGTGCGCCTCGGCTCCCCGATTCCGAGGTTCCTCGGAGCGACTCTCGACGAAGTCGCCGCGGCGAATCGGAGGGAGTCGCGGATGTCGCCTCCGTGCAGGAGTATCCGGGGGGGAGGGGAGGGGGAGGGGGTACTCGGGGATGAATGTCGTGCTCCGACAATGGCTCCTGCTCTCCTCCCCCGGCGCTTTCTCTCCATCTCTCCCGCGGCCGAGTGGAGTGGCTCGCGGAGAGAAGAGAAGTGGCCCCGACCGTAACTATAACCTCCGCCGGAGCTCCCGGTTTCCCGTCAACCGAGAGAGTGGAGTTGGACCCTCTTCGGCGATGAGACACCCTAGGTGAGCCTAATGGGACGATCCCGGCTTCCGGTGCCCTATGCGGCACGGGGCTTTTCCCGACACCTTCGAGACACGCTCGCGGAGGAGTCGGAATTTCTTTCTGGGATCTCCTTTCGAGGTGGTACTCCGATTCCGGGACGAATTTTCTCCTCCGAGATAGAGGATCCGTCGAGGGAGGAAATATCTCTTAAAATGGCATCGATGAAATATTTCGATAATTCAATGGCATTTTCGTCGGTCTCTATTTCTCTACGGATTAAGATTAGAAATTAATTAAAAATTCTTTATCGAATATTGATGCAGCCTGAGCCCCAAATTTTGAATTTTCGAAACGTCGAGCCTGGGTCACGGGGAGCGATCGGATTCGCCCGGTAATTACGTTAAGTGCACGGTAAATAGTGTCTTCGAACGGTTCGAGAGAGTTCGAGGTGCGTTGTCGTCCGTATGCTTCGATTCCGCGCGAGCTGACAGCGCCGCACTTCGGGACTTAGTGTAAATATAATCGGCGCCGTTTCCCCGGGGATCGCCGGTCGAACCGGCGCGGCTGGGATAACGAATTTCCTCGTTTAAGCGAGTGCATTTGCACTCGCGAATCCGCGAATCCGCGGGGGTCCCGCGCGATTACGCGGCTGTTTACACGGCGCTGCCCGTTTTGAGTCAACAGCCGGCGGAATCGATGCAAGACCGTCGTTTGCAGGCCGTCCCGTGTCCGTGGACAGAGCGACGCGACTGCGATCCCGTCCGCGTCCGGAATGGAATCGCGCCTAATTTCTATGGACGCGGAAACGCGTAACGAGGCTGAGCGGCAGGCGGACTGCCTCGCGGAAAACCGCTGGAATTAAAATCTTCTAATGGATCCGCGTCTGTCTTTGACGTGTTCGTTTTTTTTTTTTTTCACGGACTCTGCCAAAGAATTCGAAATTACGTTTTTGGTGTCCATTGTGTTATCGTACCTTTTTTTCATTCCTAGGTCTTTGGGTCTTGGAGTCCCGGGGGAACGGAAGGGGTTCCCCAAGGATCGGGAGACGGTGTTGTCTTACGGAAACGAAAGAGTCTTTGGGGACAAGGGCAGTCTTCGGGTTTGCGGGTTGCGGTCGCAGGTGGGCAGAAATCCGCAGTCGAGAAGCCGGACTTAGGCGCGGAAACGTCTCCTCCTGGAGCGGTAATATCGGATGGCTGGAAGTGAAGGTGGTGCCGATTTCTTCGTTCCCCCCATTTCCTCCTCTCTTTCCGTACCTTTAACCGGTGATATTTTTATTTACAGTGGAGATTTTTATTTACAGACGAGAAACGTAACTCACGGCCAGAAATACTTTCCGCGATCATTGGTCAAGCGGAAGAGTCAAAACGTCCACCTCGTGCGAGGACAAAGCATCGGTCCTGCGAAGACGTCCCTCTTGACGGTTCCACGCCGACAAAGAACAGACCGGTACACCGGCGGCTCGTAATTGCGTTAGAGTAATCTAATTAGGCTACCCTCGCAGACCCGTAACCACGGATAATGCTGTACAGATCCTAGGTGCATTAATCGTAACTTTTGGTCTCCTACCGAGATGCGATGTAAACGCGTCAAGGCGAGCCGAGAGGGCATTTGCCAAAGAGTATTTATATACGGTTAGGTAATTAATGATTTAACCGGGCATTATCCTGCGTCCCCCTCCTTATCGGGGGTTTATCTTCGGCGACTCTCGCACTTGTCGATTACGGCTTTAACGCCGAACATTCGAGGAATCGGCGAAACGAGCGTCCGTAATCTCGGTACGAGACCGCAGGATACGAGGGGCGGGAAAAAGGAGAGCGAAAAGGCGAGAAAAAAAAAACAATCGGCCCGTAGGGTCGCGATCTGCCTTATCAGGGCTCGTAAAAATATCTGGCGAGGAGCGGCCTGGCGGAAAATCGAGTGGGAGGGCCCCCAGGAAAAGCAGATACTATTTCCCGGGTCCAGGAGAGATCCCGATCTCGATCTCGATCCTGCAGACTTCCATAAATGACGCGTGAACTCTGCCTCGGTGGAGTCGCGTCGTCCCTTCGAGATAATAAATGGCGGCGAGGTTCCGCGTTCCTTGCGGACTACCTCGGAGATGCCCGATAACTTCCGATTTCGAGGAGGGACGAGGGAAAAAGGAAGGGCAAAAAAACAGTACGACCGATATATTGGCGGGGGCGATAACGCGACACGCGCCCGGGAAATATGGCCGTCATATCGAGGCGATCTATGCCCTTCGGATGGACATTGCCACCGACGGGGGTTGATACCGTGCCTCGATTCTCTGTTTTTTCTTTACCATGAATTTATTATATATATATATTTTTTTTTCCCACTATTATTTTCACGCGGGACCGCCAAAAAGGGGGAGAGCTATTATATGTTTCCGTTTTTATTTCACTGATTTCACGGGTGATCTAGTTGCAGGGAAATCGTTATCAGAAATCGATCACCTATCCCAGAAGTCTCTAGAGATGTATATACGGCCAAGGTCCGTGTACATCGGCGAGGAGTTCCCAAGGTTAGGGTAGGCGATAGGGGTAGGTGATAGGGGTAGAAGCCCTAGAGACCGCCGGCCAATCGTCACCCTCCAGGGACCGAGGCTGCCAATGGGAGCCGCTCCGGGGCGCACCTTCCTCTTCTTCTTCGACCTCGCTCGATCGCCCCGCCACCCTCTTCGCGATATTCCGAGGTTTACTAATCAGATTCCGTTTCTTGCCTAATTTTCTGATACATCGGAGGTACCCGATTAAATCAAATCCCTCCCCTGATAAGCGTAGATATTTTCTACCAGGGGGAAGGGACTCGATTGTGCGTATTTTCGAGCCGGGTTGAATCCTCCCCACGACCTCGACTTCCGATTCTCCAGAAGTTCCTCTCGCCCGAAATTCCCTCCGATTCGGATCCGATTTACGTTCCGGAGGAGTCGGAGCGCCGGATACATCACGCTCGGTCGATGATTCCATCGAGAGCCATTCGAGGGCCATCGTGCAGAAATTGCGGCTGCCGAAGGGGACAGAGAGGTTTCACGAGACGTTAAATCCGACCGCGATCGCGGAGAAGGAGCGAAATCGCATTAAGGTTGTAACGCGCCTCCACTCCGTCACCCTCGGTCCCGATCTCGATCCCGTTTCCGGTAAATCTCTCCCTCGCGAAATGGACCGGGAGATGATCGAAAGGTACGAATTATTTCGCCCCGGTAATTGGCGGCTCGGTAATTACTTCGGCGAAGTCGGAGCAAGGGCGACCCACGGGAGCGGGGCCAGGGGTCGCTTCGATTCCAGGAGGAGTCCGAATATATCGATCGTTCGCAAGTAAATGCTTT